ACGGGTTCCCTTTTGCATTCCCAGCACCAAGCTGTTCACACAGATACAGCCCATCAGCAAAATGCAAAAATAGCTGAAAATATATAATTAGGGTGGATGCGCTGTAGATTTAATAGAGTTTTTCTATTTCTTCCTTCACTGGCCCATAAGACACAAATCCTGGATGGAGAGAGGCCGTTTGGGAGGGAAGGAGAGCACTTTGCTGGGGTACATGTTTGGCAAAAGCCCCTCAAATATTTTTCTCAGTTTTATATTGTGTGCATTTATTTTTATTGAGCACCACACAGAAATTGCAGCAGATTGATTCTTTCACAGCTCCCCAAAGTTTAAATGCTTTGGAGCCGAGAGCTCAGTGCCTGCCAAACTTCATAATTAACTTTAATAACTGTTTAATTTGAACTTTAATTCAAACACCCATGTTTCTGGGGGACTGTAGGGGGGGATAGAAAAAAAAAAAAAAAAAAAGGCAAATCAAACCAAGGGAAACCAGCTCTGGTAAAATAAAGCAGCAGCCCCAAGCCTGTGCTGTGCCAGGAGCAATTGGAGATCAACTGTCCTGTCCCGTGTGTGAGCAGACAGAGAGGCATTGCCCCAGCCTGGTGGAAAGTGAAGGAGAAGACATCACCACCAGATGCTGGGAAAGCACCCAGCTCAAAGCTGCCTTTGCTGCCCCAGCCAGGAGATTTTCCAAGGCTAACTCTGGGGACAGAGGGACTGAAGTCACCAGGAATGCCACCAGCTTGGAGTTTTATCTGACCTTAGTGACAATGAAAGCAAAATTTAAAAAAAAAAAAAAAAGTTTTAAAACCACCCCAGATAAATTTGCCCTAATGCAACCAATTTTACATGTGAAATGACAGCAGAAATTTGCTTCTTTTTCCTCGTACAGAGAGAAAGAAAAAATACATAGTCCCTGGATCCATTCACTCAGTCAATGGTTTCCAATGGTTCTGTCGCTGCCTATGGGAAGTGTTAGCTGGGCTGGGAAGCACTGGGAGGACAGGAGGATGAGGAACCTGAAGCAGGAATGTTAATGCGGCTTCTCTTCCCCGGTAGACAAGCCTAGAGCTGTCAGAACATGCACGCAGCCCCGGAGCTCTGCCAGCCAAATCCCTGCACTAACCCACCCCAGCTGAGCTCACGGTGATGGGGTCCTTTAGGGAAAAGCAAATAACTGACAGCTAGGAACAGGAGACACAGCAGGATCAGATAGGGAACAGAGACAACAGACCTTGGGAATGCAGCCACAGATTTGGCAGGGCTTCAGCACTGTCAACCCAAGCCTCCTGGAAGAAGCTGAGGATAAATATGGTTGTATGGCTCGGATGGTCTGCTGTGGGTTGGAGGACACCAAGGAACATCCTTATGCCCTCTGGGACCCCATGGATTCAGACTGGTTTGAGGCAGGGACAGCCCAAAACTGAGGTGACTTTTCACCATTTCACAGCAAAGACCCCGGCCGGTGGCATTAAGCCTGACCTAGCACTTAATCAATGCAGGATTATTTTTTCCTTTTTTTCTTTTTTTTTTTTTTTTTTTTTTTTTCCATCCATGATCCTGTTTCTAATACTAATAAAAAAAGAGAAAGCTCCCTCAGCATCGTGCCACAGGGATGCCACCACCCCTACAGCATCACCCCCTGCCCAAGGCCACCGCGTTGCGTGGGGCTGGGGGGGGATGCCGTGACTTGCCGCTCAGAAATGAGAGCTGGGCAGCATCCCACCAGTGTCCACTGTGATTAATAATGTGGATAAAGAGATTCAGATCAATGAGCCTGGCAGTTTCTACCAGCAAATGAATGGCTTTCGGTCTATGGGTTAGGGAGTTGTTAACCACCCAACCTGCTCGCTGTCATTAGCGAGCAATCTCTGCTGTGCATCTGCTCGCCCCGCTTTATCCACGGACCCATCTGCCACTTCCTCATCCCTGCATCCACCTGGACCCCTTCCCCCCCCGGTCCCTCAGCTCCAGTTGTGCTCACAAACAGGTTCTGGCGTCTCTGTTGAGCTAGGCTGGATCGGACGAGCAGGGAGGGGGAGGATATCATTTCCCCGTGTCTAAGCTGCTCCTGTAATCCTGCAAGAAGGCTTGCTTTTGAAGCTCTGGCCTGGCTCGGCGTAGCTGGCTCACAGCCACAATTACTTCCACTCCAAGCACACACAAAAAAGCTGAGCAAGAGGCCAAGGAGCGGGTAGTTAGCCTCGAACACCAACAAGTCAATCAAAGGCAGCTGGCACTAATTAGTCCCTGTGCCTTCCCCTGTCACGGCTGCCCCATTACACAGGGACAAGAAGTCTCTCCATGGGTCAGTCAGGGCCAGCCAGGACCTGCTGGAGAGTCCAGAAGGCAGAGGAGCATTTTGGCAGGGGGAGTGCAGCCCCAAATCACTGCTTATGGAACATCAATCCCACCTCTCTCACTCCCTCTCATTGTCATCTCCAGTGCCCTCCTTCTTTCTGTCTTTTGCAAGCATGGCCAGAGCCAACACAGGAGCCAGGGAGAAGGGGGAGATCACCCCACCACGGACTTATTTCAATTTTTCATGCTTTTCCTAAAACCAGGAAAAAAAGAGAGCTTACCAAAGGAGTCTCAGGTAACTGCTCACGAGAAGCAGGCATTAAGCAGAGAGTTGAGAAGTGCAGCAGAAACATTGCGGTAATATGGGATAATAACACTGCAAATGCTGTGAGGCAGTTGAATAGTGATATTTTCTGGAGTAGCGTGGTATTGTAGGAGAGAAACCAGTAAACAAATATTTTCATTCAGCAGCAGGGGAAGCGGGGAGGCACAGACTTTCCCCAGGGAGCTGGAGAGGAACTCCAGAGCAGGAGAGTCATTAGAAGTGAGGGAGGGAATTACTCAGGCTTATGGCACTGACACACACCGGCAAAGTCAGACACGATGAGCGGTCTGGAGTGTGGCTCAGCTGTGGATCACAGCCAAGCATCATGCCACCAGCCTCTCCTATTGCCCCCCCAAAAAACACCAAACTGAATCCTCTGGAGTATTGCACCCACCCTGCCAGGCCAGCTCCCATGGCTTGGAGAAGACCCCACATGAAGTAAACTGGAAGCATCCACCAAAAGCCATCAGGATATCATCCCCACCACCCTGCACCTCGTGCTCACCATGGCCAACATGCCCTAGTGTGGACCAGTTGTGAAACCCCAGGCCCAGACCCTACGGGGTCTGCACTAAATGCAGCTTTGGAGATTTGGCTATAAGCATCTCACTGGAAACACTCAGCCTGCCACTCCTTTGTACCTCCATTTCCCAGTTATAGGAACTGGTGTGAGAGCTACTGCAATAGGTGGCTGAGTCAGACCAGGTTGACGACCCATCTCCATTTGCCACCGAATGTGCCAAAAGAAGGATCGTGTTGCAGCTAGAAGATGTGGCAATTTGCACCTCTCCACGTAGTGGCCCTTCAAGGCAGGTCCCATCCAAATGGGTCACCACAATGCTTGGGGGTTTTAGGTCAAGTCCTGGAGGTTTTAAGTCCTTCTTAAATCATGTAGTCCCATGTGCTTATTTGTAGTCTTTGAAATTGTATGAACGGCTAAGCCCTCTTAGAGTCTAAATACAGAGTTATTAACGTTACTAAATACAGAATTATCGAAGTTCATTATAAGTTAAGGCTGGACACTGCAAGAGCCATGTCCTGGCTTTGAATAATACCTTAACCCCACAACTTCTTGGAGCTTTGGTAAAGTTTCTGGTGATGCAGCAAGGAGGTCCTCATCTCTCTGCATCTTTTTACCCGTTGACCAGATTTAATGTACCTGCTGCATCTCTTGCACTGCTGGTACAGAAAGAACCACAAAGCACATCTCCAGTGTTTATTAGCCCAGGTCCTACAAACCCAATATGGGTAGGGAGCCACAAAGACAGCTATTTACATTCCCTCTTAAAATGCTGCAAGAAATCCAATTGAGCATTTGCAGCTATTAGCTGGAAATCTTTAATTAGCTGTCCTGACACTGAAGCAGTGCTAGGTCTTGGCTGAGAGCCTCTAACCACAGCACAGCGTGCCCTCTGAGCAGCCACACTCTAACAATCCCACTAGGCCTGCACATAAACTACCTCCTGCAAAGAAAACACGAGGGATACGGTATTTTTGGGTGCAATGACATTGCAGACACAGCTTTTCCTGCCCGTTAGTGCTATCCTCTGATGGACCAGGCAGCAGTTCCTCATGGAAAACCAGTTGGAGTTAAGTACTGGTCAGCAAGACAACAATCCCAACAAGAGTAATGGGGGTGCATCCATCCCCGGCACAACTGGGCTGGCGCTGGTGGTTTTAGGCTGGAGATAAATGTGGTCCTCGGAGGCTGGATTACCACCCAGGGGCTTATGATCAATACTGGAACGAGGAGTTGTGTTGTTCCAAATCAAGGCAAGGTTAACCTGTAATCCCGAGCACGGGCAGGGGGTGAAGCCACTTTAACAGGAGAGATTTGTCTGCTCAGAGCATCGACTTGAGCAAGCTGGAGCTTGAGTGGTGTAATTTAACGGTGTTTAACATCAAGGCTGCCGTTCCTATAGCTACTGGAGGAAGCTTAGCAACCCTGGGCGCAACTCCTGGGGCACGGGGAGACGACCAAAGGAGAGCATGGGGATGCGTCACCGTCACCCATGTGTTAACCCTTTGAACCCTACGCGCCGTTCTGATGTGGCACTGAAAGCAGATCCCATACAAGGTGCTTCTGCTGACATCACGGGTATCTGGTGCTTTGTTGGTACCGGATAAAAAACAAACAAAAAAATAATAGCAACAAGAATATGCCTGTGTCACTGGTGGGGCTATGGCAAGGTCTCCCCACCAGCCATAGGCTCCACTCAGGGTTGATTTAGGCTCCACCAAAACCAGCAGGACTGTGTGCAGGTTGAGTTGGCCCCACATCTCTCTGGATGATTTTGCCCAGAAGGACTTGCCTCTCTACACTGAGCACAGTGTCAGGGCTAGCACCAACCATGTTCTTTTTCTTCTGTGTCCCCAGGTCCTCCCCGCACTTGGTTGACCAAGGCTGGCTTAGAAGACTCTTCCTTCTCCCATGAAAATGGGGACTGACAGTGAAAACCCAGTCCTGAGGAACGTGCTCATTGGCTTCAACTTGCTTCTGCTGGGCACCGTCCTCAAGCCTTTTGAGTGCCGGCTGGAGGTGACAACAGAGCCGGCCGAGGGGCCGGCGCTGGATGAGAAGGGTGGCCTTGCCAACTGCAGCCCACCCATCAAAGAGCAGCCCATGGTCTTCCACCACATCTACAACATCAACATCCCCCTGGACAGCTGCTGCTCATCCATGTTCAAGCCGTCAGCCGAGGAGGTGAGTTCAGAAGACGACCGGCTGGCAGAGTACGCGGAGCAGACCTCCGACAGCGAGAGCCAGGTCACCTTCACCCACAGGATAAACTTGCCCAAGCAGGCCTGCAAGTGCTCCACCTCCCTCCCGTCCCTGCAGGAGCTGCTGAGCAGGATTGAGATGCTGGAGAGGGAGGTCTCCATGCTCCGGGACCAATGCAACTCCAATTGCTGCCAAGAAAATGCAGCCACAGGTAGTAATGCCATCCTGTTAGCTCTTCCTGGGGACCGAGGGCTCAAGAGAAAGCCAGGAGAAATAAATACAAAACTGGTGATGCCACTCAGAGTGGCAACGGAGGAAAACCTATGTTCACCCATGACGTGGCTGTGGCTTTAGGGGGAAAGCTTGGCTTAGGTCCTCCAAGTCAGGAAAACCCCTGGGAGGGATTTGGTCACTTGAGTCCCCGCATCCTACTCACTGCAGAAACCCCGTAACAGCCAGAGCTAAAGCCCCATTTCAGATAAAATTACTGCTGATAAGGGGTGAGCAGAGTGATCTCCCAACCCTGAAGTCCTTGCAATGCTGTTAGAGATCTGCCACTGCTTGTGGGACAGGGAAGAGACATGTAGCTGCTGATCTCCTAAACTGTCCCTGGGCTGAAGACAGAACTGCAGGAGCTGTCAATACACTCCTTCATCTTCCTGTAGGAGGTCTGAATGCATACGAAACACTGAATTTAAGGAAAAAAAAAAAAAAAAAAAAGAGTAAAAAATACAGGGAATAACTTCAGTTACCATGAAGGATGCAAACAAAACCTAAACAAAGGCACAAACGCACCAACAGGATAATTCATCTGAATAAAAATAGGTGCGGTTTGTGAAGCTCCCCGAGAGCCCCCGTTAGGGTTACCCCATCAAAGACAGCCCCTTGTTTCACTGCAACCATTCCTCCGAGCCAGGGAAGCAGCATGTAGATGAAATGAGGTGGGTTAGGAAAGGTTTGGGCTAGAGGCTGAGTTTCAATAGCGCAGGAGCCAGCATACTGATGGTTTTCCTTACGTCTCGGGAAGGTCGGTAAGAGGGGCTGTCCCAAAGGGCATCCATCCCTCGCACAGCCCAGCCCTGCTCGGGGCTCCAATGCACCTGGGCTCCTTGCAGGAAAAAGCCACCAAGCAAAAAGAGCCACACAGGGCATCTTTTCAGCAGAAAACTGCTTTTCAGGCCAAGAACAACAACAGGGAGGAAGAAAAATTAAAAGCAACCCTTTTCCCCCAAGTGCCACCTGCCTGTTTTTTAAGTTTTGCAGCTATTAGTGTGATTTTTCCAGTGGTACCCAAACTCCTCTATATGTAGGACACATTAAAATGAAATGGGTGCAACCCACACTCAGGTCAACAGAGCTGGACCGAGGGTGTGTGGGTTGGGGGGGAAGAAACCCGGACGGCACAGGCAGCGGGGGGGCTCGGGCTGGCATCCCCTGTGCAGCCAATGGAAGTGAGCGTGTACATTCCTCCCCCCCTCAGCAATGCAACAGTCATCAGCTGCGTTAACAATTAAGACAAAACAGAAAACACACATACGTGCCACCAGTGTGTGCAAAGCAAGGGTTAAATTCACACGGGGAAACACAATGGGAAAAACCTGTTTTAAAGGAATTAATTTGAAACTCTGACAGGCCTATCTGGGTTGCTTGCCACATATGCAGACAGTCCCATTAAACATTCATCGCTTCCTGGAGTCTCCACTCTGATCACAGATGCGCTCAGCCAAAACTGGAGTATTTTCATTTATTTTTACCAGAGTTGCTTTCAATTCACTGCACAGCAAAGGAGATCAGGATCCCTACCCCACCACCCAAGGCATTTCCCCAAGGAAAGCCGCTCCCTTCCAGCACACTTACAAGCATCCTCTCTCCTCATTTGATAATTTAGCCAGAGGCTGAGATCTGAAGAGATCCTGATCGTCATTCCCAGTATTTGTAGTTTAGATGGGAAGCATCCTGCAAAGTAACCCAAACGGGGCTGACTGACACAGCGTGTAACTGACCCCTTCTACTTGAGCATCTGCTGCACCCCCCATAGGAAGAGCTGCTCAAATAACCCAGCTAGGGTGGAAAACTTAATTGGGGTAAAAAAAAGCTTGGGGTCTTTGTGGTACAGAGGTTTCCCAAGGGTCAGGTTGATACGAGGAAGAAAAGCAGGAAAAATCAGCAAGGGAATATTAACCTGGTTGGGATAAACCCTAAACTGGAGCAACGGATCCATGTTACAAGGCAAAACAGGGGAATGTTGGCAATGTCAGGGTGACTGGTGCCTTCGTCCCCGTGCATCCCTCCTCTCCCCAGAGCGTCCTTTATCTGTTGGGTAAAGAGGGGACATTAGAGGTGGTGGCCACAGGTGGCCATGTGCTTTCCCCAGCAACCCCACAACCCCAGCATGCCTGAAACCCTGCTACTTTGTGCAAAACCAACAGCTACATCTTAACTGGGCTCATTAAGATAGGGACAAAGACGATGTCTTTGGGTACATACCTGTAGGAAAGAGAGAGAGCACACTGTGATCTCTCACCTGTAAAAAGGAACAGCAGCTAGAGAGGAGTCATGGCTGGTGATGAGGGCTTGGCCAGGGAAGGCTTTTTTCCAGTAAGAGATCTAGGGAGGTTCCCATCAACTAAGCGGTATGCTGAAGGGAAACCAAAGGGAGCACTTGCACCCCAACAAGGCTGATGGCACCCATAGCCATGGAGGCCAGCGCTCCCAAGGGGACAGACAAACTCCTGGAGACCCACCCAAACCCCATCATGAGCCCTCATCACCAGTTCTGCCCCTGCCAGCCCTAAAGCCACCAGCTCCCCAGAGCTGGGCGTGCTCAATCACAGGGAGGACCATCCCTTGCTTGCCCCACATCTCTCCCCCCCTTCCCCACAGCCCATCGCCGGGCTGACCTGGGGCCAACGCTGACCTTTCCCCACCTCTCACCCGGGTGGGCTCTGACCCTCGGTCCTGCGTCCTTGCAGGGCAGCTGGATTACACCCCGCAGTGCAGCGGCCACGGGAACTTCAGCCTGGAGTCGTGCAGCTGCGTGTGCATGGAGGGCTGGGCGGGCAGCAACTGCTCCGAGCCCCGCTGCCCCCGGGGCTGCTCCAGCCGGGGCGTCTGCCTGGAGGGCCAGTGCATCTGCGACAACGACTACGGGGGCGAGGACTGCTCCCAGCTCCGCTGCCCCACCGGCTGCGGCTCCCGGGGGCTCTGCGTGGACGGCGAGTGCATCTGCGAGGAAGGTTTCGCCGGGGAGGATTGCTCCCAGCTGCGGTGCCCCCGCGACTGCTCGGGGAAAGGCCAGTGCGTTAACGGCACGTGCGTCTGCCGGGAGGGCTACGCCGGGGAGGACTGCGGGTGGCTGCACTGCCCCAACGCCTGCAGCGGCCGCGGGGTCTGCCAGGACGGTCTCTGCGTCTGCGAGGAAGGCTACGAAGGGCAGGACTGCTCGGCAGGTAGTGGGGGGCGTGGGTGGGGAGAGCTAGACCCTCATGTATGAGCAAGGGCTTCAGGGTGTCCAGAGCGTCATAGGAAAGCCTGGGAGAAACCCATACCTGGCAGAGCATGTCACATAGGACCTGCTCAGGCCCTGCAGTTTGCCTTCCTCCCTGTTGTCCCTGTCCCCAGCAAGGCAAAAGTTTGGGAGGTGAGCAAAAAGCCAGCGAGGTTCGTCCCAATATAGGTGGTAAACCCTTGGTGCTATGGCAGCGGCAGTCAGGTTCTCCTGAGCCTTTGCCTTGCTATAGCAGTTCGTGCAACCACAGACAGCACGTAACCCCCTCGCCCAAAGCCCATGCCCGTGTCCCACCAGCAGACCCACGCACCCTTCCGCACAGTGGGGTGGGAGGATGAGCCACGCACACCCTGACGCTCTCCTTACCTCTGCCCTTCCCATCAGTGGCTCCTCCCGAAAACCTGCGAGTGACAGGGATCAGCGACAGCTCCATTGAGCTGACATGGGACAGCCCCGGGGCAGCCACCGAGTACATCGTCTCATACCAGCCGGCGGGGCCGGGGGGCACCCAGCTCCAGCAGCGGGTGCCCGGGGACTGGAGCAGCATCACCATCACAGAGCTGGAGCCAGGTGTTGCCTACAATGTCAGCATCTACGCGGTCATCAGCGACGTCTTGAGCAACCCCGTTACCTCCAAGGTGATGACCAGTAAGTATCCTACTGCTCTTGTCACTTGGTAGCCAGGTAACCAGAAGTGATGCTCAAGCTGGCTTACATTTTCCATAAAAGCCTTCTAGCAGCAGAAAATTAAGCCTTCAAAAAAAAAAAAAAAAAAAGTATTGGGGATATTTTTATCCCCACTTATCTGTATGGGGATATAGGAAAGGGGGAAACGTGTCCGCTCTCTGCAGAAAGACTGTCTGGATGAAAACCCAAATGACTAAAAATCAAAGAAAACTGCAATGTTTGACTGAAGCCCCCAGAATACGGCCCCAAATATTACACTTTTTTTTCCTCACAGAAAATATTGTGATGTATCACAGAAGTCACAGGGTTCTCCTCCCACTGTTGGATGGGTTCCCATGATGAATCCCCGTGACATGGGTGACAGCACAGCAAGAGGGGATGATGCTGTGCATCAGGAGATATGTAGTCCTGACTGGGACCGTGTTGCACAGAGACAAAATGAGGATATCAAGCTGTAATGGCAACCTCCAGAAAGGATCCTCAGAAACTAAGGATACAGAGGGCAGGGGGAAAATGTAAACTATCCGGACACCCCTCCTGCAAACCCATCACTCACTCTGTTTGCACAGTAGTGTAGTGGGATGCTTCGGTGTCCAGCAGCCCAGGCATTCCCCTCTTCTCCCCCCAGCCCACCCGGAGGGGGGACAAAGGGACTCTGCTAACAGCTACCAAAAGGTTCCCCGTTTTCATTGCTCAGATAACAAAATAGCCACAGGGAGCAGGGTGGGAACCAGCAACACCTGCACACCCGTCCTGCTCTGCTCACCACCCCCTGCTCCCTTCCAGACCTCGCCACGCCGCAGGGGCTGAAGTTCAAGACCATCACAGAGACGACAGTGGAGGTGCAGTGGGAACCCTTCTCCTTCCCCTTCGATGGCTGGGAGATCAGCTTCATCCCCAAGGTACCGCTGCCTCACACACAGCATCGCAAGGTACACGCGGCCACCCTAAAAACACTGAGAGAACAGAACCTCAATTAGCTTCCAATTGCCCACCCCCCCCCCAAAAAAAAAAAAACAAAACAACAAAAAAACCCAGTATGATCTCTGTTTGCAAGTTGTGTGCTTCACAGCAGACAGCCCCAAACACCTCAACCTCCAATTGCCAGTTTGCATTTCCACAGTAGACTTTGGTGTCAAGTCATGCATGTCCTCAAAGAAATTCCCCAATAAAATCAAGAGACAAGCATGTCAATAAATAAACCTTCCAGCCTCTCTGCCTCTTGCTGTCACCCCTTCATCTTCCCTTCGATCTCCTTTGCCACAACCCTTCCTCCTCCTCCTCTTCCTCACCCCTGTTCTCTGCATGCTAAGCTACCCAAAGCAGCCCGGATCAAACCAAGCAGCCGCCGGCTCTCAGACAACAACCTTCAGCATCCTCCAGTCACACGCACAGCTAACGCCTGCCACAGAATTTTAATCACAGTGATGAACAGGTAGAAATTGTGCCAGAAAAGATGAAAGGATGGAAATGTTGCCCTAAATATCGCATATTTTCTATGCATGGCAACAAAAATTGTACATCAAGTATTTCATCTATATTCATAATTTCTACACCATTTAGCCATAAGTATTAGCTTCAATTGTATATGGAGCCTCTTTAGAAGAGCATTCAAGCCCCAGCAGTAAAAGAAATGCTGATTAAGAGCTCAATTATGATGTGTTCACTTGTACAAAACCCTCGCTGGAGTCAAAGGCAGCTCTGGGCAGCGGAGAACTGCAGAACTTGGCCCCAAAGTTTTAAATGCTCTTAGCTGTAAAGTATCATTATGCGGCATGAAGCAAGGGACTGATTGCTTTAAATAACTTGTTCCCTCCCTTCCAAAAAGGCTGGAAGGATCTGGGTGCAATTTTGGGTACATCCACACGCAAATTTTGTTAGAAGTTAAAGTTCAGGTACTGCAGGTATAAACCCTGGGATAATTTTCATTCACTATCAGGATAAAAGCCAAAACAATAACGCAACATCAGCAAAGAGCTTTTGGTAGCAAAAAAAATAGCTATCTTTCAAACATTTCACTGATACTCAGAAATTAAGCTCAACAGCATCCCCCTGAAATGGATAAATAGGGATATATCCATTTTAGGGTGAGGAATCACCGGCATAGAAACAAACTTCTCCCCTCAAGCACATCAACGGTAGGTTTTTCTTAGGCCAGCCCAAAAATACAAACCATTGGTCCTTCTTTCAATTTTTAAGCTTAAAACCACACAGAAACATTTCAGGATTTAAAGAAAGAGATGAGGTGCAAAAGGATGGCTGCTTCTGGATGCAGGTCTTTGGGGTGGGGAAGAGATGCAGCTTGGTGGGCTTTGAAGTTCTCACATCCATGCATCAAGCCATAAAGACACAGTTGTGCTTCTGCCCATTGACTGCCAAATTTGGACTCTCTCAAGTCCCCGTCACCAGCTTTTATCCTAAAATAAGGCAGAGGGTGCTGTCTCCTTCACTGCCTGGAAGCAACACTCTCGGGCAAACACTAAACCATTGCCACACCCCAAATAAAACCGAAACCTGGTCCCAGAGGCTAAAAACAAGAGTTAATAACTGCAGCATCACAAATAACCTCTATGAGCAAAATCAAGCTCACTCTGTCCTCGTGAAATCTGGGCGAGGGGCTGCTAATTTGGTCCTCAGCGTCCCCACGAGGATGCTCTCACCCTCTCACAGAGCAATCCTCTTTCCATGGTCCCTGCGGTGCTCTCACCCCCCGAAAGCTGGGTCAGGCGGGGATCGCCCGTCTGCCGCGTGCACTGGGGATGGGGGGAAGATGAAGCAAAGACGGATTTAGAAAAGAAAATTAGGAAAGGTAAGATGGCATTTTATGGCTAAAATGGAAGATTTCCTGTTTAATGAGAAAAGAGATGAATATGAAGTGAGAGCTATGTGCAAAGATTTGTTTAGCGTGTTATTAGTGAAGACAGCAGCAAGAAAAGATCCTTTGTCCAAACACTGGCAGGAAAGGTGACATTTGCAGTTGCTTAAAGCCTTACAGTTTTTCAGAGCAAAACCACGAAGTATAATGAGTTTAATAAAGATACTTAAAAAGCAGGGGCTGGCAAAATAAAGACCTTACGGTTTCATACTTATATCTGAACAATGGAAGGCTGCTGGCACCTGAGTAGCAGGGAAAAGGTGTCTAGCCCAGGCTCCAGTTTGATTATCTTTTCTCTTTTGGAGAACAGCAGACACGCAGATGGCAAAATACAGAAATTGGGGGGGTTGAGGAGGAGGAGAGAAGAGATGGGGGAGGATTTCTCAGCCCAGCAACATGGGTGCTCCACACTCGGTGGGTGACTTCACCCTGGGCTTCTGCATCCCCCATGGTGGGATGTGCCAGGGCGCGGATGCAACTTCGTGATGCAGGGCTGGGCCGGGGAGGATGCAATGTGGGGGGAACTTCCCCAAACAACTTTTTGTTTGGGGGGGGGGTTTAACGCTTATTTCCACTCCCTGGCAGAATAACGAGGGTGGCGTGATCGCCCAGCTCCCCAGCACCGTCACCACCTTCAACCAGACGGGGCTGAAGCCCGGGGAAGAAGTACACTGTCACCGTGGTGGCCCTGAAGGAACAAGCCAGGAGCCCTCCCACCTCCGACAGCGTCTCAACCCGTGAGTGAGCCTGACCCTGGGCAGCACGGCAGTGCCCAGGGATTGGTCCCCAAAATAAGGTCTCAGCATCAAGAGCAGCCCGGCACTGCACGGGCAGGGATAAAACTAACATCACCCAACTGTCCCACCTACAGGTGCATCGCAGAAACAGCTTCTTCATGTGGTATTTTGTCCCCCTCCCTCCCAAACTGCTGCAAGCGCAGAAACCATGGTGAGGTTAATGGGGTTGGGAGCAAAGGCTCAGGTCCACTTTCATTAAATAGCTGGATAAATTCTTCCTCTCCACTAATCTCACATTTCAGAGGCTGGACGCCCCCAAGAAACATATCTATAAATGTATTTCCTACTCATATATAACAGATGAAAACTCCCACCTGCTTTTAGTGACACTAAATACCCTCTAATCCCACCACCTCAGGCAAATCAGGTAGCAGGGCAGGGAGCCGGGAGCAACATCATGACCCTTCCTAACCGATTTATTTGGCCTGTTACGGGCCCATCCCATAGGCTTGAGGAAATTCAAGTGGGTCTTCTCTTCACCGAAGGAGACGTGGCGATGGGCAGAGCTCACTGGGATGACGAGGCTCTCCATACCAGATCTGCTGCAGTCTGCCTTGGCAGCCAGGCAGACGTCTACCTCCGTCCAAGCTGTTGCAAACGGAAACAGCATTTAAATAGCTGCCAGAGGGTTATAATGAGGTGATGCTTTCTCCAGGCTGATAATCTGAAGCGATGGTGAGAGCGAAGGGAGGGTCCCTCCATCGATAGCAGCTTGCTGCAGGTCTGATCTTCCTCAGCACAGTCCTCTCCTCCTGCTTTGCCTCCACACTCAGCTCGACGTGGCTTAACAGAGACATCTCCTGGTCAAGCCCAAATCTTCCTTTCCCTAGGAAGTTAGCAAAAAATAAAAAGAGAGGCTGGCACTTCAAGCTCAGTGGTTGACCTTTGCAGAGAAGCACAGATGGGGTGGTGGGCTCTCAGCTCTGCTCCGTGAAGGTGTCCCCGTGCTGGTGTGTCTGCCTTCCTCTGAGGCACCCCTGTTGCTTTGCCCCCATCATCCTCGTTCTGCCTCAACACCTTGTGCAAGGATCGAGCAACAAAGGCATGGTTTCATGCTGCACAGCTAAGTAGAACTTGATGTTTCCTAGCATTCCCTGGATGACCGGGCACCATGAGGTAGTTGAAGATTCAGGGTTTGGATGAGCATGACCTGGTCCTGGCCAAGCCGGACACCCAGCTTCTACCCAAACACTCTGCTTCCCAGCTGGCCTCCTCTCCCTGTTGCTGTTTTGCTTTCAGCCCTCACCCCACTGCTCCCAGTTCCCCTACATGTCTTTTTCGAACCCTCCCTGGTCTTTCCCACCCCTGCCCACCCACGTGGCCTCCCAAACTTCCCACCCTGGGGTGCAGCATTCAGCACATCCTTCCTATGTAGTGTCATTTCCTAATAGATGCAGTATATTAGATGCACTTGCATGCAGTATAGCCTGAATTACAGAACCAGCGTGGGTTTTTTTACCCACCTTGTGATCATGTAAGTAATAAAATGGGCTGCCCAGCAGGCTCCATGCATCGATGCCACTGTGACACGGGAGTGATGGCCAGGCTCAGCCCATCCGTCTGTCCGTGCACTGGTTAGGTCCTGCTGGACTCAAAGCATCCATCACCCGGGCTTGATCCCATGATTTCCAGAGGTCGAGTGCCGGGGGATGTGGAGGAGGGGAGGGTCCAATTATCTGCAAAAGAAAGCCGAAATGTCCAAAATGGTGTCCTGGTAGAGCCCCGCTATGAATTTAGCTAAAATCCCTTTATCTGAGAGGGTTTGGTGGACACCCACCATAGCCCCACACCCAGCTAGTTATGAAGACTTGCCAGAGCAGTTGCATTTTTCTCCTCTCTCCCCACCGCTAAGACATCAACAGCTTTATGAGCTGATCCCTCAGCCTGACGACAAATGAGGAGCTGGCACTGAAGCAGGAACATTTCTAGAGACGTTCCTCAGTTCTCAGTGCTTGGATCAGTCCTTGGCCCCACGTTATTTAACACATTGTCAACGCTTTTCAAAAGGACATAATATCATTTCTGATAAATTTTGCCAGTGATGGAAAAGCTTGGAAAAGAGTAAATTGAGTAGAAGGAGATCATCGATAAAAGCAGTTTGAATGGCTCGAAAAGCTGGACACAAAGGAAAACCGTTTGTTTTTCAAAGCCTCGCGAAGTATGGGCAGTTATCTAGGAGCAAAGAAAGTGGACCACAGTTAGACACAGGATGTTTTATCCTGGGAGATGCCACCTGTAAGAGCCAGGGAGGAATTGTTGCCGATAACCAGCTCGAGAGGAGGGCATGAGTTGCGTCACCGCTGTAACGGGCATCCATGGGAGACCTGCTGGGTCCCAGCTCTGGTGTCCACAGCTTGGGAGAGACATCGGTGAACTGGAGAGGGTTCAGGAAAGAGCCAGGAGATTGGGACAAGGGACTGTGAACCCACCAGGACCAAACACTCTGAGTATCTTGGGGCGGGGGGGGTCACGTCCCTTGCTAGTGCCACCTCTCTGCCTTGTCCCCAGCTGCTAATTCAGACCACTCTGAAGGCCAGGTTGAAGCACTCCCAGAGGCTTGGTGTCCCCAAAGCTGCCACCTTTCCTCATCCAACTCTCCCAAAATAACAGGTGCCCGTTTCCCCCCCTCCTCCGCAGTCATCGACGGCCCGACGCAGATCCTGGTGCGGGACGTCTCGGACACGGTGGCCTTCGTGGAGTGGACTCCGCCGCGCGCCAAGGTGGACGCCATCCTGCTGAAGTACGGGCTGGCGGACGGGGAGGGGGGGAGGACCACCTTCCGCCTGCAGCCCCCCCTCAGCCAGTACTCCCTGCAGGCCCTGCGCCCCGGCGCCCGCTACCGCCTCGCCGTCAGTGCCCTCCGGGGTGCCAACGAGAGCCGGCCAGCCTTCGCCCAGTTCACCACAGGTAGCTAGCTGGCTTCGCTGGGAGAACCGCCGTGAATTTTTAAGCCTCCAGCGAGCACGGGCAGATGGCTTGCTGCAATCTGCAGCTGGGCTGCCCTGCAACGGGCATGGGGTTTTGCATATCCGGAGCCAAATCAAGGGGGTTTTTGCATCTGGGATTTAGTGGTACGTGGTTTTCCCCCCACACAATTGAGCTGGGGTTTAATCCGGTGTACTGGGAGGAAGGAGTGCAATGAAAACACGGTAAGATGCAGATCTGAATGGAGACACCTTAATGCAGGTGCCCCGCCTCCTATCTCAGTTCTGGTGCAGAGCAAGGCAGAGCAAATGATTAAGCTCACCCTAAAAAACACACCGTAAAAACACCCTCTGAACCCCTCCACTAGTGCCTATGTTTCTGTTTACTCCCTAAACCTCCAGGCCTTCTTCATGCCCTGTGCCCCACAGGGATGCTCGCATGGTCCCTGTGGCAGCCCAGCTGATCCCAGATGCCAGTGACCAGGCAGATGACTCAAACCCCCACATTTAGATGACAACACCTGAGCAAACCCCACCTTGGCCTGCATCCTGCCGCAGGATCAAGGCTGAACCTGCTGCCTCCTGGGACACATCCCCCCCCACCAGCACCTGTGCCCATCCAGACCCACAGCTTAGCTGGAGTCCACAGCTAAAACTTTAAAACCCAGCAGTTTATGCCCTCAATAGCACCCATAGATCAACGTGCAATTCTCAAAAGCACCAAAACAGCAAGCACAGGTCTGAATTCAAGGCGATGCTCGCTCCCATTCAGCGCCAAGATGCCTTGCCTGAGGAATCAGCAGTCAAAGCGGCTGAAAGCAGCCCAGTCAGAAACATGGTTATCTTATTTTATATCTTCTCTGAATACTCTAACTGGACGGTAAAACTTTAATTAATGTTAAGCCTGCAGATAGCTAACAGGTTTAATTTACCGTGCCATGAAAGGAGGAGGTAGAGCGTGTATTTCAGTGCTGGTTTATGGTATATAAATTACTTGTCATGTACGTTACTGGCGGATACTAGGCTCCTGCTATAATAACTGCGGTGTGTGAATTGTATGTGTATATATCTCTATAGATAAATATTTCGGACGAGATGTTCACCCTGACTGATTTGCTGCGTTGGCCTTCCTTGCTTTATTTCTAAAAGGGAACATAAAAAATCCCCCCTCCTCTAAACGCAGATCCATCAAGGAGCAGTAACTACCCCACGTCTGCTGGCGCCCACCCCCTGCCCAGCACCAACCGGTCGCTCGCTGGAGAGGTTTATTGTGCAAACCACAGCAGATTCAGTGCACAGCCTCAGCAGCACTAATAAACAAAACCTTGGGGCAATGTTTGAGCGTGCACAAGCCTATAAAAATGCTCAAGGTTCTTCTAAGAGCAGTTCGGGCCAATGCGTGACTGCTACAGAGCCCTTTTTCTCTTCTGCACGCTGCCTCAGTTTCCTTTAATATAGGGGGGAAACACTTTTCTTTTTCAAATAACATGCAATTAGCTCCCGAAGCGACTAACTCAGGGATGCTGTGAACACCCCAGCACTTCTGTCGGGCTCGTGGGTGGCATCTCCCGGTCTGTGCTGAGCAGGAGCTGAGAGCAGATGCCCCAGCCCAGGGAGGGACCACACACGGAACCTCACAGACACCACACCCGGGTACCCCTCCACGGCCGTTTAGCCGTGCCAAGGCTACCGGGTACCTTCCCGGTGCCCGGCGGTGAGACGGTGCCTCTCTCCCTTGTGTCGCACAGAGATCGATGCCCCCAAGAACCTGCGGGTGGGCTCGCGGACCCCCGCCAGCCTCGAGCTCGCCTGGGACAACAGCGAGGCTGAGGCGCACAGCTACAGGGTGGTCTACAGCACCCTGGCCGGGGAGCACTACCACGAAGTCCTGGTGCCACGCGACACCGGACCCACCACCCGGGCCACCCTCGCAGGTATGCGTGCACCCACGCGCCCTTCCTCCCCGCCCCTCCTCCTCTCAAACAGGTAGGGCAATGGAGAGTCCAAATTGGCATCAGTTGACCTTATGCTGGCACATGATTTGGGGCTGTTTTGGAGTTTACTAGTTACCGGAGGGAAGGTTTTCCTTGGGATGAAACTTATTTTCTCCTCTGTGGCTCTGGATTTGGGTGCTGCTTATCCACAAGTTGAGTGATGCTCCTCCGAGTGATGCCCCTCCAAGTGATGCCCCTCCGAGTGATGCCCCTCCAAGTGATGCCCCTCCAAGTGATGCACCTCCAGCAAGGGTCTGTCCAGCTGCCAAATAGAGCTGGCAAGGAGCAAAGTGAGAACTGGGGAGAGGAAGCCTTTTTAAGCTGTTCTAGAGGAAAATATTTCACCCTTCTCATTTTTTCCTTGCTGGGAAAGATCCAGAGGTGCCAATGCCCCACAGGCAGTGATGGGCAGCCAAGCAGCCCAAGGTCATTGCCTTTTTTCCAAATTGGGCACAAAGCAGACCCAAATCCAGGGGTTCTATTTTTGAGAAAGTTCTGCAAGTGGCACGTTATTCAGGCCAGGCCAGGGGGTGCCACTGGGGGCTGCAAACACCACCCACTGCCAGGGAAGTCCCAAATACCTTTTTCAGCAACACAGCGAAACACTGTATGAGATCTCCTTTCCTTCTTTTCAACTACAACTGCTTGCCTGCCGGATTTGCAGCTCCAGCTGGCATTTTTTTGAGCAAAGAAAAGACTTACACACATACAAAAAAGATCACTCATTCAGCTTGAAGCTCTTCAGTATGGCAGGACACCAGGTTCTTCCACTGCTGACTCCCTTTGCTCTCCTGGGACCTCCACAGCCCAGAGAGCTCAGGGATCTCTGCCATATGGAACTGTAGGAGTAAGTTCAGTGGGAAAGTTGAATGCAAAGTTGCAGGCACAGTGGCACCGAGTCACGAGAAAGGCTGGAGGGCAGGAAAGCAATTAGAGCAGTTTAGCTTGAAAAAATGTGGTATGCGGAAAAAAGAATAATGTTCGGGATAGTTTCTGCTGCGGTTGTGATGAGGATGCGCGTGAAGAAGCGGGATGAGATCGGAGACTCAATGCTGGTCGCCTGCTAGCTTCCCTCTAGGACATTTATTGCCTTTCTAGGTGAGAAGGAGCATTGAAAATGGGCCAGGTCCCCCTCCCCGGAGCAGAAATGCCATACTACCCCCGTGATGCAAACTGCAATAACACCCATGGCAGAGCCCAAGCTTGCCTTGGAGGACGTGGCAGCCTGAAGGCTCTTGTTTTTCTCAATAAAAATAAAAAAAGCTGCCAAGTCTCTGCCAGACTCAGGCAGGGCTAAAAGAAACACACACCCCCCCGGAATAAGCTCCAGAGATGCAGAGGCTTAAGTCAATAGTGGTGAACGATTTTTATATAGTGCCTCCATCATCGCCTAAGTGCATTGCTTCTAGTTCCTAGGGTACTATGTAATAAACGAACACATTTTTTTTAAATCTAATCAGTAGCAGAAAATAACCTAAAAACCATTCTGCCAGGGAAAAAAAGCCATGATAGTAGGAGGCACATGAGGCTCTCCCGTAGCTCTGTTATGCACGTGGTAGTCCTGTCTTCCAAAGTCTTGTTGCACGTGGTGTAAAGCCCGTTGGGGTGGGTTTCCAACTACCCGGGACCTGGTAGGGATCCACAGCGTGACAGCACCCAGCGATTCCTTCAGCCGCCTTCATCTGCCTGCAGGAAAAGCAGTGAGGAATGGCGCTGAGCAGAGCTTATCAAAGATTTAAGCTCACAAATACAGCAAGCCTCACCCTGCCCCATATGTCTCTTTTCAAAATCAGCATTTGCACATAAATACCCATAATTTCACTCTACCCAAAAGAGCTGGGAAATAAGAGGCTTTCTTTTAAATTCCTTCTCCTCCCCCTTTCTCCCAGGCTCTTCTCCTCCTTTCCAGGATACTTCTGGCACTTATTGGGCAGGGGTGAAGGGGGTCTATCTCCCCACCACCACCACTTCTCCAGCACCAAGACTGCACCGTAGCAAAAGGAGAGGAGCAGGGGACGGGGGTTTCCCTCCCTGCTGGCCTCTCAGAAAAGGTTTTGGTGGCTTCAGGAGACGCTGCCCCTGGGCAAGATAGGGTGAGGCTGGGCTGGAGGATTTATGGCTTTCTCTAACCCCATGGGAAAGATCATGAAGTGCAGGGAGGAGGGGAATAAAGCCACCAGCAGCCAGGCAGAAGGGACAAGCAGAGGCAGGAGATGTCCCACGGACGTAAAACAGGTGATCAGCAAGAGGCGTAGAGGAAAGAAGCTGGATGAGCTCGATTCTCATGTCCCTTGAGAAAGGCAGCACAGGATACATCCACCTCAAGAAGTGGCACTTGATTCAGCTCCCAGAAAGACTGTGCCTTTCCTAATTAATGTGCATTTCATTTACTCTACATAATTTATTCCTCTTTGAGACACCCCTGTGACAATATTTGATGTTGAATCACTTCGGAAACAAATATAGCTACTTTATCGTTTCCATCTCAGCTCATACACACACAATTTCTGTCTTGATGACAGCAATTACAGCAGACCTCAGCAACAATATTTTTAAATTTCTTATTTCTGAGCTAGAATAATCCAAATTCCCTGTCCAAAGGCATTCACACGGCTTTCTAAAAATTCTCAGCTCTTCTGCAACATGCAGAGGAACTGCTGACCTGCGGGAGGGCTGCTCATCCCCAGGGATGCTCTGGAGGGTCCCCCGCTGTCCCCAGCCATGGGAGGTGGGGGGTGGCAACCCAAGGCCACCCAGCCAGGCGCTGCTCTCACACCCCTTTGTGTCCTTTGCACCCCTTGGCAGATCTGGTGCCGGGGACAGAGTACGGCATCGGGATTTCGGCCGTGATGGACAGCCAGCAGAGCGTGCCGGCGACCATGAACGCCAGGACCGGTGAGTTTGGCCCCATTGTGTGCTCCAAGCACAGCCGGTTCCTACGGCTCAGATGTCCCCATGGGACAGTCCGTGCACGGGGACGAAGGTCTGCACCAACCCTCTCCCACAGAGCTTGACAGCCCCCGGGACCTCCTGGTGACAGGCCTCCACGGAGACATCCATCTCGCTGGCCTGGACCAAAGCCACAGGTCCCATCGACCACTACCGTGTCACCTTCACCCCCGCCTCGGGGATGGCCTCCGAAGTGACGGTGCCCCGGGACAAGTCACAGCTCACCCTTTCAGAGCTGGAGCCCGGGACGGAGTACACCATCTCCATCATCGCCGAGAGGGGACGCCAGCAGAGCCTGGAGGCCACCGTGGATGCCTTCACAGGTAGCGAAAGACAAGTTGAGATGGGGCCAAAGGCACAGACAACCACCCCACCTTGGCACCTCCGCCAGCCCACCGCTTCCCCAGCATCGAAACTCTTCAGGTGTTGGTGGGGATGAGAGCTGGGGGCCATGCATCCACGTGGGTGCAGGTCCGTTGACCTCTGAAGGAGGATGGACCTACCAGTGTGGGGGCACTGTTCCCTTCACCAGCAGCACTGAGCATGCTGGCTTGGCTGGAGGCTCCCAGAAGAACATGTCAGGGTTGGAGGAATATACAGCCCATGCTGTCCTCTGTGGTCAAGGTGGCCTGTGTGTCCATAAGAAGGAGAAATGAAGCCTTGAGGGACCTGACAAGAACCTCTGGGTGAAAAGCCTGCAGTTGAGAAGCCCAGACAACACATACCAGCTGTAGTGGGACAGCCCCAACACCCGCCATATGTATCTGGGATGGATGGTGTTTGCAGGCAGAGCTGAGAACAGCACCATTTTTCCCCTCCCGGTTCTGCCTCGATCTCAGCAAAGTTTCAGATCAATGGAGATCCCAGAGCTCCAGCTTTGCCACATCTCTTGCATATTTCCCATGCAAGTGCTGGGAACGATGTGGAGGTTGGGATCTGCAGACGGTTAGGGTTGCATTTTCCCCTCTCCATCTCGCAGGGGTCCGGCCCATCACGCAGCTCCACTTCTCCCAACTGACGTCCTCCAGTGTGAATGTCACGTGGAGCGACCCATCCCCACCAGCAGACCGCCTCATCCTCACCTACAGCCCCCAGGACGAGGAGGAGGCACAGCAGGTCACACTCGATGGCACCCGCAGGCACGCCAGCCTGACAGGCTTGCAGCCATCCACCGAGTACCTGGTGTCACTGGTGGCCGTGCATGGTGCCATCAGCTCCGAGCCTGTCGTGGGCTCCATCACGACAGGTACCGCGGGACCCTCCCCTCGCTGGGCACGGGACCCCACCGGGAGGGCGGGCAGGGGGACAGGGAGAGGACCTGCCTCCCACAGCCTTGCTTTCTGCTCTGTCTCACCAGGGATTGATGCGCCGAAGGACCTCAGGGTGGGCAACGTCACCCAGGAGTCCATGATGGTCTACTGGAGCCCTCCCATCGCTGCCTTCGACCGCTATAGGCTATCCTACCGCGCCGCTGAAGGTAACGGGTCAGACCACTCTTGCTCATGCCCTGACCTTGCAGCTGCCAATCCTCTCTTCATCTGCCAGTGCGAGAAAGCCCCAGGGTCACCCCCTCCCCAGGCAGCAAACTAGTGCCCCGGGCAAAGCCACTGATAGCTGGGATGGACCAAGAGGCTGCAGGAATGGAGGACAGGGTGTCTGGGACAAGGATGGGAAGGGATCACTGTAGCTAAGGGCCAGCTTGGCACAGAGAGTCACAGGGAGTGACGCCCTGCAGTGTGCCCTCCAAGGGATGGTTAATTCAGAGCCCAATCCTGAAATCCCACCTCCCTCACCTATTTCCCCCAGCTCATCTCCCTTGGCCCTGGTTTTGCTATGATGCTGAAAAGGTTGGGCCAGCAGTGATGGTCAAGAAGATGTGTACCTGCAGGCACGAAACTCAGTTACCCCCAGTATCAGCCCTGGAGAGGGACTGTGGCATTGCCCTCCCCTCCCAAGCACCTCTTGTACCCCAGGGATGGGGCCAGCTGTGATGCCAAAACTCCATCCCTGCAGGGAGGACAGAGAGCACCAGCATAGCCAGCGATGTCTCCGAGTACGCCCTCCACCACCTGCAGCCCGCCACCAAGTACGAGATTGGGGTGAAGAGCATGCGGGGCCGGGAGGAGAGCGAAGTGGCCTCCATCACCGTGCACACAGGTGGGAAGGGGCTTCTGGTGGGCAGGTAGCAATCAAACAGTGCCAGGTCCAGCCCCAGGCAGGGCTGGCAGCCCCTGCTTGCACTAGAAATTGGGGAGCTGAAAGCAACCTGGACCTCAGACCAGCCTGATGCAAGCTCATGATGATAAGTGAGGCTCACAAGGGCCCAATGTGGACTTTTGAAGTATGTCTAAGGAAAGCTTTTCCCGAATATACATGGGCTAGTCATGGCGGGGAGTGATAAATCTGTGTACCAGGCACAAGGAAGCCAGAGATAGGATGTTGGGCAACCATGACAACCTTTCCTAAAGGGAGTACAGACTTCCAGAAATAATCCCTGGGGAAGCCCTGACACAAACAGCATCTGCTGCAAGAATAAAACCCTCTGCTATCCTCAGACTCTTCAAAACCTAAAAAAACCCCCTAACATTCCAGACTGTGCATCAGGAAAACAGTGGAAGAGCAGCCCCAGTAGCAGAGTAGCACAAGCTATGACATCTCTGTTCTCCAGCTAGGGCAGCAATAACTCCTCTGCAGGCACACGTGCCTGGGCAGCAAGAGGATCAGTGAGTGATGGGCCACAAAACGCCGTTCCAGTTCATCATAGCCCAGTCTCTTAGTGCTTTTGACTCTCTGAATCTGTCCCCCATGCAGCCATGGATGCCCCCTTGGGGGTCACAGCCACCAACATCACCCCCACTGAGGCACTGCTGCAGTGGAACCCACCGCTGTCGGAGGTGGAGAGCTACGTCCTTATCCTCACCCGCCGTGCAGGTACGCTGGGGGTCCGTTTCAGCTCACTTCCACCTCTCCCCCATCCCAAATCCCAAGGCTCGGTGGGCACCCCTCCACGGAGGGAGTAGGGAAGGAGCCCTGGCTTCAGGAGGGCAGGGCTGTGCCCCATCCCCAGATGCCAGCTCCTCCCGTGCAGGTCTGATGGCACGTGCTTTCCACAGCCCCCCCACCGATCCTTGGAGCACGGCAGTCCACACAGGAGAGGGCTGGGATCCTCCCGCTTTGCTAACTGACTCACCAGCAGCAGCCCAGGGGCAAGCAAGTACCCACCCCATAGAAACTCACTGTGTGGCAAACTCAATGAAACCCACTACTGAAGTGAATAAAAGTATCAGGCAAATATAGGGACTGTGGGAAAAATAAGACCAACCTTCAAACCAACTACAGCTCAGCTGCTGCGCAGCAGCTCATGGTGTTTCAGCAATATAAGTGCTTTTCTTCATGAGGTCATATCCATAGACGTATTTTGGAGAACGACCTTGAACGTTTACCCTAACTCATCTCTTTTGGCTTACAGTTGCAGGAGAAACAATTCTGGTGGACGGAGTCAACCAGGAGTACCAGCTGACCAACCTCCTGCCCAGTACCACCTACACAGTCTCTATGTATGCCACCAATGGGCCTCTCACCAGCCAGACCATCAGCACCAACTTCACGACTCGTACGTACAACCGCCTCCCCCACCGCCCTTAGCCATACATCCACCCCAGGAAAAGCTGCCAGCAAGGCCGAGCCAAAGCTCATCACATACGTGTGGCTGTAGAAGCACCACGTGCCAAAAGGACACCCAAATACCAGTGCTGGGCACAACAAAAGCACAGAATTTTAATCACAAGCAGCACCAACCATCATTTTCACTCTTTCAACATCCATTTGCCCCTTTCTTTGTTTTCTCCTGAATGCGTTCCCAAGAATACCCCTGACCAGGCCTTTTACTTGCCCAAGACCATAGTCCAGAAGAGCACTACAACCCATTTTGCTTACAAGAAGCTTGGCAGGCCCCATAGCACATGAATTTCAGACCCACTACCCTTCAGAGAGCATGCAGGTAGAGGAGGACTTCTAGAGGGTTTGCAGAGTTCTGTTCAGTGCTGGGGAGGGGTGATGAGTTCTGGAAACAGAAGGCGAGGAAGGACTTTGGGCTGTAGCTCAGGGTTGCAAGGCTGAAACCCAGTGCACTGAGTTGGGAAGCGGGGCTGGGGTGGTTGTGCGTGAGAATTTGCTCTTCCCTGGGTCTCTATCCCTTGCAGTTTTGGATCCTCCAACAAACCTGACTGCCAGTGAAGTCACTCGACGGAGCGCTCTGCTCTCGTGGGTGCCTCCCGTGGGAGAGATCGAGAACTACATCATGACCTACAGATCCACCGACGGCAGCCGGAAGGTGAGTCCTCCCCGAGAAAGAGGGTCAGTAAGTCAGGGAATAATGTGACCGTGAAGAAAAGAGCAGGAGAAACCCAACAAAGCAAAAGCAAGATGTTTGCTAGGTCAGGAAGAGACCAGAAGGGCAGGTGCTACTTTCTGCATAAGCAATACTTTAGATAAACAATCGGAAAAAAGCAGGAAAAGATTGCCTAAGGCAAAAGCTTTATGCACACCTGCAGGTCTGGGCAAAGAGGGCATACCTGGAAAGTTTGGAGGAAAGCGGGAAATTCACAACTTGTGAAACACAAGCAAGCTGAGGCAGGAGAAAATTACCCTACAAGCAGAGATGCTAAAAATGCCATTTGCCCTCCTTGCGAAAAGGAAGATAAGTAGAGACAGCTAATTAATCCCACAATACAATATATTTGATTATTTAATGAGTGTGTCCATATCTGCCTGTCTGGAAGAGCTGCTACAAATGCTATCAGAAACACGTCACAGCAAATAGTCTCGTTTTCTTTGCTGGTGTGACTGGCATGCAGCAGCCAGAGGATAATAGCTTTGCAGAAGGGGTTGGATATAATGTTATGTGGCATTGGCTGACGACCAGAAAAATTAACGTGAGAGGAATTGATGGAGTCAAAACTGACTGATAACGAAGTCTGGCCAGCTCTACTCCTTGCAATGCTTGGGCAGTCAGTCATGCCCCGTATTGAAGGCACGCAGATCCCAACAGAGTTGGTAAACAGAGCACACAAACTGCAAACATTTCAGTCTCCTGTGTCCAAATCAGCTAGCTCTCTCCCACCCAAACCATCCTGAAGGGTTGAATACGTTCATTGACCTCACACTGACTTACTCCACCGGTGTAAGCAGCCATGTAATGCTCCTCAGCCAGGCACCAAGGGCTGCGGTAGTTTGTGGCTTCCCTTCCCTCCTCGCTTGCTCTTTAGGCTCCCCATCGCTTTTCTCATCTGTTGCTCTTGGTGTCTACCTCATTCTGGGACCCATGTGCAGGAGCTGATTGTGGATGCTGAGGACACGTGGATCCGCCTGGAGGGGCTTTCTGAGACCACAGAGTACACCGTGCGCCTGCAAGCTGCCCACAACGCCATGCGGAGCGGCTTCATCTCCACCACCTTCACCACAGGTGAGGACTCGCACCACATCCCCCTGGCCAGGCAGGGCTTAGCCCACAAACCATTCTGGTAGACATGGGCTGCTTTTATGGGTTTTTCCTCCTCATGCAGCATTTCACCACCATCCACAGAGAGGTACATTCATTGCCATGACCCACAGTGCTGCTTTGCTACAAAATGTTAATGGCTGAAGGATCCATCATACAAACACAAGACCCAGTGCAGAGCAAGGGGATTTGAGCTTCAGACCAGGAACCATCTACCAGGCCCTTTGCCTTGCCCTTTCCCTTCCTCAAATGCATAAATAGAGGAAAAAAACAAAAAAAAAAAAATACAAAAGTCAACAAAAGGTATCAACAGGTATAGCTCTTGGAATGAGTGGGAAGAGACTCATCTGGTCTCTCCATGCTGTAGACATGGTCCAATCTCTCACAAATACCATAGAATCATAGAAGAATTTGGGTTGGAAAGGACCTTTAGTCATCTAGTTCAACCCCCCTGCAATGAGCAGGGACATCTTCAACCAGATCGGGTTGCTCAGAGTCCCATCCAACCTGACCTTGAATGTTTCTAGGGATGACGCATCCTTGGAAATATCATGCAGGTGTATTTCCACCACCACCAGTGTAGTCACAGATAGCAGAACCAGCATGCCCGCAGGACTGTGATCCCACTGATTTTATCTAATTGCATTATTCCTCCCCCCTCTAATGCTAGAGAAGTCACGATCCACTGTGGCAATATGAATGGTTTCCTTTCCAAATCACAGGGTGGGCATCTGCAGCCACCGCAACCCTCACAGAGTGCTTATGCTTGCAAGAACGAAGCTTGCATGAAAACGTCACCATTGCCCCCACCCTTTGCAACCATTCCCATTAGAAACCGTGCAGAGCGTATTGTCCCTCACCCTCTTTGAAAAACCTTGCTAGGCCAGGGCACAGACAAAGTGCATTTTGTTCAGGACTGAATCCAATTACATTTCTCCTGGGCTTCAAAAGCACTAAGAAGCCTGAAGACGATGTCCACCGAAATTCCTCCCAACTGCGCTGCCAGTTCAATTAGGAGAGTTTTCTTTGAAACTGCTGTGGATACACTTCCCCAACCCCGTTACATGCAAAGGTCCCTTCACCTGCTTTTAAGAGATAATAGAAACTATATACGTCAACAAAAAAAAAAAAAAAAAAAAAGTCTCTTCTCTAATGCATCTACAGATCAGGCTTCCCTGTTATTCTTGCCTATTACACGAACACAAAAAGCCAGTGCAACTCAGGCAGGTGATGGAAAAATGTGTGCAATCTTTGAGGCTGTTCAGGAGTCAGGGATAAAACTGCGTGGGGCTGGCTTCTCAGCTGGGATAAAGCACCAGAAATTCACTCACATCAGGCAAGGAGAGCACCGCTTCCATTAAACACAAATGTCAGACCTTAGCAGCATTAAAGACACCATTGCCAGCTGATGCAGCATCCAAACACGGGTTTAATTTGCTTTTAAGATGAAGATCAGGCATCAGCGAGACACCAGTTTCTCCCCACTTACCCCATATATCGATGAGACAGAAGCACCCAGGAACAATCACTGAGGTAATGAAATCCATGGGCAGCATCCCTCAGCAAAGAATCAGGGTCTGGGATTCAATATACTCTGGTAGTGTATCAGGGCACTTTGCAGAGAACAAGGACTTGTCCTTAAGGAGACAAAAGAAGAAAAGAAAAAACAAAACAAAACCAAACCAAACCAAACAGACTTAATTTAAATTGTTTTGCTTCCTTCTGCTCACAGTACACATCCCAGGGCTCTTCTATTCCCTCTGACATATTAATAGCTCAGCCTCTTTGTTTCATGTTTGCATAAGGTTCTTGGGGAATTGTATACAGATGGGACAAAAGGAAAAAACAGATACAGTATTTATAATTTATAGTGGTTTCAAATGTCTTTCAAGGTCTCCTTGGCTCTTAAAGTTATGAATATAAATTAAGAAACAAGTAATCTCTGCAGAGCTCAGGGGAGCCTGAAGTGGTTGTCTTTGAAGCAGTTTTCAGTGTTGGATACTATAAAATGCAAACACTGTCTCACCAGACCTTGTGCTACAGACCATGGACACGGGAAGAATAGGGGATCTTCAACATTTGGACAAAACAATGACCTCCGAGGCTTCAGGTCGCAAGGGTGGGGGAAATACACCCAAGTGGGAATTAGCAGACAAGGGTCTGTACCCTTGGGTCCCATGGGGTATCACACAGTTGTGAGGACCCACATGGCACATCCTTCACACCTTCTCAACGCATCGCCGAGACACCCTCGAAAGCCACACCAGCACTCTCAGCTCTGCACTCATTTACTCCATCATCCGTACACTCCAACAGCAAAGAAAAAGATGTATTTCCCCCTTCTGACTTAAACGAGGAAAAATTGAACCCAGAGTTGACAGCCCAATAATGCTGGAGTCTCATAGGTAAGACTCGCTTAAGCTCTGACCCCCAAATGAGATGTTTTGTCATGAAAGGACACCTGGAGCCACACAGCCCAGTCTTCCCATCTCTAGCATCTCTCACTAATTCCTACTCAGTTTGCAAGTGACAATCAGCCCAGTGTAAGTCCACCATCATTTCCAAGGGCATGGATCAGGAGAATTCCCCTGGCATCAGTAAAGTCATAAAACTTGTTTGGAGCTGGCAATCCTGAGAGGAGAACAGGTTTTGGTATTTTCGCAGCTGTCTAAATATTCTGATGACAGCTTAAACCCCAGGGTTTCAGACACAGTGCAGAAAGATGGTCCAAGAAGTGACATCTCTCATCATTCATAGTGATGTTATCGTGAAGCTTTCCAATATAGGACGTATGGGAGATTAATTAATATATGCACAGATTTTTTTCCCATTAAATCCCCTGACATCATTGGCAGATGTAAAGTCCCACTGCCTCACAGAGTAACTCGGGATGCAGAAGCCAAGTTAGACCTTCCCTGGATGATAACCAGTGGTGTCCAAGGTATGTGGAAAGGGTGTCGCTTTGCTTAACTTCAGCCTTTTTGTTTTTGTTTTTAATTTTGCAGGTGGCCGTGTCTTTGCTAACCCTCAGGACTGTGCCCAGCACCTGATGAACGGAGACACACTGAGCGGCATCTACACCATCTCCATCAACGGGGACCTCAGCCAGCGGGTGCAGGTCTACTGCGACATGACCACCGATGGAGGTGGCTGGATTGTGAGTAGCCCTGCAGTTGTCCTGCACGTCATCCCCATCACAAAGTAACCGAGGCTCGTCCTGCTACCAAAGCCAAGCACCACGCTGCGCGGGAACGACAGCAGGCTTTATATCGCACACTTCATTTCCCACGCCATAGGGAATGGCCCACGCTCCAGTAATAACAGTTACATTTGGAGAAAAGCCCTTTGATTTATTTGACACGTTTGCAGGGCCTCTGGAGAGCAAAATCTGAGAGTGAAGTTGATTTATTGTTCTAGAAATGAAATTAATGGCCGATAGCTTTCGTGGGGAATGATTCACACTGCCTGCAGTAGGAGGGTGTCAGGCATCAACCCAATTGAGTCCACACAGGAGCATTTTAGAGGAAAATGCCTGTTTGGCTTTTGAATTGCACAAACACTGCTTATCTTGGTGTAGATGGACTGACAGCTTAAGTAAATAATGCTCTGGTGCTTTGATTTTATTCATGTCAAATGCTTCCTTACACGCATTACACAAAACTCCACTAGATGTAGAGTTGAAACAAAAAAAAAAAAAAAAAAAGAGCTTCCTCAAATGCTGATATCTAGCATGGATGTTATTTTAGCCAGAAAATCTCCCTCCATCTCACTCTGCCTCAGAGCATCCCCTTGGATATCACAGAAAGAGACAGCCAAAAGGAGAATCACATGCTAGAAAACCAGAGGCACCACGTGTCAGGTAGAACAGAAAGCTTGAAGGCCGATTCCTTCCTATTATAACATTGACTTGTCTTGGACATCATCCAACAGCTCTTCAGTTTCTCCATCTGCACAGGAATTAATTGTGTGGCTGCAATTAACACTAACTGGTTGGGCATTGCAATTTTCTCCCCTGAAAGGCACAATGGAAAGACAAAGTATTGCCTTTATTTTGTGTGCTCCAGCGCCCGGAAAGGCCATCCTTCTTCACACTAATTTTCCTCTGGTCTTCCCACACCACAGGTCTTCCAGAGGCGGCAGAATGGGCTGACTGATTTCTTCCGGAAATGGGCAGATTACCGGGTTGGCTTCGGAAACCTGGAGGATGAGTTTTGGCTCGGTAAGACCTTATCCAATTGTCTTTCATCAGCGCATCAAACTCAAGCTCCCCGTACACTGTTCTGCTCACTCGTACCAACTGTTGGCTCCTCATCTTTCATCCCACTCCTCTACGCTCTCCCTTGGACAGTTTTCCTTCCATTGTTCGTTCCCTGCCCTGCACATTAGAAATTCACTCATGGACACATCACATAAAAGCACATTGTGAAGGCCAGCAGGTCCCAAATTTCCTCCTCCTAGGAGAGGAGGGTGTATGCTGGGGGTCTTCACGGACCGAAACCCATCATCCTCCTTTGGATGACTACAGGTTGCATTGATGGCATCTACAGCTCATGGATCTCACCTGGTCTTAGCCAGCAAGCCAGTTGTCCAAAGAAAGTAGGAAAGGGGTGAGTGGGAGACCCAGCACGGCTCTGAAACAGAGTGTGTTCCCACAAAACCTGAACATGAGCCAAGGCCAGCCCTGCAGCGTAAACGTGCTCTGTCTTGTACAGGAGCTTAACAGCAACATGAGAAGCACCAGGGCTCCACAGCTAAACGCCCCCAGCTTCAGCAGCACGGAGAAAGCTGAACCTGGGCCTTGAATCCACCTCTCATAGCCATGGGGAAGTGAAGCTTGAGTGGGGACAGAGAGCTTGGGCTCCACCTGTGCCAGAAGAGACGAAGACTTAATCAGGAGTGCTATTGTTTTTTGGTTCTTCTCACTCCCGTTTCCCGCAGCCATTTTATTTGCCTAGAGGGTGTTTTTGTTTGCTCACGGAGGGGATCCAAGCACAGGATCTCACCGGGTGTCTCGCTGCTTGTCTCACCAGGCTTGGACAACATCCACAAGATCACATCCCAAGGGCGCTATGAGTTGCGAATAGACATGAGGGATGGCCAGGAAGCAGCGTACGCCTACTATGACAAGTTCTCCATCGGCGACTCCCGGAGCTTGTACAAGCTGCGAATCGGGGACTACAACGGCACTTCGGGTACAACCTCATGGCTAGCAAGTAGTAGGGAAATCCTGGGACTGGTGGGTCTGAAACTGTAAAGGAAATCCCACTATCTAAGCTCACTTGTCTGGAGCATCAAGACACAAACCCATAGCCCCTTCTGCCTTCCTGAAGTCCATCATGTAAACCAGGCTAATAATTCCCACTAAGGACACAGGGAATTTTCCAATGGGATTGGATATTAAGTATCAGAGGCATTGCTGTTCAAATAACCAGGTCAATCGTCAGAGGTGTCATCTCACTTGGCAATCACCGCAGCTCGCAATTGATGCCATGCTGGAGGGTGTTTTTATCACCCTCCCACAGCAATGGAAAAATTTGAAATCTCTGCATTGTTTTCTCATGCAGAGGCCAAACACGATCTGGTTTTGCAAGGACACTGTCACACCTGCTTGCTCTGTTGATGCAGCAGCGCTGGGCTTTGCCCACCAGAAAATAGTGGGTGATGGGGGGGAAGGTACCACTTCCCTGAGAAGTGGTAAAGGGGTACAGATGCAGCCCCTCTACCTGGGATAGATATGCCCAGTGACTGCAAGCATCCATGATCCATACAAAGCTTCACCACCATGTACTTGGCAAGGAACCCCACACTGTATCTAAGATGCAGGAATTTTCTTATACAGTGTCTGGTAGTTGCCACTGGAAGAGAAGAGACAGGGGTCTTGGTTGCATGCAACACAACATTTGCTCTGAGCTTAAGTCCCAGGGCACAAGGCACCCAAACTGTTGCCAAAAATGCCAGTAACTGCCGTAGACACAACTCTCTCCCTTTTCTCACGCAAGCTCTTCTTCTAGTCGTCCAACCAAGGAGCTTCTGCTCCACCTTGAGCAAAGGGAGCCAAGACTCACCAAATGGTTCATTGCCAAGAGGTTTTCTAGCAAGCCTCTCAGTGGCTGGACTGCACACAGCTAGCATGGTTTCACTTCGTATTTTCTTAGGGATCACCAAGGAGCATATTAAGAATGTCTCCTGTAAGCACCTCACCCAATTGTAATAATAACCACGTTTCACTTTGCCTCTTCTTTCACCCAAAAGCAGCTTGCTTGTTCCTTAGTAAGGAGAGACAATGAGGTCAGTAGTTTTGGTGGAATAAGACATCATGCACCTTCCAAAAGGTTCTTCCCCTTATCCAAAGGGAGAAAAGAAGGCTAAGTATCTTGGTTCGAGAGGCAAATGCTTGGCCTCCTCTGGGAGAAAGAGTTCCCTTTGGCTAACAGGAGGGAAGGAGGCTGAAAGCATCCTAGAGTTATGTAGCAGAACTGGGCTTCGGGAAATCAGGGATGCCCAAATCTAGAATTTAATTCATTTCTGAAACACTGAAATTCAGATCTAAAACCATATAGCATTTTATCTGCCAAACCCAAGCAGCCTCTAAGATTTGCTATGGTCTGTACTGATCCTAAACGGACAGTAGAGGACCTCAGATGAACCAGTTGTGAGCAATTCCAGTTAATGTTATTCCCAGAACTTCAGCCACTTGAACTGTTGACCCACAGGCTACCACGTATACCAGAATATCCTCATTTTCTTGTGAAAAGACCAGATGATTCGGGCTCCTTCACCCTTAACGGCACCTCTTTCACAGGGGACTCCCTCACCTATCACCAGGGCCGCCCCTTCTCCACCAAGGACAGGGACAACGACGTCGCTGTGACCAACTGCGCCATGTCCTACAAAGGGGCCTGGTGGTATAAGAACTGCCATCGCACCAACCTCAATGGCAAGTACGGAGAGTCCCGGCACAGTCAGGTAAGGGCAGAGCTGGGCTGAAAGCCTTTGGCCTTTCTTCCAGCAGTGAGACAACAGCAAGCCCAAGCTAGGGCTGGGGTTGTGTGGTCGGTGCACCAGGGTCAGGAGCACTGCTGGCGTGACCCAACACGAGCTGGAGCAAAGAGAAACACCATCAAGCCATTTGGGCTGGTGCTTCGTGCCTCACGCTGGCTGCCATGGCCATTTACCGTGGCACCTTTGAAAAAATACATACATAAAATTTGATCAGAGGAGCCTTTGAGCAGTGGGAAAAATCCATCAAGCCAAAGCAGCAGACGAGTTTCTTTCTTCTGCTGTGGAAAGTTCTTTCTTCTGGCTCTTCCGTGGCAGTCAACCTCATTTCCTTTCTCTCCCACTCTAGTCTGTTAAGGTCTTTCTTTACACTGTGCCTTTCTTTCCCTCCTGCCAGGGGATTAACTGGTACCATTGGAAAGGCCACGAGTTCTCCATCCCCTTTGTGGAAATGAAGATGCGACCTTACAACCACCGTAACGTCTCCGGGAGGAAGCGACGGTCCCTACAGCTCTGAGCCAGTTGAACCCCCTCCCACCTCCCACCACCTGACCTTTTCTGTCATTTGTTTGTATTTTATAATATGAAAAGGGGGGGAAAAAAATACTACTCGTCTGAGATAGCGACCTGCCCCTCACGAGTGCTGGAGGGAACCACGGCACAAGCAAAGGCTGTGGGAAAGGAAAGATCTCATTGCTTTGCATCTGTCCCAGAGAAATACCAAATTTCCAGTCTCCCTACCCCAGTACTCTGGCCCTTAACCCAAGAAGAAAGAGAGAAAGAGACAGACAGATTTTTGATATTTTTTTAAAAGACTTAGAAATTCCCCACATACCCTGTTAGAAACATTTGTCACGGGGATCGTGGCAGAAACCTTCCCCGCAGGAACCTTGGTGCGGCCATTTCCACCCCAGCTACGGCCAGGGACACCCCTGTCTCCCTGTTCCCTCCTGGCAGGGAGGTCCCAAGCTTCATGCCATCCTGTAGACACCACCTTTCCCTGCAGGCAGAGGCCCATCTCTCCTTCTGCCAAGGGCACACAGCCTGGCCATCCCTCCCCTACGTGCAGGCACTGTACACAGGGAGACACAGCAAGGATAAGCAAACACAAGGCTCATCCCATCCCCAGTTTTCACAGATCACACCAGGAGGGCTTGGTGAATTTCTGCATGTGTAGGCAAACTCTAGAGAACCCACAGCTCACGTGTTGGGCCCATCACAGCCAAAGTCATCCCCTTGTACATGGCATGCAGGGGAACAAGAGCTGCTCCACCAGCCCCAACCTGCACCATCTACTCCTCTGAGCTGAACTCATCCCACTTCAGATGCATGACATCCGTCTGGGTTTTGTTGAGCTTGATGGAGAAGAAAGGATTCAAGTTAGAGGACTTGGGAGAAAAATCACTATTTGTGGTCTTGAAATCTAGGGCCCACTTCCTCTGCTATTTCTAAATTCCACCATGCTGTGTCTCACAGAGGTCATTGGTCCCAAACCAAAGAGTCTCCGAGAAGGACCAGCAACCAAAAAAGCTATCACACCACTGCAGCCCAGATGGCTGCCAGCGCAGCCCAGGTGCTCCTGTTCAGGGACCTCCACGCACTCGGGGAAGGATGAGGACGCAGCCAAGGGAAGACAAGTGTAAGCTGAGAAACGCCCGTTCCCTTCCTTCTCCTATACCACCCCTCTTCACCACCATCACAAGAGAGACTCAAATCTCAGTGCTTTGGTATCACCATCTCTCTAATGGCAAATCAACTCTTGCCTCTCCTGAAAGGAAGGCTTACTCCATTCAGATTTTGGAGAACTTCAAGACTCTTGGAAGAATAAATGGGTTCGCTCTTCCCAACCTTACCTTCTCCCATCTTCAGGACAATGGACTCTTCAGCTAGCTCTGGCTGCTTTTTGTTTTCATTGACACCACCTCCACGCAGCCCAAACGACCACCACACTGGAGTCACTCCTCTGCCAAGGACTCTGATCAATGCTGGGCATTGTTACTGGCCTGGTCTCAGAGAAGGGACTCATCCCCATGTCCAAGGACAATGCAGCTCATTGCTGGGTTCACAGCCAAGGGAGCATTACAAATGCTAAACACTGCTTTTTGATTTTATCGCACTGAAGCTGCTTTGTCTCAAGAAACATCTTCCAGATGGCAACATAAAGGCATCTTTGCAGTAGCTTATAATTCAGGACAGTGTCTCTTTCATGGTCACGCTCCTGGGTTTTCTGACGTTACTCATCATGGCTGCAGAGCTGAAGAAGGGCCGTAAATGGGAAACGCAGACTCCTTACCCATGCCACGTACTGGCACAAAAAATCACACCTAGCCCCAAGGTCAGGATTAGATACAGGGTCCAGCCCTTCAAGTGGACAGCTTACAAGCTGCAGTCTGACCCGGAGGATGCTCGGTAACATCCCATGTGTAAAATGAGGCATCTCTTCTTACTTCCCAACAGCAGCAAATCAGGCAACAAGCCAACCAGTTGAGGAGCAGGTCAGTCAGAGATGCTGCAGGTGATGGGATCTCTTGCAGGACATGGCCAGTGTCACAGATGGCAGCGTGTCACACCACCCAAGCAACATGCCCTGGTTTAGGTTCCAAAAGCCAACAAGAAGCAGCAGATAGAACTGAATAAGACCTAAGAAGCCTCCTAGTAGACCAGCAGAGCAATATTTTTGACAACATCTCCAAAAGTTTATAAGCAAGAAGTGTCCTAACAAAAGCACTATAGTGCAGTGGTATAACTAGGAGCAGAGGTTGTCAGTGGATGGCATTCATCACCTGTCCCAGATAGTGCTGTTTGCTTATCTACCCAGGTGAAAGAAAGAGACATCAGTGGAAACACAGGAGCTCATCATTCACAATCAAGCGGAAGGCAAGATACTTCTCTTTTCAAAAGTACAAGTCAAACAGAAAATCAAAACATGCCAAGCTTTTCCAGGAGGTTCAGAAGAAAATCCTCAAAAAGGCTGATTATTCTCTAAATAGATTTCCTGACGTATGTCTCTGTCTCCCTGCTTATGTCTGTCATCCCTTTTATAAGTCCTGTAACCGGGATGAAAGGGCCTGGTTTACTCAACTCCATCATCAAGTCTGAAGGGCACCCTTGGAGATAACATCGGACCTTCCAGTGCCACTATATACCAGTGCTGGTCCTTGATCTCAAACATGGTGCCCAGGCGTTGTGTTTCCCTCACCCTGGTGAAAAGCAGTTGCTAAAATCGTTTAAAGGAAAGGTATCTACATGTGGTGGTTTTGTTCAGGTGATAACCTAACCCAAGCCTAGGCAAACAATCAGCAATGATGACCCGGTCATTTCAGCCATTGTCCCTTGGTCACATTGTCCATCTACAAGATACAATTTTCCAGAAATTTATTTTTCAACATTGCCTGATGATTTTTTTTGGATAAAGCTCCTGCTAGTAGTTTCAAGCAAATTTGTGCTTAATGTTGATGCTGCAGAATGGCCAGAGGATTAAGTACAGTCCCCCTTTACTCTCCATCACTGGTTGGGCAAGCCCTTTTTCTGAATTCATTCTCCAACCAGAGCAACTTCAGCCCTGACCCTCATCAGCATAGCGTTGAGACTGAACAAAGTCTTGGCAACAGGCCTGAAATTCCCAGAAACCCAGCCTGGATCCTGCACAACGCTCATCTTGACAGATGCTGGCTCCACCACATGAACCATCCCTGGGCTCTGGTGGCTCTTCTGCCGCCCAGCTTATATGGTCCAGGCTTGCCCCAGACCCCAAAACAAACTTGAAGCTGTTACCCAAATCACACTAGCCACTGCAAGATGCCAACTCCTGTAACATCAAGCAAGGAGAAGCACATCAGGTCCTTCACCCAGCAGAGAACCATGCATGCCCAGGACCCCCACAGCCTTTCAAAGCTGCCTCTTAGTTCTAACCCCAAAATCCTGGAAGGAAACACCAAGGGACTTTCTCATTTCTCACCCAATTTTGATTTCCCTGTTTCCATTCCTACCAGACCTCCAAACCCACCTTTCCACCATGCACTGCACTAAAACATAACCAAAAAAAAAAGGCCTGAAAGGGAAAGCTGCTTTTAGTAAAGTGAACCTGAAGACAGCAGTTATAAATTAATAATTTGGGGAAAGAAAGAGGTCAGGCCTTCTCACAAGGTAGCTGGATTTTGGCAGAAGGATGCTGGAAGAGTGTCAGAGCCAAAGGTTGGGAAGAAGCCCTTGCTTCTACTCCCTATCTTTGCATTACCTTACCATCAGCATCTCAAAGCATCACACCAGCCTAAATGCCCTCTTGCCCCAACTTCTTACCTCCTTCCCAAAGTGATGCTTACCCCAGGTGAAGCGCTGGTGTGTGGAAAGCACAGCTCACACCACCTCGGTCCTCAGGTCAGGGCTTGGGTAGTGGTGTCCCCACGCTGGGTTGGCCCTGTGCCCACAACAGGCTTAGAGCGACCTGCCAAAATACAGCAGGAGCCAAAATATGCGCCCGGCGCATCGCTTCTGTACCAGCACGTGCCCTTCATCCAGACCCAGAGCCAGCCTCCTGGTATGTCCCTACCATCTCCCCTTGGGGTGACCGTGCACCCCCTGGCCTGTGCCCCCCAGCAACGCCCAAAAGCTTTGACCTTACCAGACACTGCCAGCAAAGAGGTCTCACCCCCAAAAAAACCCTGTAATTCACGCTTACACCCACTAACAAACTGGGGCCGAGCCAGAAACCCATCCCTGTTTCTGCCAACCAAGAACCCCGGGGTGGCCATCAAACCCAACCGAGCCCCTTGGGGAGCACTGGTACCCTCAAGGGTCACCTTCCCCCTTCCTTAAACCTGATGGTGCCCAGATGGTGGTGGCAGCTCCTTGCACCTCCCAGGGGGGAAGGTTTGTGGTAAGGGGGAAGGACAGACTTTTCCCTGGGGAGATGCTGATGCCCAGAGCCACCTCAGTACCCAGCCTGCAGCTCTCCAGGTGTCAGTGGTTTCTCAGAAGGATGGTGACACAAAGACCTAACAAACAAACAAGCATCCCCCTGTGTACAGGTGTGACCCTGGAATTGTGTTTACTACTTTTAAAAACCATAAATAAGGAGAAAGAACAGAGGCAACGAAATCCCTTGGACAGGTTCTGATGAACTCAAACACAAACCAACGCAACCAAATGAGGGGGAAGATAAAAGAAAATAAATGCATAAATAAAATAAATAATATAAATAAATAATATATTAAACAACCCTCCCCAGCCTGTAATGAAAATGTAGCTCGGAGAATGGGATTGACGCTTGTTAACCATTGTTAACTAGTATTTTTAGTCCTGACCGCTCTTAGGCTATGTATAGTTCCTTTTTTTAATGCATTTTCTATACATTAATAAAAGATACCGAAGGAGTGAGCTGTGTGCCTGTCCTGGGGCGGGGTGGGAGTGGGGTCTTGGTACATCCAAGCCCCGCAGCATCGCATCCCCGACCTCACGCCACGCGGGAATGTGCATCTCTTGTCCCTAATCCTCATTTATCCCATGGGAGAAGGAGCACAGGGGGGGCTCATCAGCAGGATTCACATGCTCTCACCCTCCTGCAAGGGCACGCCCTGGCCCAGCGGAGCTCAGATACTTCTGCATCCCAGGCAGCTGGCCACAGAGGCTCGGTTTTTCGCTCGGCGGTTTCCAGCTGGGCTGTAAGGTGTCACCCAGCCGAGACGGCCACCCCAGCGAGCCCAGGAGCAGCTGGAGGAAAGCACGCTCCTCGTTTGCACAGCCCGCCAAGAAACACAAAGCGGGAGGAAGAGAGCAGCTGAGAGACAAAGCACATGCAATGGGATTTGAAAGAAAAAAAAAAAATACAAAAACCCAACATACAAACAAAAAACCACAAACAAACAAGCAAACAAACAAAAAACAAAACCAAACAGACAAACAAAAACATACAAGGAGGAAATCTGGGGGGCATCCCAGCACTGGCTGGTGGTGCCACCTCCATCCTTGGAGGGGCTCAAGACCAGGCTGGAGAAAGCCCTGAGCAACCTCGTCCGACCCCAGGGCTGCCTTGGGCAGCAGGTTGGACTGGAGGCTCCCAACATCCCCCCTGCTCGAGTTATCCTCTTAAAGTAAATGATAATAAAGTGACCACAAAGTCGGACCAGCGCTGTTGGTCCTTTAACCCTGGTAAGGCAGGGAGCTGCGCTTTGGCCTCAGCCCAGCTCAAGATGTTTCGTTAATAAATTTAGCTGCTCCCAAGAGCTAGAGAGGCTCTGCAGTTTGCAGCCAGAGAAAGCAAAGCCATGGTGTAAATGCTCAGGAGCAGAGCGAAACAACCCTGAAGTCTTCAGTTAAAGTTGTTCTCCTGATTTAGACAGCAATCTGTTCCCAGCACGATGGAAACCCCACTGAAAACCAAATTGCAAAGCTATTTCCAGAAGAACATTCTCCCAGTGGAAAACAAAATAAAAACCAAAAAAAAAAAAAAAAAAAAAAAAAAAAAACAACTAACATTGAATTAGAAAAAATCTCTGGGACAAGCATGAATTTCAGAGAATTTTGAAAGTCTCTTCTTGTTTTGCATGCAGACTTTATTTAGACCTCCTTGTCTTAAGTCTTCATGTTTGACACGTAGCCAAGCAGGATGAAAAAGCCCAGAAGAAGCTATTCTGCCAGACCGCTTGAGCATTTTCTAAATTTAATTTCAGAGAGACAAAACAGGGGCTTTTGCTTTACAGCAGCTTACCAACTTCTCTTTCTTGCTCTTATTCAAGAGAAAGAAAAAAGGAAGTTGTAAGTGCGGGGATCCCCCACCTCAGCCACGGCCACTGGCACACCACTAAGCCAAGCCTGAAGCCTGACAGACACAACTCTCTGGGTTAACTGTCATGTCCCTTCATGTCTGAGGGACACAATGCCATGGAAGACCCTTCAGGCAAGCCCAGGGTCCGTCCTCTGCACGTGGAGGAGCCAAGGGGTGGACATGGGTTTGGGATGGAGAGGAAGGGTGGCCTGCGAGAGCACTTGTCATCCCAGTGTCACTCTGGCCACACAGTTGACCCAACACGGTGGGTGTCATTTGTGGTCCCTTAGAGAAGAGCAGTGCTCTCCGCTGTACCCTCCCTTCAGCATGTCTGGGGCCAACCGGGGCCCCCTCCCCAGGACACAAAATCCCTGCAGAGCGCCCCAAAACCAGCTCACCTGAAAGAAAGACAGGCTTCCCATTGCAACAACCAGATGCATGAGGTGGGCACCCACCACTCGGAGGTTGGTACCCCAAGAAGGCGGGTGCATGTGGAGCCACGGCATCTCTCTGGACCATAACCCACCTCCCAAAATCAGAGCCACGGCCCAGCTCCCGCTTCAGACAGGATGAGAAGGGGGCTGAGGGCTGGCACAAGCCCTTTCCTAAACGCCCCAAGTTTTGACTTAAGCCAGGGAGGTGTTTTGCCCCACCACACCAGCCCTTGGGGACCCTCCTGCCCCACCACCCATCGCAAGCGCCCACCACCCACATCTCTCTGCCCCCCCTCTGCCCTCGCACAGCTCAGAGCCATCTGCACACTCTAGGCACGGCCCTGCAGCATCGCACGTGGTGGGATCTCCCATTCCCACCCTCTCCGAGCAGCACAGCTCCCTGGGCAGCCCGAGTTTTGCGCAAGCAGCACCCGCAGAGCATCGCACTGACAGCCCCCCCCCCCCCCCCCCCCCATCTGCACTTTGTATGGAGATATTTCATCACAGCCCTCTTACCAAAGTCCCCTCCTTGCATGAGCGATGCTCGGGAACTTTGTTCGACCAGAAAACATCAGGAGGGTGTACAAAGGTCCTCAGCGAGGGTGTTGGGCATCCGTCCCAAACCTGGGGCTCGAGCAACGTGTTCCCAGCAACACACCCTGTAACCTCAGCCCCAAAAAAACCACAAGGGAAATGCTCACCCAGGAGCAAGGAGCACCACGGGAGGGGGTGCAATGCCTGCAGGAGCAAGGCTGGAGCAGGTCAATGAAGGGGCACCCTCAACCCATGAATTCACAACTGCTTTGTGCCTTGCGGGATGTGATTTTTATAGCACCACCTTTAACATTCTGGGGTTTTAATTCCCCCCATAAGCCTGGATGTGCTCATCATCCCTTTAAAACCCTCATTCCCACTTTTATATTTTCAACTCCTGTGCCTACAAGCTCTAAAGCTTAATTATGTAGAGCGTTAAAAAAAAAAAAAAATTATCTCTTTTAATCAAATATAAACGCAGGGCTTTTAGATTTCATTGATTTGTCCCCTCTCCCTGGGATGAGACGCGCTGTGAATAGCAACCCACAGGCTTATTCCCCCTTCCCTGTGCTACAGCCATGGCCTCAACACACAGCAATTTTTCTGCTTCTAACCTGTTTCAACAATCTTCCCTGTCACAAAAAAAAAAAAAAAAAAAAAAATCCATATTATATACATTATATTTGAGGCAAGATCCTAGCTGTGATTAGGGACTTTCTTATAGTGGCACTTCTCTCCCTCCCAGTATTTTGGACTGCTTCCTGCTGTCGGTAGGGATGCTGAAGGTGTGCAGCCCCCCTATAGCATGCTCTATGCAATGTATAAGCATGCTTATTCCCAGCAGCATGGGATGGGAATTGCTCCCACCCAGGTTATCTCCCCGGCATTACTCCTCTGTAGGCACCGGGGCCCGGTACAGCCGCTGGCCGGCCGAGCAGGCTGCACTGGGATGCTGGTGGGAGCACAAGCCGCCTCTGTTCGCCACAACGGCCCCTTGTCCCCGTGCTGTCCCCTGCCTTTGGTGACATCGCAACAGATGGAAGTAACTCTGAAGGAAGTAACTCTGCAAATGCTTCTGAGAAAAATCCTTCCCCCCAAAAAGCGAGGGAAGCGGGGGATGAAGTGGGAAGCCCTTCCTCTAAGAATTTCAGGGGAAGGCACTGGAAACAGGCAGCGGGGGGAGGAGCGGGAGAGGGGACGGGGCTGGAGAAGCCTCACTGGCTGCCGGCGTCCCCCCTTGCTCCTGGGGACAGGCACTGGCCCTCCTCCTGGTCTCATGAGCCCTGCTGCACTAAGCAGCTGGCATCTGCCCACTTGCCGTCTTGTATCGGTTCCTCACCCGTGACCCAACGCCACATCCCCCTCCAGCCTGAGGGGGACTTTGCCCCTCCAAATAAAGGAACCTACTCTCCCTCACAGGGGGGAAAAAAAGAGGCAAAACAGCCCCAGGAGAAAGAACTTTGGTGTGTTTTTTCCTCTTTCACCCACCCCAATTTGCATTTCACTCTCGGTTCCCTCCCTGGGGGTGACTGAGCCCCCACCAAACTGCCCTGTCCAAGCGCCGGCGCCCAGCTACATCCTCCCTGCAAAGCCCCTGTTGGTAAACAAGGAGAAGGAAGACTTTGAACTGTGAAAAGCAATGGTCAAGTAGTCCCCAACCCCAGGCAGGAGCTAAGCTCCAAGGGCAGCACAAAACATCCCGGCACAAGGGCACACCTTGGCAAAATGCTCTGGTGCCACCAGCCAAAATCCTCATGTGGTCCTGAGCTGAGGGACACCAGCTCACCAGAGATTTCCAGGAAGAGCTTCCCCCCGTGGAAATAACTTATGTAGAGGAAGGGATAATAATAATAATAACAACAACAGTGACAATAATTTGGCAGCTGCTTCTCATTAAAGAAATGGGATTGGATCTCCCTGCCCACCTCAGCTGGGCTCTGGGGGAAGCTGGCGCTGAGGGACGGCTGCTCCTTGGCATCACGGCACAACTGTTTTTTTCACCTAAAAGTCAACCTTGGCAGATCAGATCCAACACCCACCCAGCACGGGAAACCCCCGGGAGCAGCCGCTCCGGGAGGGGGCACGAGCCACCGCTTCCCACTGCCGGGGGCACACGCGGGTCCTGGGGGGCACTGGGGCTGTGCCCGAGCATCACTCGCTCCTCGGCCTTCGGTTCACACCTCCCACAGATCCAGCCCTTGGGAGGTGACAGCAAGATGCTGCCGGTGACCCCATTTCCATGCCGAGGGAAGGAGCACCCCCATTCATCGATGGGTTTGTTGTCCCCTGACCTTCACGTAACTGATCCTTGAGCCGTTCCTAAATGGGAAGGCACCACGTCACGCTGCCAGGACCCACCCAGTCCCGGGTGCTTTCCCCACCTCCTGACGTGTCTCCTCTCCCCCTTGCCCGCCGCCAGCGCTGCCCGTAGGATTTCCTCAGGAAGGAGTCCCTGAAGGCTCGCACACACAAAACAATCATCAGCTCTAAAATAACAAAAAGCCCTACCGATGAGGTTTGCTTTCCTTCCAAAGCCTGTGGCACATACTGAAACACACCCCGAGCAGAGACACACACCCTCCCCTCCTCCCTAAACACACTCAGGTCCCCGTACCCCATCTTTGCTCAATGCAAGAACCAAGTGGGACTTGAGGATGAACCCGAGGACCCCACCTCACTCCCCATCCCAACCCTTTCTTTCCCCTAAGTACCAGGGAGGAGTGCTTCAGCAAACCCAGACCCACCTCAGCAATCCCAGCTGCACCCAAAGCCTCCCAGGTGGGGAAGAGGCACCCCCAAAAAAACCTCACCAGTTCTGAGGCATTTCCTCTAAGAGCAGCCTTTCCCCCATCACTGCCCACGCAGGACTGAGCCCCAGGCACTTAAGGGCAGCCCCAAACCAGCACATCAGCACCAAGACAGGACCCATGTGGGGCTGGCACACCTGAGCCCAACCTGTCCCTGGGTCTCCCCTCTTCCCAGAGAGGACAGAGCCCGGCAGGCATCAGCCGAGGGAGAGAAAGGGGTGAAGCAGCTGCCAGGACCCTGCCAGTCCCAAAAACACCAGCTCAGCTTTTGTCCTCCATCCCCTCAAGGCTCACTGTCCCATTCCATCCCACTCCTGCCTCCCCCTTCTCCTCCAAAGCCGGAAAAACCATTGCTGCTGCTAAAGTAAATACCAAGGGTTGCTATTTTTATCCAGCCCACGACCAGCCGTGCTTTATTTTTGGTGTTTAAACTGCAGGCGTTTTTTTTTTTTGTTTTTTTTTTTTTTTTGTGGGAGGGGGAGAGGGAGGGGAAAAGGCAGAAGCATGGGGGAAAAATGAGAGGAATGTTTCTCCGGGAGCAGAGTTTTCCATTGCTTATGTTAAGCTGGGCTAGCATCTGCAAACAGAAATCGCAGCTGGAGAGCAGAGCAAGCAGCTGGGAGGAAAGGTGTGAGTGTGTCTGCAGTCACTTTGCATCTCCTCCCATCCCACCGGGGAGAAAAACCCAAACATACTGACCCTGGATGTCAGCTGGGCGGTACCAAGGCAGGCATGAAGCTCCCAGCTGTGTAATGGGGCAAACTGGTAAATAAATTAGTTGAATCCAATGAAACCAGAGGGGGAAAGAAGGGGGTGTTTCTATTTGCAGTGTAAAATTAGTAATGTTTTCCAAATGAAATTAGGGGTTGAGTGGACCTTGGAGGAAATTAAAAGTTATCAGGGGACCTTTTTGGCATGGGAAAGGCTCTGATCTCACGTGGAAGTAAGGACTTTGGGAATGAAGGGTGGAAAACAGAGGCTGGAGGTGGGATTTGATTTCCAGCTGGTCCCAGGCCTGGGCTCAGACTGACATCCCATGATGTGACAGGAGCTTGTCTGGCGTGGGCTTACTGGTTCCTGTGCTCGAGGGGCACCAGCGAGCAGGGAGAGGCGTCATCTGGAGCAGCAGTGATTCACCAGCGGCTGAGTCACGGCTTCCTCTCGCCCAGTCAACTTTCTGAAAAACAAAGCATGATCCCTTGGAGCCCAGATTTGCTGGAGGCCAAACAAAACTAAGAGGTGGCAGGTTCAGCACCCACCCCCCAAAATGTACTTTCTTCCCACACCTCATGTGAAGGAGCCGTGGAATTCCTCACTGCAGGAGACATCCACAGGGTCAAACATCAAATGGTGTTTAGATTCTCTCAAAGTATCTCCTGTGGACCACTGTTGGGAAGAGGATGCTGCGATAGACAGAGACGTGGTCTGACTGGTTATATGTGCATATTCTTGAATTATTTCTAAGTTTCTTTAAGTCTATCCGATACTTCCCAACTCAGCTTAATGGTATCGTGACACTCAATGGCATCAAGACTCTGCTTTACAGCTAGCAGCATCACGAGAGATTTAAGTGCTGAGATCAGCGTTATCAGTGCCCACCAGCTCCATCACTTCGTCACAATGCTCCTGCCTAAAGCCAAGTGGGTGCCGAAGCACCGTGGCTTGGAGAGGCCCCCGAAAAGCCGAGGAAGGTGCCCAGACCTCTGGCCCCTCCCTCCACGAGGCCTCTGCCAAATTAAATTAGCGACAAGAAAGCTCTGAGCCCCAGCCCAACTGTTTGCCCAGGGAACAAAGCAAACCTCCCGGCGACAGGCAGGGCTTTCATCTCCCTCAACCCCGGGGAGTGGGCAACCCCGAGCCCAATGCCTCTGGCCACGATCACCCTTGAGGACCTTTAATGATAAATATTTCCAGGAAATCCTATTCGGGTGGTGTCAAAGGTGACGTTACGCTACCTGGTGCTGCAGGGTGTCCCCTGGGTGACTGCCAGCACCCAGGTGGCTTTTTCTGCATGCCCTGGGAAGGGTGTTTTTGTAGGGGATTTGGTACCTGCAAACAAGGGAACTGCTGCAGCTCAGCGAGGGGGGAGAGCCGGGCTGGTGCGAAGCAGGACGGGGTGAGCCACGACTGTGGTGCAAAGCCCAGGGATCTCCATCCTGTAGCATAAAACCAAGGTAAAATTTCCTGGTGTTAACCGGCAGCAAATATTTAAGTGAAAAGGGTTTGGTACTTCCCGCAGCGCAAAGGCTACTCGGGGCCTCTCACCCTTCCAGCCCAGCGCTAGCATGGAGGCAGCAGGAGGGAGGGCAGCGGACCCTCCAACCCTCCTCTCTGCCCTTCTTTCCTCCCATTCCCACCACAGCTTTGCTCCCGGCGCTGCCCAGCCGCGGCACTGGGGGCACAGGGCTGTTTTCCGGCAGCCTCGAAGGGTCGGGCAGCCCCGGCTACCCCGGCCCGAGGAGTCAGCAGCAAGGCTGAGGAGGAAAAGCAAAGCTGCTGGGTCCGGAGCACGAAGGGGGGCGAGGAGGGCAAGCGCGAGGGTTTTGCAAGTCGGAAGGATTCGAGCCGGCCAGAAAAATTCCAGCAAAACATTTTTCTAGTCGCAGCTTGCCCGGCCGTCAACAGCGCAGTACAGCTCAGCACCGGGATGGAAAGCAAGTGGGATCCGGTGATTCCTGGATATCCCAAATACTGAGATAAAAAAAGAAATACGATGAAAAAGAAAGAGGATGGAGAGAAAGTAGTAAGTGAAAATTGGAAGTGGTGGGGAGGAGGATTTCCAAATTGACCTGAAATGGAATTTGGAAAATATCAAAGCCCTGCACAACCACCTGGAGGGCCTTCCTCGGGTCGAAACATCACTCTGTGGGTGCACAGCACCCTTAATGCTGCCGGGTGCTGCCCGCGGAGGAGAGCAGCCCCCGGGGTGTCCCCCCTCCCCTGGGGACGGTGGCTCCTCTCCCACTCGGCTGCACCGTCCCCTTTCCAGGGACAGAGCTTGAGCACCGGGGCAGCGCGGTGGTGTCGGGGGCAGGGGGGAGTGGGCAGGGTCCTGGCACCGTTTTTTGGGAGATGGAGCTCTGCCCTGTCCTTAAAAGACTCCCAACCTCAGGAGCGGCAACGCCACTCCTGCAAAACCCCCCTAAAAAAAAAAAAAAAAAAAAAAAAAAAAAAAAAAAATATATATATATATATATATATATATATATATATATATATATATATATAAAAGCTTCTGGGGGAATCTGAGACGCATCAAAGCCCGGGCCTCCTTCCCGGCGAGGGAAAACACTTTGTTCTCTCCCTTTTCCCAGCAACTTTTGGCATATTTCAAGCCCGCTTTTGTACCTCCCTCCCTCCGTGCCTCTTCCCTAGACTAAACAACCCCTCAGCTCTGCCAGCCCTTCCCCAGCGCCCGCGGCCGGCGAAACGCCGGGGTCCCCCCCCCCGTGACCGCCCTTCCCCACCCTTCGCAGGGATTTTTTTTTTTGGGGGGGGGTGGGGGGTGTTGGGTGTCCCCCCGGGGGGGCCGGGGCGCGGCGGGGCCGGGCCGGGGGCGGGGGCAGCCGGGCCGGGGCGGCCCATTTCCTCCGGCCGGCGGGAGCCTCCGCCGGGGCGGGCGGGAGGACGAGCGAGGGGCCGCGGGTGCGGAGGTACGTTCGGGTTTTGGGGGGGGGTTGGGGGGGGGTGTCCCGGGGGGAGCCGCTCCCCGCAGCCACCGGGCATCGCCCAGCCGCGCTGGGCATCATCCTTGGCTTGGAGTTAGCCAAACCTAGGGGATTTCTCTATTTTGTGTAATTTTTTTTTTTTTTTATTTTTTTTTTTTTCCCCCCCCCCCCGCAGTCCCGCGGGTGGGCAGCAGCCAGCCGCGGCGGGGCTGGCTCTGGGGCTGGGATTTGGGCCGGGGGCGTTGGGAACCCTGACACAGCCGGGTGGGGACGGTGGCACTTGAGGAAGGGCGACCGGGGCTCGGGGGACATTTGGCAGAAGAAGGGCTTGCCCAGCACCAGGGGTTTCGGGTGGCCAAAGCCAGAGGTAAAGGCTGCGCCAACAGATTTTGCTGTTACTTCTCCTCTGGGGAGCCGCAGGGCTGACCCCGAGCCTCCTGGAACCAAAAAAATCCCTTTGAGCCACCCCGGGGAGGGCCATGGGTGGGCTGGGGCGGGGGGGGGCTGCCTCTACCAGCATTTAGGGGAGACTCAGGGGAGCTCCCGGTGCTGTCAGGGGTGACAGCGGTGCTTTCCTAAAAGCAAAAGTGGTGTTTTGGGCAGGAGTTGCACCGATGCCGGGGCGGGTGGCAGCCGTCCGTGTGCAGATGGCGATGACGGAGCGGGTTCCAGGCAGCAGCTTGCAAAATAGTTTCACTTTAACCCGGTTATCCAACATTCATATCAGTAGTTTTCCAAACCGCTCCCTTTAGGGGATGAAAGCATCTACACGCAGCTTCTGGCCGGAATGCTTGATGGCGGTGGGAATAAGATGAAGCTTTGGTTGGTTTTGTTTGCTGGGTGGTCGCTTTTTGTATTTGTTTTTTAACGTTTGAGGAAGGTCTCTAGAGCCTGCTACGAGTTCAGGGAGACCGGCGGCAAAACTCTTCTTATTCACCATTTCCAAAACAGCAACGCGCAATCCCAGCTAAGGAAACCGCTCACCCTCAGTGTCAGGTTTCATCCAGTTTTCCTTCAAGTCTGCAGGTGCAAACGGGAAAAATAGATGTGCGTGCGTGCGTAGCTGTGTCTCTGCTAGTTGTATCAGAGAACTCGGAGGCTGAGAGAGAAGTTAGCCACACCCGTAGCTGTCACTGCCAGCGGAAGGGGGGTATGCAGCTGGTATAAAACCAGTAACAGAAGGAAACGGTCGAATTTAATGTTGTGATTCCTGCTTCGCACCACTGAGCATTAACCGCATGAAGCGAGGTCTCCCCAGAAGTGAGGTCTCGCCCGCATTAAGGAAATGGGGGGGGCTGCAGGTCGGACGTTTCCCCGTCCCCTCTGCCAGTCCCCAGTTGCTGCTGGACACCGAGCGCAGGCGGGTTCCAGTAACCTACAAGTCCTCTGGGGCCAAACAAACCCCCCCAGGTCATGGGCTGTAGGTCGGTCGTCCTCTGGGGCTGCCCCTGCTCTCAACGTGGGTGCAGGGAGAAGCACCTTAAGAGCGGCCCCGCTCCCGCCTGAGCCTGGGTGCAGCGGGTTGGGCTTTGCAAGGCTGGAGGGACCTTCATGCAGACGTGAGAGCCTGTTGAGGGCTGAGCCGAAAGGACTTCCCTTGCAAAACCAGCTCCTAAAATATCTCCAGCTCCCTCCCCTCTGCCACGGTGACCCCGCGTAGCGGTTTCCAGCCCTTTGCCCCCTATTTCCAGCAAACTGCAACTTTTCTGCAAACTCTACCTCCATCCCCAGCCTCGACGCTTGCTCTGCCGACACACAGGATGTGGGCAAGCCAGCATTGCCAAGGCAACCCCTGTTTTGATTTCCCCGTGCTCAGGCTGGCAGACTTCACCCCTCCAGCTCAGCCAGGCCTGCCGTGCGCGCCGATGGTTTGCGGTGCCATCCCAAGCCGGCCCTCAAAAGGAGCTTGTTTTCCACCCACGGCCGCCCATAACTCCGGAGGAGTGGCAGATGCTCCCCACCCTTGCAAAAAACCGGCTCCTTCGGGGTCACCGTGGATTAAAGAACCTCATGTTGGACGCCCAGCTTCGACTAAACCTTACACAAGCCACGCAAACCCCAGCCGTGCAGAGCTGCCATCCATCCCCGCCCGCAGGACCTCCCGAGCAAGTTACCCTGTCAGCTTTGCCCTGACTCACTGCCAGCACTGGCTACCCAAAAACAAAGAGCTTATTTAGCAGGGCGTTTAGCAGCCCTCCCTGAGACGCTGCCCTGTCTCCCAGTGCCTCCCCGGCCCCATTTTTCGGTCCCATACCTTGACTCAAAAAACCAGCCAACCTCCCAGCCGCAGCTCTGCAGGCGCTGGGCATCCAGTTTCTCACCCGTGGTGGAACCCGGCACAGATTTTTCCTAAATGCAGCTCCTTGCTTCGCACGCAGGCTTTCAGCTGGTGATGGGTGGCCGTGGGTGACCTCTCTGCCCTTGGCGTTACCGGCTCAAAAGGCACCGGTTTTTTACTTTCCCCTCCCCCACGCTTTTTTTTTTGTTTTTTTTTAATGTTAAACTGAAGAACCCCTTTATTTAGCGCACAAACATCCCTTCATCTCCAAAATAAAAAAAAAAAAAAAAAAGAAGACATTTGAAAACCAGCTGCGTAGCCGTGCTGAAAGGTGGCCCTGGGATTTCGGGGCTGCTGGCTCGGGGCGGTGGCAGGTACCTCTGCCTTCCCCTCGCAGGGGATGCTCAGCCGCTGCTCCGGGCTTGCCCAGGGTGGCCGCAGGTCCCCGGCTGGGCACTTCCCAGGAACGAGCAGCGAGAGCCTCTGCGGCGCATTCCACTCGGGTTTAAAGTGGAAACGTTTCAAAGGGCTCTGCTTTTTTTTTTTTTTTTTTTTTTTCTCTGCAAACAATTAATTACAAGTTTAAAAGGAAGTTCTGGCCCTCCTTCCCTCCCCAGAAGTTTAGAGGCAATACCTATAAAGCAGCTCAGCGCAGGAATAAAATTGTACATCCTGTTTTGTCTGCAATTAAGGCGGTTGTTGTTTTGGGGTTGTTTTTTTTTACTTCTTTTTGGAGTGAAGTGTATCATAGCCATCCAGTATTCCTGCCTGGATAATGAGCTGTAAGGATATTTATGGATAAATGGCAAACCTGCCTCACACAGATGATTCAGGCCAAGGAAAAACTGCTCTGTTTGCTTCTGTTGCAGTTTAGCCTTTATTTCAGCTGTCCCAGAAAAAGGCCTCGGTGAGGATGAAGGTTGCGACAGGGAGCAGTTTTAAGAAGTGGCTCTCACTGCTTGCCCCTCTGCCCTTTGCTTTTAATGCCTTCAGGCAGCAGATAGCAGAGACCAGCACCCAGAGAGCCCTTGCTTATCTCCCCCTGCGAGCAAAAGCAGATCCGCGGTGCTCACTGCCAGCTCCGGGCAGGAGGTAGGAAGAGAATGGACGGGATTTCAGTCTCTGAGCCCTCGGTGGTAGCCTGTGATTTCTCAGGTGGGGATGGCGGTGATCTCACCATCCTCTGCCGGGCAGGGGAATGAGGCAATGCAGGGAGCAGCCAGTTTCCTGAGGCTGGGAAGCTGCTTGGCAGCAGAGGTGGGGTGGATAAGGCTCTTCTGCCTGTTGCAGCACCGTCCCTCCCTCCTGCTTGTCTACATCCCCCCAAATACCCACCATATATATATATATATATTTTTAGTTCCCCTTCTAGCAAGCAGAAACCGGAAGATGCAGCAAAGCGGACAAAAATCCAGCAATTAAATATGAGCAACAAAAGTCTTCGTTTAGCCAAAGCCCAAACCACCTCCCAGAGCGCTGTGTTTCAGTTGGTAAATCTCAAATGAGAGTTTTTCAGAAAGGCACCCACAGAAATTCATGCGCTCATTTTCATCACATTTCCCACGCGTATGTTCAAAAGAGAAACCACTAGCTAATTGGGGCCAGCTCAGCTACTCTCTCGTGCAAATAGAAACAGTAAATTCACAGCGGTCAGTCTGTTTCTCTGAGGGACAGGGAGGATAGACCCCTTCTTTTTAATAGGATCTGAGCACTTGTGAAGTCCCAAATTGAGAGCTCAACATCTACGCTGAAGGATTTAGCTCTTGGGGTCCTGGCAATCGGGTCTGAAAGCCAGCAGCTGGGCTGGTGGGTGAAACAAGACCCAGTACAGCTTTTGTAGGTCCCAGGCCCGTGTTTCCAAAGACAGGTTTTCCCTTGGGATCCGCCTTTTTGGGGGCTGCCCACCACCCCCCACCTCGGCGGCAGCAGCAGCACAAGGGCTATGGTTAAGGTTGGGTGGGACTCACACTTTCTTTTTCAGGCGAGGCTGGTAGCTTTGCTGTTCATTAGGAGGTAGGGTGTAATTGCAGAGCGAGGCAGGAGGATGGGCAGAGTGGTGGCAGCTGGGTGAGCCGGAGCATCCCTGCGCGGGTGCCCAACAGCAATAAATGCGATTCAAAGCGAGGAAGGAGAGCACCCCAGGCAAGGAGGCTTTAGCCAAAATCAGCCTGGGTCCCCTTCCCATTCCTCCCTAGAGGTACCCGGGCTCTGCGAGAGCTGCCAGAGGGAAAGCCAAGGAGTCAGCGGTCGCAGGGGACAAGTGGAGCAACCCCCTCCGGGACACCTTTTAGAGTTCAGGCTGTACCTCATAAGTTTTTGTTATGTGGAAATACTGGCTCTCCTTTTACCGTGCCTCAGTTTCCCCTCTTGCGCATGTGGGGATTTTGGCACTCCCTCAAGAGGCTGTGGGGGTTGAATCCCAGAGGCTGGCAAAGACACGGGTGGGAAATGCCGAGCGAGGGTGAAACGTGGTATTAGAGCCTGCTGTTGCTCCTGCCAGCTCTTCAGCTGTACAACCCATAATTTAGTGACCCCCCGGGTTGAACCAGAACTGCGAACTCATGGCACAAAGCGCCCTGCCCTACTCAAAAACCCCCAGGAGCTTTGGCTGGCTACAGGAGAAGAGAGCTGTGAGGAGAGGCGGCAGCTCCCTGCCCCTGCAGGAGGGCTTTCCTGGGAGCCCTGCTGCTCAGCAGCACCTCTCCCTCCCAGGGGGAGAGGAAGACCTTACGTCAGGCTGCAGAAATGCTCCTCAGCCCTACCCAAACCCTTGGAGCAATTCCCAGGTGAGGCACAGCAGCGGTTCCTCCATCCCCAGCCAACCCTCGTCCTCCCCCACCACTTGCTTTGCGGCCAGCCCCAGGTGCCTTGACCGCCGCCTGCGAGTCTCACCGACCGTAGCCCCCATCAAAAATCCAGGTGGTTTAAGCTGCAGCCCCCACCCCCAAACCTGCCAGGCAGTGCCCCGGGTGCCAGAGCAGGAGGACCAGACCCCCAGCACGGTGCCTGGGACAGGCACCCCATGCCCACAGTGCCCTCTGCCCACAGTGGCTTGGCTGCCTGGCCCAGACTGGAGACCATGAAGAACAGTCTGTCCAAACCAGACACCCCGTCCCAGTTTAAGGATTGACCTGTGACATGTTGAGTCCCACTCCGATGGCAGCAGTACAGCTCCCTGTGGTGATCCCTTGCCAGGACCAGGCAAGTCCCTTCCTAAACAGGAAAGCTCCTCCTGCAGACATTATTTCCTCTGCTAAGAAATAAGCCCTTCAGAGGGCTAAGAAGAGCTCCATGCTGTGCAGGATTTGTGCTCGGTAGGGATGCTCAAAGCCCTCCTCGCCCATCCCCACCCCATTGGGAATGAACCCTAGGAGAGGTCAGTAGGTTGTTTCTCAGATGGGGACACCCAAAGGGACGTGGCCGGCAGCACAGCCCAGCCCCGGTGACCCCAGACCCCTCTGAGGCAGCAGACCTCACCCTGCTGAGGTTTTGGCTGTGCTGGAAGTTCCACGGGGAAAATTGCTGAGGGAGCAGGCACCTGATCCGTGTGGTTTTCTGTCTCTGCAGGCACTATCCGAGGACACTTGTGGAGCCCACGAGCTGTTTACAGGAGCTGAGCGTACCCCAAGGGGCCTCCAAAGCAGAGGGAGCGGCACAGGCAGCCCGCCCAGGAGCCGACATGGAGCAGAAGATCAGCTCTTTCTTTAATTCCATCTTGGAGCTCATCCGTACCAAGCATGAGGAAGGGGTCTTCAACACCGTCTGCCTGGCCGTGCTGATGGGTCTGCCCTTCGTCGTCCTCATTGCGTTCATTTTCATCTGCTGCCACTGCTGCTTCTGCAGCCGGAGGGGAGAAAGCAAGAAGAAAGATGGCCCCAGCAGCAACGGGCAGCTGCACGCCGAGAGGAACAAGAAGAAAAAGAAGAAGAAGAAGGATGAAGAGGACCTGTGGATCTCGGCTCAGCCCAAGCTGCTCTTGCTGGACAAGAGACCCTCCTTGCCCATCTAGCAGACAGGAGGGCGTTCAGGCCCTCCCCTCTGAGATGCCACCAGTCCTTTCAGCTGTGCACTACGAGGGGCGAGGAGATGCCAAAGCTGCTGCCGCTTTACGGTGACTTTCAAAAGAGGCTGAGCCCAGCGGCTAACCAATGCGTTGAAAGGCCATCAGAGAGCAAGGCAGTCGGGCACAGGTTTCTGCCAGCCCCTTCTTCCCGACCACAACAGCGTGCCCAAGGGCAGAAACCCCCCGCCAAGGACAGGCATGCACGTGCCCTGCCGAGCACGGCGTGGGCGACCTGCCACCGGGCCGTACGTACCTCCCGCCACGAGCACGCAGTGCGGCCGTGCCTCGTTTGCTTGCCCCGCCGCCGAGGTGGCACGACTTGACCGTCTAGGCTCCGTCCAAACCCAGCCCACGGTGGAGAGGCAAAGAAAGCAGCCGAGTGCAGAGCTGCCCCGCAGCTGTGCCATCTCCCTGGCCACCAAACCAAAGGCAACCGGGAGCATCTGGAGCCAGATGCCCTCAGCCCAACCGTAGGGACCTCAAGACACCATCTTAAGGCAGCACAGCGGGAGGACGTGTCGCCGCCCAGGCTAGAGGCAGGGAGGAGAGAGGAGGCTTCACGACTGGCCCTTTTGCACCAGCACTTAAATAAATAAACAAATAAATAAATAAATCTTCCTTGAAAGACTGTTTTATACAGACTTGCCTTGCCACCACGCTACTGCAAGAGCGGAAACGCAAGCTGAGGCTGTGTAAAAGCTTAGCTACGGGCATTAGAGTTATTTATTGAATGACTACTAAAGAAGAGCAGGACCAAAGGCCCCTCTCTTGTGGGGCTAGGCACACCGAAGCGGTATCGAAGCAGCAGATGCATTTTCCCAGCACACTCGGCTGTCCCCTTTCCCTGCAGACCTTGTGCCACGCGTTGGAGACACACAGACCCACAAACACATGCTGCCACCAGCTGCTGCCACGCGGGCAGCTCTGTAAATGCCATGCAGAGGGCTTCTGCACAGCTGTCAAGCCAGCCGGCTCTGGGATTTGGGATAAGCTTTAGGAGAAGAGGGGAGTAAAGTTCATGCCCGCAGTCATCCCTTACCCCGGGATGCATCGTACGGCTGGACCCTGCTCCCCCCTCCATCCTCATCTCCCTCGGACGTGTGACAGCTCAGCCGGGCACAGCAGCTAACAGGACCACACATGGCTCTCCCCTTTGTTCTGGTTTTGACCCTCTGCTCCCTCCAGGCCTGCGTGCCCAGCCTACCTCCCGAGAAGCTGGGGGGTCTCCTCTGCCCCCCACTCCCCACCCTGCCAGGCTCTGTCTTCCCCAACTTGTTTTGCCAGCGAGGGATGCGCACATGTGATGAGAAGCCCCATCGCGTCTGCTTTTTGCCCTACGTCTGTACAGGGGGGGGATGTTTTCCTCCCATTTTCTTCCAGTTCTCATGGAGCAGACCGGCGCTGCCAGCCGAAGCCAGACATCTTGGGGGACGAGCAACCAAACCCACGTGGGCAGGCCTGGATGGAGCCGCTGGACACAACTGCTTCCAGCCCAGGCCCGGGCGATGCTGCCTTCCCCCCGGCTCCCCGGCCACGCACCGGCAGCGGGCAAAGCCCCCGCTGAGAAGCGGCCGCTGGTGCCACCCGGTCCCAGCACAGCCTGTTTTGTCTGACACAGACAGGGCGGTGATGTTAACCTCACGTCATGGGGTTTGGCTGCATGCGTCTGTGCTGGTTACAGCTGGGAAGGCCAGGCTCCTCCTCACACAGCCCTTTAAATTGACCCCATATGTGCCTTATTCTCCAGCTCGCTTTGTTAGCGCTGAAATAAGGGACTCCCTTCCCCTCCAAAACAGGAAGCAACACATAATGCTATGAAAAATTAGGATTTGCCACACCTAATCCTAGAGAGAAGCATGCAGGAATAGCTCTGGTCTGTGCCCCAAACCCTCAGTCCCCCCAGGACCCTGGAGAATCAGCACTGCACTTGTATTATTCCTTCTTCCTTCTCTCCTTTCCACCCATCATCCAGGTATTTTCTACAGCCCTCCCGCCTCCACGCTCACCAGGTGGGCAAAGCAGCCTCCTGCGGTGGAGGAAAGCTGCCCACACAGGTGCTCCTGCTGCAATCCAGAGGCACCAGCAGCCCCGGAGGAAGGGTGGTGCTGCCTGGAGGAATCGAAAAAAATCAGAGCAAAGGGAAACGCGATGGGAGGCCAGAGGCTTACCGGAACAAGCAGGGGCACGGAGGCAGCCGGCTCTGGCAGAAAACAGCCTACTAAGCGTGGGGCTGCTGGGCTTTGCACGGCCTCCTGCAAGAAGGTCCTTCTCCAGAAGGGTTAGCGCGTAACGTTTCAGGTGAGGGCAACCAGTTTCTGCACGAATCAGAGAAGAAAGTTAAGAAAATGTCTGTGTTGTGTCACACGTAACATCTCCAAGCTTTGAAGAGTTCAGAGCCGGCCTGAATTTCAAGAACCCACCAAAATCATCACTGGAATCCACCCCTTGACTGGGCAGGGAGGCACCAGGATACAACCCTGCTCTGATCCATCCAACCAGTGGGTGGTCCGAGCCTCTGCACCCCACAAAGCACAGGGGCAGACCGGCTTGAGGGCTGCTGTTTAGCCAAACCACGCACCGAATCAGCCGCTTCTTGAGACAAAAGCAAAAGAACAGCACCAGCCCTGAAGTGTACCAGGAGCTGTCACCCATCAGCTGGGCAGCAGTGACCCTGCAGCACCCACATGAACAAGGAGGCAGGAGAAGCATGGTACAGAAACTCTCCAGACAGCTCTGCACTGCCTCCCCACCACTGCATTTCAGTATCAACCTTTTACTTCCCAAAAGAGTCCATGCAACAGGGGAGAACACCCAAATTTTTTGCCTTTTTTTTTTTTTTTTAAAGAACAAAAATAAATGACTCAAACTGCAAACAAATGCTGTGTCTCTAGCTCACAGTCGTGTTTATTTTCCTGGGGAAATCTTTCCTCTATCTGCATCCTGGCCCTAGATAAGACACAGGGAGAGCTCAGCGGGCAGAGCCTGTGCAGTCTCTGCCTGCAGCCAGCTGTGCAGCTCAGAGATGTTTTCTTAAAGAAACAGTTTAGCTTCATCAAGTTTAACGCCCCTGCCATGTTAATGAGCACAGCCAAGCTCCTCTCCCCAAGGGCAAAAAGCAGTGGGAAGAAGAAAAGCAGTGTTTGTGCGCTGCGGGAGGTGGGCTGCAGAGATTTGTTGGTTTGGTTTGTTTTTTTTTTTTTCTCTCCTAGCTGAGGGTCAGCAGCACAGACTAGTTAATCCCAGTTGGTTTTGATCAGGCAAGGATTTCACGGCGTCTGCAGCTTCTCGCCGCTGTCTGCGTTGGGCAAGGCGCAGGACCAGGCCCGTACCTCTGCAGGGCAGAGCCTTTCCAAATCAGGTACCATGGAGCTCTCCCTCCGCGAGGGCAAAAATAAATCTGCCTCAGGCAGACGATGCACCAAGGCTCACCTTGCCCACAGAGCCGAGGCTCTGGAAGAGCCTGGTGATAAAAGGCATGCAGGACCGTAGCACCGAGGGGCTAGAAAGGGCAGAGATGGGCTTTTGGGGGAAGGAATGAGCAGCACGCACCTTGTTTCTCTCTGGCCAGCAGCCCTGCACACCGTACTGGGGGCCTTGGGTAGCGTGAGGGAGGGGAGGCGCCTGGGTCCCAAGTTAGAAACAGGCAGGGGTTGAGGTCATGTTGAGCATCCCGGAGCAGTCCAGGCATCGAGTGGATGCAAAAATTGCCCCTGCAGGCCCCTGAAACCCCACTCAAGGGGAGAATGGGATCTTCACTGACTGATCCTGTATTTATTCAACCAACAAAGCCTAGAGCACTGACCAAAAGTAACACTGCTGCTCCCCAAGCACCTGCCTAGCGCAGTAAGACGCTTCTGTCTTCTCTCCAAATCCCGCCGCTCAGAGTGCAGTATCTTTGGGAAGAGGCATGCCTTCTCCCTCCCCCTCTGGGGTCTAGTGCTGGGGAGGCAGATGCACAATCAGGCACCGCTCCCCCCGCAGCAGCGTTTCGCTGGGGTCCCCCCGCAGCAGCACTGACCCCCCTGCACCCCAGGTGGATGACAACAGGCAGGTCCCGGCTCCTGGGGCCCAGCAGCGGGACAGTCCCCATCGAACCAGTAATGCCAAGGCAGAGAGGATCCTTCTGGGATCCAAATTCTGCCCCGGGCATGGTTGCAAATCGAGATTGAAAAGGTAAGTGATCTCAGGGCAAGGCAGAGGTTGCAAGAATCTGTTCTGGCCCTCCGGCATCACCGTTACAGGGCTGGGTATTGCAACAAAACAAGGGTAGTAAGAGGATGTGAAATTTTTATGGGACTACCCCAACCAGCCTGAGTCTTGAAACCAGAACAGCCAGTTCCTCAAGGCAAACAAACTGCATTATCTGAGCAGTCTCAGCTTCTGAAGCTGTAGCACAGACTCTGGTTAACCCCAAAAAGGTGCTTCTGCAGAGGCCAGTGGGATACAGGGAAGCTTCTCCTGCACTAGGATGAAGAGATGATGCCATCCTGCGGCTGTTTGGAAATACTGACTTCCCGCAGTGGTTTCCCAGCAGCAGCCACTTGGACTGCCCTCCCTGGTAAAAGAGGCCTGTAATTAGGAGGGGTAAAGTAAGCCCTTCTCAGAAACTGAAAATAAGGTATCTCATTTGCCTTTAACTCGAAATATAAAGCTCATACCACTGAAGAGAATATTGCCGGCTCTCAGGTAAGATTCAGCTTTAGAAGGGGGTCGTGTTTTGCCTCTGCACAGGAAAGAGCTGCTGGCAGCAATCACACCTGCTGCTTTTGAGAGCATATGCTTAACTTTTAGAGTGGCTACGTGTGAGGCTGGTCCTCCAGTGCCCCTCAGTCACCTTCCTGGGGCCTACACTGCGCCCTTTAACCGAACAACATCATGAAACCTGTCCTCACCTACAGACAAGTGGGCAACAGGGCGAAATCTCTTCACCGCAGTGAAGAACCCTCATCATTTTCCTGTGTCCTCCCCTCATTCTCTTAGCACAGAGCCTGCAAAACACTTCAAGTGCAATTTTCCTTTCCTGTCCTCCCTCTGTTAGTCTCCTCCTTTCCCCCAAACCGGGGCTTGGGTATCCTAACGCAGCTCAGGTGAGCCTTTGCCTGCCCACCCATGCAACAGGCACAGCCCTGGAAGTACCACGAAGAATTTAGTACTCACCTTTGAAAGATGAGTCTCTAGCTGGCCCTCCTCAGCCAGGTACCAACAACAGACTCCAAAGACCTAATTTTCACAGCCCTAGTCTGGGCCTGGGTGTTCCTCCATCTCCATAAAGAAGGCTTAGTTTAAATGGGAAGAAAAATAATTCTGCCACACAAAGCGAAGAAGACAGAAATATTTTAAGAGCTATCTGCAATTTTATTACTTCCCCCAAAGTCTGGGAAGGATTCTTTAAAATGTATTACTCCGCTTAGCAGGGATAAGAAAGGTCATTAAGACATAGGACAGTCATGTTCCAATCTGCTGAGACAAGGAAGCCTTTGAGCAAGCATCATTTGGTGAGTTCATACTTCTTCCCTGGCTGCAGCTGGTGGTCCAGAATGTTAATGTCTGCTCAGGGAAAGAAAATAAAACTCACCTTTGTGGCTGTGAGGAAAAAAAGCAGCCAAATGTGAAATCATGCACCGGGGCCTGAGGGAGAGCATGCAAGGTCGGTTTAACTCCGAGATGCTCGTTGTAGAGGTGGATGACAAGCGTTATCATTTCAGCATCACTAGCTACCACACTGCTAATGAAAAAGAAGAAGGCAGCAGATGGGACAGTTACGTAGAGAATTTTGTTCATGGTCTGTAAGCAGCCTCCTAGGCAAGCAGTATGCAAAGGCAGGTTTGGGATGGTGAGCGGAGCTCAGAGGGGTATAGCCCTTACCCTCACCCTGTTCTGGGCCGCACCTAGGAGTGTGAACATTATTTACTGCACGTCTCTTTAGGCTGGAAGACAAGAGAGCAGGATTTCAACCTGGAGAGATGGGATGCTGGAATTTGAGGAACACAGGCTACAAACCTCACCTGGTTTAACAAGCCTTGCCAGCAGCCTAACAACATTTCCCAAATTCCAGTTCTTTGACTGCAGGAAGAGTAGCGAATGTGCCCCAAATGACCAGAGGAAAGGAAAAGTGGACCACAGATCAAGACAGGGAGAAGGGATAGTCTCAGAAAAGCTCTCTCTGATGTAGATTAGAGAGCTATTAATTTTTAGTGGGTTCAAATTTAGGTTTTTTAAATCTGAAGTGGATGGCATCAGAAAAGGACAGAATTAAGAGAGGCGTCAGCAGCCCGGTTTTTCAGAAAGAACGGCGTGTGTTAGAGCTTTTTTTATGTAAAGTTCATGGAAGTTGCATATATTGGATCAAGCAGGTCCTTGTCATGTTTAGCCAACCAGGGGAGCTACAAGTGGGATGCTCCCCACAAGCCCCCTCCCAGTCTCTGGCAGATCACCCATCAGGAGCTCCAAAGGCTGGAAGCAGGCTGGGCTGTGGATCCCGAGCTCTCTGGGTGCACCTTGGTCAGCAATTGTCTCCAATGTATTGGAGACAGCTGTCTGGATGTAACTTTGTTAACAAACAGTGGATCATTATCTTTGGGTACTGTCCTGCACAGAGTTCAGTTTAAGCCCTGATCTTCTTCCTCTTCTCCAACAGAGACCTCTTCTTCCTCCCCAGGATTGGCTCATTACTGGAAGACTCAGGACGGATCTTCATCTCGGTAAAAGGGATGGAGAATTCATGGCCTTTCCACGGCTCCCAGTTCACACCCTGGGAAAAGACCAAGTAATTTCTTTTACTAAAGCACCCAGACCAAGTGTTAAGAGTCTACCACTGTCCCCCTCTAATACCATTTTGCCCTCCAATAAACGGAGACACACTACTGTTCACCAGATTTTGACTGTAATTATAATCAGTCTTCCAGACACTCCTAATATAAATCAAATCTCTCTCAAGTTTGGAACACCGCAGGACTGAGCCATCTTCAGGCCTGAAGTAAGCCTTTACAATGAGATGCACACCAAGGCATGCACTGAAAGCCAAGGTATAGGCTACATGAGACAGTGAGTCAGCATCCTACTGTGGCTCTGGTCAGTGTTTTTTCACATGTTCCCCTCAGAAATCAAGACAGCTCCACCTCAAGTGTCCCCACCCACCAGAATCAGGGGGCCATGAGCTCAATTCCTCTGGATCCAGAGAGGACAGAGTAAGAGCTGTAAATTTCCTTACGGATTATATTCCTTTCAAATTAAACGAGTTAGGATAGCCTGGGCAATCTCTCCTGCTCCAAGGAGAGACATTCCAGGCTAAGGAGAAGAGCCAACCACCACAGAGAGCTCTGCCACTCACCTCGCTGTGCTTGCTCTCCCCGTATTTCCCATTGAGGTTGGCCAAGTGGCAGTTCTTATACCACCACGCACCATGGTGTGTCAGAGCACAGTTGCTGAGAGCCACGTCATTGTCCCTGTCCCACGTTGTGAACTTCCAGCCGTTGTGGTAGGTCATCGCATCCCCTAAGGAAGGCATGAGACATGAACAGGAGTAAGATACAGTTGCTCAGCCTGGGGGCTTATACACCTTTCAGGCAGAACACAGCAGGCCTATCAGGGGAAAAGCAACAGCACAGGGTAGGGCTGGGCAATAATTTCTAAAAGGCTGCTACTACAGGGCATGTCCAAGGGCTGAATCCTCCCAGCTGACAATCTAAACCTTACAGCAAGAGGATATTAAAGGAAAAGTGGAAGACAGTGGCAACGGTAAGGATTTACCAGTGGCAGAAGCCAGCACCAGCAGAGCTGCTGCTGTTAAGCAAAATCCCATCCTGAACAAAAGCCACTCTGCACTTCTCAGCTGGGGGGCCCCAGAAGTTGCTCCCCCATCAGCACAGGTTGTCTCATGGAAATGCTTCCCAGTCTGCCTTTTCAGCTGGTGTTTCACTGGGTTACAGAGCCCTCTCTTCTCATGAAAAAGCAACTCTTTCTCCTGTCTTCAGCAGGAGACGGGCCTGCTGGCACACTCTCCTCAGCCTTCTGAGGAAGTACAGATATCTCCCTTCAAAGAGAATCACATCTGATCTACCCTGACCTAATAAGCTCCCACGCTACTGGCAAAAGAAATACACAGGTCCCAGCATTTGCTTCTCTGCACTAAGCAGAGACAACACAAGCACAAGGCACTCCTCACCAGCGTTGCCTCTGTAATTCCCCACTGATAGCCTGTATCTGTCCCTGCTCGAGGCGACCTGGAAGAAGTCATAGACAGCATAGACAGATTCACTGGCTGTCCTCAAATCCACTCGGAGCTCATAGCGGATGGGGCTGCTGCTTGTGAGATTGTGCAGCTTGTCAAGGCCTAGAAGGAAAAAAGAATTACTCTCAAAAGGGAAAACCTAGTTCACCTTTGCAGTCCTAGACTCTCACCCTGTGGCCATTTTGGTTAAATCAGCTATTTCCTGCCTCCCTCCTTTCCCGCTTGATGCTGTCATGACATTTTGCCAAGTTTATGCTGTTTTATCTCATTTTCTGGCAAGAGACAGCAGTATCAGATAAAACAAACAGCCTAAACCAGCACAAGACTGGCTGTAGTGCAACATTATTTTTCCCAGAACATTTAAAGACTCTTGCTCCAAAGACCTTGACCTATTTAGTGCTGGATGGAACATGGAGCTCACTAACAGAACACAACAGACAAAAAAATTAATGAGTACACCAAATTTTATGTAGTATCCCGGTCTTTGTATTTTCATAAATGCAATTTTATTTCTCCTCATAGGAGCACACAACCCTGAAATAAACCTTTCCAGGGTATGGCTTGTTCTGGGACTGCTCCAAAGCCCAAAGATGTCAGTGGAAATACTTAGTGGGCCTTTAGATATCCCTCAGTGCGTCATTGGCATTTCTAGGGAAGACACAAAAGCTGAGAGTTCAAGGCTACAAGCTTGGGGCATTGGCTATTTCAGCATTAAGGTACTTCTACAGAGCTCATTTTCAGCTCTTTGCTGGTCACACCCATGTACCGTACCAAGCCAAAATTCCCCAGTGGGATCTCCAAAGCCTTCCACATAATTTTTCCAGCGTCTGTAGAAATCCACCTCACCAGTGCTCCGCCTCTGAAACACCTGCAAAGCAAGGATTGCTGAGTGAGAGTTCATGACAGGTTGAGGAGAGACAAGGAGGATGGGGATGAGAAACGCTCATCCTGATTCAAACACAGACAAAAAGGTGAAGCATTCAGGAACAGACAACTCTAGCTGATGGCATGCTGCACCTGAGCAGGATACACACAGGAATCCATTGCTATTTTCTGACTGCACATAAGCACCAGGGTGAATACTTAGCTGTGCAAATTTTACAGTTTACTTTCCACAAATGCCTAAGGACAGCACAAATCTGAGTGTGATCTAAACACTCAAACAAAACAGGCTTAGAGATAAGATCCACAAGACACCTGGGTTTCTAAACTTCACCAAAAATCAGAGGGACTTTGGCAGTAACACATAACAAATTATTTCAGTGGAAAAAAAAAAAATCACTTATCACTGAATAGGAAAGGTAAAAAAGGGAATAAAGGTATTTTCATTTGGTTGTTTAGGGACACAGCCATCAGAAAACCTCAGAGTCACTCCTTCATGTTCATGCACATTCCCCACCTCAAAGCATCTGTGCTTCTGCCTCCAGGTTCCTTTGAGCCACTCAACAAGTATTGTCTGGTCAGGGTCCAGGTACGTGCTCACAGCACTAGCATTTAAAATACTAACAGGCATCAGCTGAACTGCATTAGTCATCCACACATATAACCTCATCCTGTGGTGAAGATGAGATAATACAGCTTAGTTAACTCATTATGAAAGGCAGTTAAGATAAGCTGTACTACCTCATGTTTATGAGGGCTGAATCCTTCCTCACAGACAACTCCCATGGCCCAATTGGCAAGAGGTAACACATTAAGCTGTCCTAACTCAGTCACTGCCCTCAATCAGCAATAATGTAAGCCTGTGTGGCATTCACAATCAAACAGTGAAAAAGCCTTTAAGCCATTCAGCCTCCCACAGCATTCCTACTGACAGTCTGAGGGGGTACACCAGCATCCACTATCCTTCCTGGAACGTGCCACTCCAAGGCAGGAGCTGAAATACAGTAGTGCAGTAGAGCAAAAGGAGCCTCAGCAAACACTGGTTCCAGGTCCAGTTGATCATTCTCATAAAGAAAAGCCAAAGAGGAGCAGAGAACCACTCACTATCCACCCGCCTCCATCAGTGGTCATGTCACAGTACACCTGCATGGGCCTGCTGCCATCCCCGTTCAGGTAAATGGTGTACGTGCCGCTGGGGGCGTTCCCGTTGCGCTGCGTCTGGCTGCAGTCCGCGGGGTACGGGTGGAGGAAGCCAACTGTGAGAAAGAACAGAGGGGGCAAAACTTCACATCAGCAAAGCAGGCCGTAGAGCTGGGGGAGGCATTTTACACCCTTAGAAATCTCCTAAGGACAGTGGTACTAGGAGAGAAGTAAAGAAAGCAGCAGCACTCACACAGTGCCTGGCTGCATCAGCATGCTGCTGCCGGTAGCCTTCCCCGCTCCCTGGGAGGTGGCTGGTGGACGGGACCCCCGGAGGCTGCAGTCTTGGGTCACAAGTGAGAGCGGGAAGAGGAGCCCTCGTTTGTGAAGGTGTGAGTGCCAGTAAACAAGAACTTTAATTCCTTTGCATTTCACAATTTGTCCACAACTGGCAACCCCTGTGGGCACCAGCACAGTATGAAAGGCTCCTACAGCAAGCTGGCATGAGATTTTATTTGACTTGCTGCCATTCCAGTGTGCATTTCCTGACCTCTGAAAACAACGCGGGCAGCTACCCAATGCCACGAGAGTACTTCAACAGCTGTGCCCTACCATTACTAGGATGGTGCAGAAGGATCTCTAGCATACCATCACCTCTCCTGCCCACTGGCAGCTCACCACCGGGCTCTGTCCCGCACTTGGCTAGCAAGGTTTGCCAGCAGCACTGACCAGCGTGGGCAATCTCCCCTCACACTATCCCCCGTGGTGCTTCCAAGCCTCCAGACAGTGTGCCTTACAATGGACGCCCAGCCAGGAGACACACTGATTTGCTAGATGGTTTCCTTATGATCACATAGTTTCCCAGTGCATCTGTAGAACATGAACTCCATCTCTGACCTCCACCATAAAGCACAACAGCAGCAGAGCAGAGAGAAAAGTGCAACACCTAAAGTCAATTCCTACCCGTTGAGAAGGTACCGTCTGTCTTTCTGCTCTGGAGATCTCCCTTATAGGCCATCACGAAGATGGTATAGCTCACTCCTTGTTCCAGTCCTTCCAGCACAAACCGTTGTTCGGTAGGACCCAGCTGTACTTCCTGTCAAATAAAACAGATCAAAGTTTAACACATCTCTGAAGAGCATTTAGCTTTTCTGGACCGTAGGACCTTATTCTCGATATGCGTTTATGGGCTTTTCTTGTAGAGTTCAGACAGGCATATTCATTGTATATCCCTGAAACAGAGAGTCCATCTCCTCAGAAGGAAGATTTGGGGCAAGGTTTCAAGAAACACTGCTAGGGCACTGAGGACACCCTAAACCTGGTGAGTGCTGCCCTTCCAGGAAAGAAGTTAGAAAAAGTGAAGAAACAAACATGTTCTCTGTAACCAGAGATCTGCCATTCCACTGTCAAAGTCCCTCCACAGCTTCTACTCATGACAGTAGCACATCTCCTTCCTTAAGCTCTCCCTCCCTCAACTGTGGATAACATAGATTCTCCCTCAAAATTGTCTTTCTGTGTTCCATATACCCACAAGATCCAAGCTGCAGAGCCCAAAATCATAGGGGTGATTTCAGTGGGGTCTCTGGGTCTGAAGAATTCACTGTACCTTGCTTGTGCCATCTTGACCTCGGTAGGTCAGAGCGTAGCCATCAATCTGTGCTGCAGGAGGAGTCCAGGTAACCACACCAGTAGAATGAGTCACATTTGATACACGGAGGTTCTTGGGAGGATCAATCTCTATTGAAAAATATAATTCAGGTCCCATTGCATAAATGAAAGACAGCAACTGCAGTGCAGGGCTTGGGCTGAGCTTTCAATGCCTGATCCTGTTAACTGGGAAGTACAGAAGTCACTCAGTGACCTTCGTAGCTAGCAAGCGGCAGAAGACTAGACCAAACATGTCAAGGTCTGCTACAGATCTGGTTCGAGATGTTCTGTGAGCCCTGCAATTGGCTCAACTGCACAGAGCCCAGGAGCTCCTGACACATCTGTCTGAAGGCTCATCTCTGAGGAGTGTTCACAGATAGGTCAGGTTTGGGCTCCCTGCCCCAATCCTGGAGCACAGCCCTAGTGTGGTGGCCTGCTGAGAGCCCCTACCCCTTGTTTCCCTGCTGCAGATGAAACGTGACTTCACAGGCTTTATTGTTGTCATGCTTCAGCCTTCTTTAGTAAACACAGGAATACAAAGAAAGCCACAGCTTTACAGTTTAGTCTGTATATGGGACACCAGCTCCCTCACCAACATCAAAGGCTTAGCCAGACTTTTCCTGTGCAGTCAGACTGCCCAAGTTCAGCATGAGAACGGAATTATTTTTAAGCAATGCCAGTTCACAGCAGTTGTCAAAAAGCATCTTATGAGATACCCACAACAGGGCTGCAGTGCTTCCCTCAGGATAAAAGCAATTTCCAAAGCTCAGCTGGAAATAACAAGAATGGAAACGGCCTCTCCCTAATTTTCATCCTGCTCTTGCTATATTCTATATATTTGGGGAACATCTTTAGGAAAACAATTGAAGAAACAAGGTTTGTCTGGCTTTTCAAGTTTTAGAGAGAAGGTCTGTGGTGGGCAGTGATGTCCTTCGGGGAAGAGTGCTCCAACCCTGAAGTATACCTGGATTTATAGCAAACTATAACTGAGTAATTCATCTCAGTTCCCTGCTCTTCCACAAACCTCCCTGGGGGACTATGGGCATGTCACTGTCAATTCAGTTCTTCTCCATATAGACCAGGCAACAAAGCTTCCTAGACCTTGAAGAGTGCTATGAGGGATGATAAGCATAACAACAATTATAATGCATCAGTGAAGTATTACAGTTGCGAAAAGGCCATGGAGAAAGACAAGGCCAAGCTATGTCTATATTAGATAAAGGAGAAGAGTGGAGCAGTGTGGCTTCTCCCATAAAATGCTGCACTCCTTGTGCCTAGGGTTACTGCTTAAAACAGACACAAAGGCAGAGAAGAAGAAATCAAAACACCAAATATATAAGGAGAACAACAGGGACAGTAACACCAAAGTTCACACAGCGTGTTGTTTAAAATGCTGGCTATTCGTTAAAACTGAGGGCCACCTTTCACCAGGGGCTGGAGTTGACCATTAGTTTGTTATCTAATGAGCTCATGCTTCATTTGGGAAACCACTAAAGAATTGCTTTAAAACGATCCAAACACTTTCTCAGTCGCTCACTACATGTATACCTCCCGCTGGACAGAAGAGGGAGCTAAAAGGCACCCAACCATCACCAGAAGCAAGGGATGGGAAGGGCAGCCTTAGAGGCTACATTTTCACAGCACTGCTCTTAAAGGCCAGCCAGCAGTTTCCACGGGCACAGGAGACCACTGCAGAACAGCCTCCTGCCACAGCCGGTTCTAATGCTAGGAAATAAGCAGCCGTCACCTTGCATAACAAAACGTTTTGTTTTTTTCCTTTGAAGTTATATTATTTTAGCAAAGGTATCATTACATGGCTTGTTTCGTGCAGGTATTTCAAAAATATCCCTACTAATGCTAAATGCATTCCTTCTCCCAGCAGTTTCACTTCATGCAAAATTTCCAGGTGTCTCCATTTTCAGTCCAGGTCAAAAAAACAACATTTTGCTGAAACTTTTCTTGCATTTCTAGTTCCAGATCAGTTCCGTTTGGTCTTTTGGCCTCAGGAGATCTCCACTTGTCGCCACCAGGTGCCCTTGACCTCTGTAAAGCACTGGGGAACTCTTTGGCATCTTGCCCTAAATCCAAGCTTCAACTGTTCTCTCTCACACCAGCTTGATTTATAAACTAAGAAAAAGTACATTAGCAAGGCCAATGGATAATGGAGTGACCCTGAAAATGTTCCCAGTACACCATAATCCTTATGGCTGACTGAACTGGACAGATTTAAGCTTGACTGGCAGTCTCCTAGGACCAGTCTAAGGCCATGACTCAAAGGGCAGGCCTTTATTTTTAATTGTCCCCGATTTAAAAATGGTTTAACTTTGGTTGTTAAACCTCTGTTATTGTTAGGCTTGATAGCAGCACAGGAAGTACTGCTTGCTTTTGATTAAGGACTAGCAAAATAAGGCAGGTACCACCCGCTGTCTTTACATCTGCCTCTTCTATAATCATCAGTCTCTGTTAGGGTAGTGTATACCTACACACTTATCTCCAGAATATGTTTACCACTGTACATCTTCATTACCCAGTAATGCAAAGAGAGATCATAAAATGTAAAAGAACAAGCAAGTAGGGTCCTTTTACCCCCTTTCTTTTCCCTTCTTGCCCACAGTTACCTGTCAGCATGTCAGTGCTTGCCCTCTTGCTCTGCTTGCTTCCCCGCTCTGCCCAGAGATGGATGGTGAACTTCATGCCTGGTTTCAGTCCTGTCAGGGTGGTAACGCTCCTGTCCTTCCCCACTTCGATGTCTTTGGTGTCCCCATCAGCAGAAGCGTAGCTCACCATATACCTGTCAATGGGAGCTTGGACACTATCCCAGGAAATGGTAGCCGAGTCCTCTGTCACTTGGTCAGTCACCAGATTCTTTGGGCTGTCCATTTCTAAGAAATAAAGCGCAGAGTAGAAAGTGTGGGTAACAAGTTCCCCTTAAAATTTTTGCTTTCTGAAGTCCTGTGATCCCATCCCACCTTCAGGAGGCGCAGGATGAGATGGACTAATCCATCTCTAGCTTTACTGGGTCTCAGTGGCTAACCACCATGTTTGCTATTGACAATGCAGAACTGGAGTAAGACAATTAAAATAGGGGTGTTTCCTTCCAAGTCTTGATTCAGTGATAAATACTATTCTTACCAGTGAAGCTAGTTGAACAATCCTAAATTTAGGCAGGATTTAAGAACAGGAGTGCATACTGTAGGGCAGAGCTCAGCCACACCTGCAAAATTAAGCATACCTGAAGACCAAAAAGAGCAGGCAAAGCTGCTAAGCGAGAACCGCAGTGTTTTAGCAAGGTGCTGTGAAGCTCACACTAGGCTGGTATTTTCTGAATTAACAGAGCAGTCCTAAAAGTTCTCTAGACCTGGCGCTATCTCTATCTGAAGCTTAAAGGTGTCTGTAGTGTGGATGTCCCCACATCAGTGATCATAAGACTAACCGGTGTCTAGTACATGCTCTGCAACAGGCCAGAAGAAAAGAGGACAGAAATTGAGATCACCTCCATGACACAGTGTCATGTAGAAGCACAAATATTCTTTGGAATACCTGTCACTGCCTCAGTGCTGATCCTCTTGCTCTGCCGGTTTCCCTTCTCTGCCCAGAGGAAGATGGCATATTCAATGCCAGGTTTCAGTCCTGTCAGAGTCGTGGTAGTCTCATTCTTTCCCACTTCCATCTCCTCTGTGTCACCATCAACAGAGGTGTAGTTCACCACGTACCTATCTATGAGAGCCTGGACCCTGTCCCAGGAGATGGTGGCTGTGTCCTCTGTCACTTGGTCAGTCACCAGGTGAGCTGGGCTGTCAATTTCTGCAGAGACAGTTAAAAGTGAAGAACACAAGCTGTCAGTCAGGCTGTACTGTGACACTCCCTCCCAAGGGCCTTGCCAGTTTCTTCCTTTTTCAAATCCTATTTCTGATCGCACAGTGATTGGACCCACAAAGCTGGGTGGTGTCAAGGTCTGAGGTGGTTTGACTGGGGTCTGTCTTTAATCCTTGCAGAAGCTTTCCCATGGAACAGCACAGCCAATCCTGACCTGGACAGAAGAGAGCCCTTGAAAAGCTAGATATTGTTACTTACTTCTTTTCTCATGGTCACAAGCCCCTGAAGCTCACATACATGTCACCTGTCCAAAAAGAGAAAACCACCAAAGCTCTTTTGTTAAGAGACCAGGATGACTCAGGTACATATTTACTCATCTCCTTTCAGCAAATCCCTAACCTAGAGCATGGGTCTTGTAAACACTTGCAACTGCTTGCAATTGATTCATTCAGTTTTACAATGTTGTTATTAACCAGTAACCCTCACACTGGGTGGATCACTGCACCTTCTTAACCAGGACTGGATGCACAGGGGAAAAAGTCCTGGTAAGAACAACTAAGAAAAAGTGATTAAGCATGCTGTTGCAAGAAAAGGGATCCTGCGTGCTATTTCTCTCTCTACTCTTCAGTTTCTTCATCTGCAAAAAGGAATTAAGCATTTCTCTATTCCATGATGAAGGATAAACAAATTAACCAATTAAAATAAAACATGATCATACAAATACATAAGAGACACTGCTGCAAAGGCTTCATTTTCCCTAATCCCTGTTAGTAATCACAACACAGCCCATTTGTACTACATACAGGTAATCAGAATCTCACTGTGATGATGCTGAATAGGTTTCACAGCAAGATGCACTAACCTGAAGACTTGATCACTTAAGCCTGAGTCTCCCTCTGCTGTGAAATGCCCTGGGATGGACTTATTCAGCGTTAAGGCAAAGCTGGGCTGTAACTTATGCTCTTAAAATCTATTGCCTGCTTACCTGTCAGAGCCTCAGTGCTGGCCCTCTTGCTCTGTTGCTCTCCCTTTTCTGCCCAGATATAAATGACATACTCCATGCCTGGCTTCAGTCCTACCAAGGCAGTGACATTCTTGTCTTTCTCCACCTCTCTCTCCTCTGTGTCCCCATTAGCGGAGGTGTAGCTCACTCTGTATCTGTCTATTGAAGCCTGGACTTTGTTCCAGGAAACAGTAATTGCATTCTCTGTCACTTGATCAGTCAGCAGCTGAGTCGGGCTGTCAATGTCTGTAAGCAAAAGTGATAATTATTGGAAGTTTTGGTATAGTGCCATAGCAATCACAGTGGTCTAAAGACAAAGACAACACAAGTTTTATAGGCAGAGGTATGTTTTATTAGAATACCAAATATATTTGGAAAAACAAATGAGCTCTGGGAAATGACTCTATGCCCAAAGACCTAAAAAGGCCTCGTGTGTCCAAAAGGTTGTTTTTTGTTTTGTTTTTTTTTTTTTTTTCTCCAGCTCAAACTGGTAAACCTAATAGAAGTTTTATCTTGAGCTATAAACTGTGTTTTGATCATTCAGTGTAAATAACTGACACTTAGGCAAGTCCCATTGGATATGACCATCTGTGGAGCCAAATCATTTCTTACTGTTGGATATAGTGTGAGGTAGGTAAAGCAAGAGTGATAATTGCTTGTAAACCCTGCCATTCTTGACACACTGGTAAACATATTTGCATACCAGTGCTGAGATGGCCCAGGCTTGGCAGGGCCAGTCAGCCCTCTGCATCTGTGCTGGGTGAGCTGGGCTGCTGATTTCTGAAGGACCACTTAGGAGTGAAGAATAGGGGTTGTCCCAACAAGGCTACACTTACTCCTTCCCCTCAAGGGCCCTGCCAATTTCTTCCACTTCTCATCCTTTATTTCTTATCAAGGGTGGGCCTGAAGTACAAAGCTGGGAGGTGCCCAATTCAGCTGGGGTCTAGGTCTCCTCCTCACAGCTGCAACAGCAGGGCTCTGTTGAGGAGCGACAAAAGCACAGCCAACCCTGCAAAAGCAGAGAGGAAAACCCATGCAGAATATGGTACTACTGTCTTTTGCTTTCTAAAGATCAGAGCCTCTTGCCTGGGTTGCTTTGGGAATTAACCCACAAAACAAGTCACCTGCTCAAAATCTCTGTCTGAAATGCAGCTCTCCTTGAAGAAGATTATTTCATACTACAGCAAAACTTCCTACTTGTCGCAGCTCTGATGGCTGCTGGGCTCCTCTCTCTGCCCAGAGGCCGGTGGCATAGGTTTTGCTTGGCTTCAGTCCTGTCAGAGCAGTGATGCTCTTGTCCTTCCTCAATTCCATGTCCCTTGTGTCTCCATCAGTTGTGCTGCATCTCACCAAGTACCTGTCTATCAGAGGCCAGACCCTGTCCCAAGAGGCTGTGACTGTCTTCTGTCAGCCACCTGGCCACTGCATGGCCACTAGACTGGTAATTTTTTTAAGAGAAGGTTTGAAGGTGAAGAACCAGGCAATGGCACTAGTGAGGACTATGAAAGTGGCTTTTTTTCTCGTGGAGAACGTGAACAATCTCCTCCCATTATTACAATAGTTCCCCTGCCCTTTTCCCAGATGGAAACACGACGCTAGATTTCACAGGCCGTAAAGTCACTATTACAACACAGCCTGCAGGAACGTGGCCCTCTGAGGCCAGCCCAACAGTCTATGACCTTCATGCAGAGTATTTTTTTTGTTGTTTTGTTTTGTTTGTTTGTTTGTTTTTCTCTTCTTCACTGAACTAGCAGCCTGAGCAATGAAGGACTTGCAGATGCCTCCCAAATTACTGGAACAGCATTTCTTATTCTGGCTTCTTCTGCTGCAGGCTCTAAACTCCAGGGCACAAATGCACAACCATCTGGCAGCCACATTGTAATTTACCACACACCAGTTTAGCTGCACTATGATTTACTATACATTAGCTGTGGTAAAAGTTGTGATTTTCCACCTGTGTGCTCTAATCTCACCTCTTTTGTGAGATGAAGATAATGTTACTTCTCATTTTAACGAAAGATGCTGAGGCTCATTTGTGTCACCCTAGAGCAGCACACACTGGGAATGTGTATTTGAATAATCCCAGCTCAGCTAGTTAGTCATGTAAAATGCTCACATGTGGCAAGAAAAAGCAAAGTGAATTATTTTCCTGTGTGATATGAAAATCAAGTTTGTTCTTTAGTTATAATTGCACTGCAGCTGAGTATGGCCTGTGCCTGTATGTATGTGCACTGTATGCAGTGCTTTTAACTATTTAATTCCCTGGGTCGTCCAGGAGCTTCCCAGCCAGTCACCTGTCTCAGTGAGAACATGGGCTGGCTTGAGACAACGGGCCAACCTGAAAGTAGGTGATCGACTAAGCTCCATAATTAAGCATTTGACTGATCCTTACTGATCCCCTGTGGGTGGGAACTTCAGACAGTCCTACAAATTTCCCAAGGCAACTCCTGTTGTGTCTAGCCCAATTTATGTGCTTAAATGTGTTGGTTAACATCCTGAGTGGAGCATCCCAAACATTCCCCTAGGTAACTTCTGCTGTAGAAATGCAGAGTGGACATAGAGAAGACAGTTGTAAATAGTCAATATAAACTGCTCCTGTACATACAGCCACATTGGACCACAGCTGGCTGGATTACAAGAATTGAGTTTCCTAATCCAACTGCAGACGCAGTTGCAAGCACCCCTCCCATGGAGACTCCCTGCCACCAAGGGTCAGCAACCAAATGTCCTGTTTGGGAGATTTGATTCCTCACGTGATTCTTAATTTATGCCACGATCCAAATAAATTTAGTTTTCCTTTTCAACAAACAGTCCGTCATGACTATCTATGCAAAAAGTGCATGAGGCCCCTGACCTCCTGGGGGACGCCACAACAGCCACCCAAAGGAAAACTTGGAGGTTTATGGCATTTTAAAGGCAGGGCACAAATTACATGTCCCAGTTATAAGGCTTTAGTTTTGGCTGTGTTTCACTGATCTCTGTACCGATAGTAACTGGTGCCTTGCCATAGGGCCTGTCCACAACAGGACTCAAAACAAATTGTTGTCAAGCTGAGCTGGAGACCTGTTTGGCCAGACTAGTAAGAACAACATGAATTTTTTGCCTCACTAAAAACCTGTGCAAAGCAGGAGAAGCTTTATTAAAACAAGTGAAATTGATAAAGGAGTTTGAAATTCAAACTCAGCCCCCTTTGCTGCTGCTGCAACAACTCACCTGTCACAGCTCTGGTGCTTGCCTTCTTGCTCCTCTGGGGGCCCTTCTCTGCCCAGATGTGGATGATATATTCCATGCCTGGCTTCAGATCCAGTAAGGTGATGACATCATTTTCACTCCCCACCTCTATTTCCTTGGTGTCCCCATCAGCTGAGGTGTATCTCACCATGTACCTGTCTACGGAAGCCTCAACTTTATTCCATGAGACAGTGGCTGTACCTTCTGTCACTCGGTCAGTAGCCACATTGGTTGGGCTATCAACTCCTGAGAGAACATTGCAAAGTGGAGGATTAGAAAACTCCAGCTGAATTAAATCACTACAATACCCGTCACAAACACGTGCACATTTCCTTCACTTTTGGCTTCCTGCTTTGTCCTGCTAAAACACAGAGTCACCTAGGTTCCCCGCTATAGCCCCTTGAGAAAGAAAGGCATCCATGAGAAACCATCATGCTCAGAGTGGTAGAACAGTCCTGCTTTTTCCCCACTTGGATGAAACTTCCCATTTTTTTTTCTGCAGGAAGAGCTTGCAGGCTACCTACCTCACCTTCCACGGGTACCAACTTAGGCATTACCTTCTCACTTGCTCTCCTCACAGCACCAAGTACAGGTCCCATCCTTTTTCTGCCTCCCATGTCAACCGTTTGTTGCTCCTCCCCTTCTGCCTACCCTGCAGACCTGTCTCAAGGCTTCTGCTATTTTAAGTGATGAATCAGAGTTTAGTGGTAGCTCTTGCAATAGCTGGTATTTGCCTTTGTCACAGCTCCTAAATTCCAGGGGTTACATAAGAGTATGAGCAGAATTACTCATTATGGATGTTTTTTTTTTTCTTTTTAGGAAGTTTTGCAGCCCCCATGTCTGCAAAGACCAGCTCAAAAACACAAGCCAGGGGTACTCCAAATACTCAGAATCTACACAGGGAAGAAGAGCAGCCTTACAATGGCGGTGTGGAGGTTGTAGGGCTTGCTTTAAAATCAATTTTCTTTTAATGGAATAATTTACATGACCACCTCAGGAATGACAGCCTGATCTGGGATTTTTCAGTCTTTTGATTCAACACGCCTACCCTTTTGGAAGCGAGCTGAATTTCAGAGTTTTTGGAATCTTATAGGGAGAATAAGAGTTCAAAATTCTGCAAGCTCTTTTGCAATATAATAGCTCAAAAATATTCTGCTTTTTTTTTTTTTTTTAAGAGCTTGAAGTATCAGCAAACCAACAGGATTTCCAGAACTGCTTTAACATTTATATCTGGAATGACTAGGCTGCCGTTTACAGGAAAAATAAGTCAAGTGACAGTGGAACCTGCCAGACCTTCTGAGCTGTACTGAACATACAGTTGGAGCAGAAGTCAGCCTAAAGATGCTTCTGTGCTTTCCTCACGCTGGAGATGACGTCTGACTCAGGCTCTGTTACAAGATGAAACAGTCCAAAGCTTCAGCCTCTAAGGGCCAGCAAGTAGCTGAAGCCTCTTCAGTCATTTCACATGAAAGAAGCAAAGACTCAAGCTACCACAGAAATGCCAGGGCTGTGCCTCTGTGCAGCCCACTAGGCACACAGATATAGTCCCCAGGGGAAATACAGGCTTGGTGATGGTGTGCTAATCTGCTCCTCAGTCCAACTGCTCTGTTCGGTCTGGTGAGCAGAAAAATAATGCTGGAGGAGTCAGGCAATACAGGGAGGGAGAAGAATTTGTCCTCCTCCTTATTGCTCCTGGGCTCAGAGACTGGACAAATGATCAGCAGCTAATAGCTGCGAGGCAGCCAGCAGCAGCTGCCCAGAGGATCCACGAGGAAGAGCCATACCCAGACAGCAAACTGTGTGTGCTAGGCTTAAGCAAGGTCATCCTCTCAGTGATCTAGTTAGGGAAGTCATGAACCAGCAAACTTCGAGTTACTGCTGGACCTAGCTCTGCGCTCATTTGAGGGTTGTTATTACATACCCAGGCCAGCTTACCATGTTTATCCTGTGTCTCGCTGGAGCTGTTAGTCAGGTTAAGGGTGGAGTTACTGTAGTTTTAACACCAAGGCAAAATACTGAGCTAGGGTTAGGTTTAGTGTTTAATATACAGTGTAGACAAGCTTAAACAAGACATAAGCAGACCTGGCTGCAGGTCATCCATGAAGCAGAAGACAACTGTGCACCTTTTGTGCTGCAATCTTGACAGATCTGTCCCCAAACCCTGCGGTATCGCTATCATAAAAGAAACTTTCCACGTACCAGTCCTACCACTCACTGAGGATGGTTTCCCCTCTGTATCATCTTTCACAGGTATGACAGTGACCTCGTACTCTGTGCCAGGTTTCAGGCCTATAAATAGCAAAAGGGAGCATTAGCAACAATTAGGGAAGACAGCAATTTTTCTTAAAGCTATTTTGTTTGCCTATTCAGTTCTAGGTTTGTAGCAGAGAGGAACTTAAAGTTCCTAACTTCCTTTTGTCTTGAGAATGAATGCCTTGAGAAGAGCACTTCTGGTCCAGGCTTGCCCTTAGAGCATACATTGACTATAGCCAGTTGGGATTTCCATAACATCAGTGTTACCAGCTCTGAAACAGAATAATAAACTTTATTCCTAACAAGGACAGAATTAAAGCTGAATTAATATATGCCTTGAAACTTGCTATCCACAAGGCAGAGAAGCTATCTCCCTGTGGAGACACTCATCATTATGGAAGAGGGGGATTCCAATAGACCTCACCCTGGCCTACAACATGCACGAGGTGAGGGAAAACTGGCCATCCACACATAAGAAGAATCATCTCAGGACTGTGGTCTGATTGTCAATCGCCCCTGCCCAGTTTGGAATACCCACAAGTACTCACCAGTCATGATGTGTCTGCTCTTAGGGTCATTGCTTTTGGGCACCATGACCTGCTTCTCATCCATCCCCATCAGGGATCTGAACTTCAGCTTGTAATAATCCACATCTGTTGGTGGGTTCTCCCACTCCACTTCCAGGGAGTGTTCCATCTCCTCCGTCACCCAGATGGCACTGAGTGCAGACAGGACTGGGAAGGACAGCAGAGGGCCATCAGGAAGCAACATCAGCACAAAAAAAGTAAATATAAAAGATAGGAAGTTGATAAACAGTCCTCTCTCCTGCCCAGTCGCCTGCTCTGAGACCCAAGACACTTTCCTCAGCCAAACTGAAGACATCAGTAAGTACAACACAATCATTATTTCAACAGGCTTAGTTTTATCCATGGTAACACTCCAACTCAAGAGTTTTCTGGTTCTTAGCTCCCACCTGTTATGCTAGAAGCAAGAAAAATCTCAAAGTAACCAAATTTCTGTTTTTGTTGAGTGCAGGCAGACAGCATAACATCAGCTGCTAACAAAACAGCATTTCAGTTCTCGAGAAACTCCTTTAAATATGCAGTCTTTCCACATTCAACATCCTAACTTCAGTAGCATAAGGCTCATTCAGTCCTGGGACAGAGACTATGAGGAAAACCTGCTGTTGCAGACATGTTTGGCAAATTAGTACCTAGGAATGAAATGCTGCCTACTTTAGAGTCCCTTCTACATCCAGTCAAAGAGTGCATTATTCTTAATAACATACTGGCTTTATCTTGCATGCTTCCATTCCTGCTTCTTTCAGCAGGCAATATTACAGATTCCCTGGAATTCAGGGGTGTCAATGCAAGTAGGATTTGAGCAACATAAAGGGAAAAAGAAGAAATCTGCAATACATTCATCCCTATTGAGACATATCTGGAAACAGATTCCCCAGAAAAAAAAACAATGACAGAAAACTAACACAGAGACTCAGAAGAGAAAATGCTCTCCAGAGCTCAGACAGGATGTTACAAACCTGTAAAGCCAAGAAATTTGGTCCACTTGTTTGACTCTAACTTTAAAGATCTAAAACTTCTGACTCTGAAGAAAAATACTGCCTGCTCCTACCTGTACTTGCTTCTAGATACTTGGGCTCACTGGCAATCCCCTTCTTCAGGTGATGAAGTGTGACATTGTAAGTGGTGCCAGGGCGGAGACCCACAATCTCACAGCTGAGCTGCTCTTTGGACACACGGACTTGTTTCACCAGCCCCTCATACCCTACTGGATAATAGCTAATGAAGTAATTATCCACATCAATCACTGGATCCCAGCTGACAGCCAGAGAGTTCTCTGTGGAGTTCATCAGCTGCAGGTTTTGAGGAGCAACCACTAGAAGAGAAACAAATTACAACACTGCAATGAGGATGATGTCTTGTCACATGGCCAAACAATAAATTTTTTCAAACCTATTTCAAATACAGAAAGAATGCAGAACTGAAACTCCCAGTCTTTGATTTGTCCAATTCTTTCTGCTCAGCAGCATATCATTAAATACAAACGAATACTGCAGTCAGAAACAATTACAATAATTTCCTGGACAACTCTTTCCAGCTTCTAAACCCACACTGGCATTAGGAAAACTCTCTCAAAGCTGGCCGTTACAAAGCCTCTAGGAAGACAAAGACAAGCCAAAAACCTTCTTTTTGTATAACTGTCAGAATTATTTCAAAATGTCAACTGGTCCCCAAAACTGGGAACACATTTTCTTTTGTACTAATGGAAACTTACACTTGGAACCTGGAAGAGACCTGCTGCAAATAATAAATTTCAGGACACCACCAGTGCCTTAACCATTTTGCCACAAGACAGACAGCTCATCAGTGTCTTGAAGAAGCCCTTGAAAGCAGTCAGTGTAGAACATCTGTCAGAAAGTTTACCTGATTTTAATTACAAATACATCAGAAACTGATCAAACCATCTACCAGCTGTATTTCATGAGCAAGGCACTAACCAACAGCAAAAAACAGATAGTAAGTGTCTGTAAAAAGGCATGTGTTAGCAACATTAGGTCAGATAACATCATGAGATTCTTCTCACTTAAAAGGCAGAATTCATTCCCTTGTGTAATTCACAGCTCTCACCAGATTCCACCTTCAATATGTGCATGACATTGCTTTTGATGAAAACTTTGTATACAATGTGAGAACATTCATCCTGTCTCTCCTTGTGACATAGAAGCTGGATTTGAATAATCCAGCTTTGCAGTAAAATAATAAAGAACCTAAATACATATGGTGTGTATATCCCTTGTCTAAGCATAGTTGAGAAGAGGATTGTATCTGCCTCTATGACAAGGAGAGATGTGGCATAACAAACCAGTATCATCTGTTTAGGACAAGGCCTAGGATAGTATGTGTTTCCGAGCAGGGCATTTTGATGAGGGTTTCTTGCAAAGGCAGTGACCCTCTAGCCCAAGGGAATCTGTTTTTACAAAGTGTTTTTTGCTCTGCCCTGAGCCATCTTCTCCAGCCGATGCCACAAACGCAAGCGCTTCAGGACTTGACCAAAACGCTCCTGGTCAGGGCCAGGGGTGCGGAGGGGAAGGAAGCGCTGTCTGGACTTGGTAACCCTGGAAAACCTCCTCCTCTTGCTCTCCGACAGCAGAGAGCCTCCTAGCCTGAAGTGAAAGGGCCCACCCCGGGTACAGCTCTGATTGCTGAGGTGAAGGAGCAGGACGGGCGGCTGTGGGCCGTGCCAGGGGCCGCCTGGCGTTCTGCTCGCTCTCAGCAATCTCTCTCCCTCAGGCAGCTTCTCCCCCGGCAGCCGGCTGAGGCCCTCACGGCCGAAGCAAGCAGGAAAGGAGCAGCACATCTACAGATCCAGCACGGCGGGGCTTCTTGGGCACCCCGGCTCCCCTGGGAACAGCAGAGAGTCCCTCTTCATGTTCTTTTCCAACTTCCTGATTACAGCATCAACACCAAGACATCCTGATTAAACTAATATTATACTGAGGTACCAAAAACCTGTCTTTTGTAGTTACTCTTGTTTTAAACTGGTGGTTTATTCATCTTCAGATATCCCACAGTGCTATTTTGGACTGCCAGTAAACAAAGCCCAGAAAGAGCACAGGCCAATAACCTGCTGCTCAATGTGTCCTTGTCCTCTATTTCTGCTTCAGAAGGAATTGCAAGACATTCATTATACTGTTGCATGCTTGATAGTAACTTCTAAATGTTCAGACATTCCAATTAACATGGCAATATACAACAATATATGTCATTTCACGATCTGAGACACGTTAAAAAAAAGAACATAATAATAAAGATAAATAAAAACAGTGGTCAGTATAAATCTCCCAGGATGCAGAAATCTAACCCAAATTGGAACAGAAAAGGCAATTTGACATCTATGGGAGACAAGCGCTTGGCTACAGATGCCGAGATAGGAAACATTTGCCTTTGAACTTAAAGTTTTCAAGCAGGAGTGGAGATTGCAGTGCTCAGAAACAGCAGCAAAATCGATTGTGCTATATGCATTAACTCTGTGGTGCTCCCTGACTCAGAAAACAGAGGCTGCTTTTGCAGCCTGTAAAGCAGCCACAGGTAGTGTGTAAAGAAGCAGATCCAAGGCCAGACCCAGCCAACCCTTTGGGAGAGGCTGTCTGGGCAACAGTTCTCTGGGACAGTTGTTTCCACTCTGGGAGAAACTCTTCTGCTTGCCACCTTTGTAAAAGTGCTGCTTCCTAAGCAGCAAATCTCAGTCTACTGACAGGAAAGAAGTGCTGGAGCCGCAGAGAAACATCTCTGGATAGTTTGGAATGGGTAGGAGGAATTAAGTTTTGACACAGAGCTCTTGTTTGGATGAAGAACTTGAGCTAATAATCTTTAAAATAAAAGGTGACTCTCTAAGCAGGCAGATCAAGCCTGAAAGGTGAGGGATGATCCGGAGCAGAGAAGACCTGCTGCTCAGCATGTGGCTGTTACCTGCTTCTCCTTCACGAGGAGACGAGAAAGATTAGACCAAGCAGTGATGTGCTGAGAAGGAAAGGCAGCTTCCAGCGTAAAAGGCTGAGTGCTGAAGCCTGGAATATCAACCTGTGGTTATAGAGAGATTATAGGTTTTTCAGAATGAAGCAGAAACTGCTGGACACACACCTCAAGGTCAGCTCAGTCAGGTTCCCCAAGCAAATCCTGCTGCCTTGTAACAAAGCAGGATAAGAGTGAACTTCTCAAAGACCTACCTTCAAAGGGAGGTTATTTAAAGGATTTATGCATCCCTTGTCTCACAGGTTTTATCAAACCAACTACCTTGTCAGCAAGCAGTGCACACTGCAGCAAACATGATTTTAACTTCTATTGCCTCATTTGTATTTCAAGAAACAGCCTCTGGCTCCCTCTTCAACTGCAGGCTCCATAGGCTCCATACTCAGTTTTGCTCTCTCCTTCAGCTGCTACGCACAGGCTTGTACTAGCACTACCTTTAACTGCGTTTCCTCATTTCCCCAATTCAGAACTGTTTTCCAGGCAACTCCTGAAGACAAGGACCAGTCAGCAACCCCTAGCCCAGCAGGAACTCTGACAGGAACATGGTGACCCCAGGCTTGGCTTACCTACAGGACTAACCAAATGTCTGTAGGAGGTAGAGAGGGAAACTCAAATTGAAAGAATGAAAGAAGAAATAACTCACGGGCACGTCTTACCCTGGGAGCAGTCAAGGCCAAAGAAGCCATCGTGGCAGTAGCACTCTCCTGTGTCACAGAACCCATTGCCACTGCAGTCCCCAGGACATCGTTTCTCGCTGCAGTCCTCTCCGATGAACTCCTCGTGGCACCGGCAGACCCCTTCAGCTGCGTCACAGACCCCGTTGCCGCTGCAGTTCTCAGGACAGAGCTGCTGGCTGCAGTCCTCACCAAAGTAAGGCTCATCACAGATACACTTCCCACCATCGCAGCGCCCGTGGCCGCTGCAGTGGCTGGGGCAGGTGGGGCGGGAGCAGTCACTGCCCTCCCAGCCCTCGGCACACTTACAGCTGCAAGTCTGGTGGACAGGAGTCCCGTGGCCGCTGCAATGCGAGACGCCTGGCCGGAGCAGCACCAGGATGCACAACAGCCAGAGTGACACACAGATGAGAGAAAATAAAATAAATAAATTAGGAACGTAGCAATCAGCAAGTAGCGCAAAGGTGTGTTCAAGGTCATTAAAGGGAAAGCATGGACATCACTGGAAAATATGGGCTGAAAAAGACCTGAAGACATCACCTTGTCCATCTGCCCCAGGTCCTAGGAGGGACCAGCTCCACCTTTGCCCTTCAAGGCATTTGTCCATAGGCAACAGGAATGCAGATTCCACAACCACCCCAGAGAGTCAATCAGAAAGCTTTTCACAGTCTCTAACCTGGATCTTCCTGGGTTTAATTTAAGCTCACCATTTCTCACCACAGTCATTATAAAGATGGTGAGCACATTATTCTCATCTGCTATACGCCTGTGTTTTTAATGTAAACAAAGACTGCACTTCTCCCTGTCTCCATTCCCCAAACAACATCATATTGTTAAATTTTTTCTTAGAGGCTATGCGGTATAAAACTTTGATCACAGGCAGAGCCAGTGGCCACCACAAAACATCATTCTCATAACAGACTAAAAGAGGAGCAGAGTTTACCAAAGAGGAAATAAAAAGATAAATTCTCAACAACTGAAAAATTCTGGAAGCAAAAATTAAAAAAGAAGAGAGCAATGAGAAGTTCCTCCCTCACCTTTCACCCTCCTTGTCCTCCAGAAATTCCTCCATTGATTTCTCTCACCTACAGGAAACTCAGAAGCTTTATCCCTTCCACATCTAGGAAATGCCTGGGGAGCCTTCCCCTGCACTGGTTCCAGAAGTAGTATGTACCACATTTTGGGACCTTCAGATTTCCTTTCAGATCACAGAAACCAGAGCACCATCTCATCTGTAGGACTCAAGAGTTTCGCTCACAGAGAACCCCCAATAACCTTAACAAATGGATTCCAGTCCCCAAATCTCTGCAGTATCTAGGATGTGAGAACAGATACTCCAATTGTTACTTACCCTGGCTTCCCCCACAGCACTTCTGGGGGCCTGCAAACTTCTCTCAGCTCTGCCACTTCTTTCTCAAGCTTCTCCATTCTTTCAAACAGACCCCTTATGTGGGTTAAAGTTTCACAGTCCCCTTTGGGTGCACGAATGTGGATGTTGTGCCTAAAGATTATATTCTGCTCTTCATTTTCCTCAGTCTCCCCAGGACCTAGCTGCACCCCACTGTTGTCTGCATGCTGTAATGGATCTGCTTCCACCTTAATCTGGGAGGACGTGGGCATGTCAATCTTGTAGGAGTGGCTGAAGGATATTCTTTGACCATTGTTGGTGCAGTTGTGAGATGCAGGATGTTGAACAGCAGATGTCTGAAGAGCACAGCACAGCAATACCCCCACTGGGAAGGCAAGCCAGCTCTGGAAATTCATCTGGCAGGTTTTCAGAGGAAGAACTAACCCCTCAAACAGCACAGTTGCTTTCAAGAAGAAAAATAAATAATTAAATAAATAAATAGGAAGTGTGATCATAGAGCTGGTTTTCAGTTTTCTAAAAGACAAATTATTTGCTTTGCCCTGATTCAGTATGAGGTTTGTAGGTACTTGGAAAAAAGTGTCACATTGGATGAGTGAGATACAAAAGAGCTTCTAGATCCCGCTGACTAGGTGTTTTAAGGTTACAATGGTCCACCACAATTATTAATTATGCCATGGCACTTCTCGTTCCCCTGCAATTACAACAGACATTGTATCAGTCTCCCAGCTGTGGTCTGGATTACCGATTGTCTTTTCAGCCATGGCAATCTCCAGCTGCTTGTGTGGTTTTCAACTAGGAGCACGGTAACTGTGCTGATGCTGTGTGCATGGAAAATTCAGAGAGCTGACATTGATCTTTTGGTACAAGAAGTTCAGGAGATAGCTTTGCTCACTTTACATGCATCACACCATGAGGTATATTTCCCAGGACAGCTGCATTTGAGGCATGTGAGGAAATGTTTTCAGGAAGGTGTTGAAGGGGATGCCAAGAGCCAGTTTCTACAGGGACAGTCAGTGTAGAACGCTTTATCACAGAGGGACATCAGCTAAGAGAAGTGGACCACAGAAGAGGTGTCACTGGGACTGACCAGACACGTCTGCATGCAGCTGGGAAACAACTCCCACCCTTCTGCAGCACACTTTTAAACGTCCCTTTCCCCCTCCCATCACTCACAGCCCGTGGTTCTGTAAGTGCCCCTCATGCACTGACCTGACCAAGTGTCAGCCCCAGTCCCCACCGCTGCCTCTGCCTGCTGGAGACAGAGGAGGGGAGCTGAGGACATCTGCTCTGTACTAGCAGGACTGAGATCCTCCCCTGGCTTCACGTGTGCTGTGGATTACATCTCACAAAACCCTCACTTTAGGTACAACTCTCCTAACAGAGCTGAACCAGCTGTCTTCAGCTTCAAGGTCTCAAGCTGACAATTTCTGATTTAGCCCACCACTTCAAAAAGGCCCTTTAGATTTAAATTACAGGTGTTTGCCACTGGACCCAAATGATATGTAAAATTAAACCCATCTTCTTTTTCTAATATAGCACATAGCCTACAGTGTTATCTGGATTGGAGAGAATTAAAACATTTCCTCCATTTCCAACCAATGCGTTGGCATTTTGTGTGCCTGAACACTGGACTCCCTTGAGAGATTTCATGTTTGTTTTGCTTTGACTCCATTTTCTGATTTGTTACCTCAGCATTGATGAGGTTCATTTAGAAGCTCCTAGAGCAAATCTATTACAGTGGAGAAAAAGGATGTGTTGTAGACACATTTGCTTTCCTGTACTTTTATTTCAAAAAATACTCCATCTTTCCTGTCCTGCATAAATAAATAGGTAGAACTTGTTTTCAGGCTGATTAAGCATCAAAACTAAGATTTAAAAATAAATAAAATATTAAATGTCAGTGCAGTTAAACAGTGGAAGTCAAAACTGAAGTCCAAATATTTAAAGTATTCAGATAAAGTCTTTAAGAGAAACAAAACTGTGTGCTGTGAAAGTTGTGCGCTGTGAATCAAGCAAGAATTTTGGACTTAAGAAATGAACACCTCATAGACAAGAATAACAGGAAGGAAGAAAATGAACAAACATGGGTGGAAGGATAAAATGTAAAGTTAGCAACCTAAATTTACCAGTTGGCTTATTCAACGTTACAAACTGAATTTTGGCATTAATGGTAGATGTCAATCTGTACAGGAGGTGATATATACTTGGTTAAATACTTAGAATTTCTTATCACAGGATGCAAATACAAAATGCCACCATATGTGACTTACTAAGCAGTCATCTTATTCATTGCACAATCAGAAGAAAAAAACATTACTTAAATACTAAATTAGGTAATGTGATAACTAGAAAACATTTGGCCAATATGTATCCATAGTAACAGCACATCTGAACCCAGATAATAGCACTGCCCCAGATAATACTCTCTGAAGTAAAAAGACTCTACTCCTAAAGAATCATACTAAGTTTTCAGCTCCTCTGCTATTTCCATTCTAATCTAATTTCTGAAAGTCATACAATCCTGAGTTATGATGAAAAATCAACTTTTTATGTGAAATATCCTTATATCTCCCCTGAATGTCTGCCAAAACTCTGGAAATATCCCTACCATTAGACTCATGCCCTACCACTAGCAGCACAGCTACAGGAAGGTGTCCTTCATGCTCAGAAATATGAGGCTTTGGTTGCTAAAAATCAGACAAAACACTCACCACCACTGGAAACACATTTTATACCTACCTATACTGCAAGCCGCTCTAGTGCGTCTCTCTCCAAGCAGAAGCATTACTGACATCAACCAACATAGGGCATTGATTTCAAAATTCAGTCTACAATTCTTTATCTGATATAAATAAAATAAGGGAATTATCTCTGCTGCTTATTCCCAAGTAGCTAGTTGTTTGGTTGGGCTTTTCCCCCCTTCATTCAGCACTTCTCTACATTTAACTTACAGTAGGAGAAATGGAGGGGGGGAAAGTATGTTGTTCTGCAAAGGCAGTGCTTCTTCCCTATCTCTGTCTCCTGAGGGTTTGCAGATATCTGTCTTGTGACCAAAGATGCAGCTTTCCCACCCCGACCCAGCTGCTATTCTGTTTCCCAAGACACCTCTCCTTCAAAGGGCCACAGAAACTAACTATACCTTTCTTTTTTATGCCATGCAGACATCTGAAACAAAGTTGTAAGAGATTGCTTCAAAACTCTGAACAAATGTAATGTCTAAACTCTACAGATTCTCATCACAGTCCATTGCAAGAAACCTCAAAAACTTTGTTCTGTGGGTTTATATTTCCAAAGCCCCTGGAGGTGAGTTCCCCAGACCATGCCACCACACCAGAGACACACATGCACAAAATCCCTTTGCTCAGCAGCAAGTGCTGAACAGCATTCTGGGTTGTAACATGATGTCATTACTAATTAGGCCTTCATGGGAACCACAAATTGATCTCAGATTTTCCTGGGCTTAGAGATCATTCAGGAGGAAAAAAGCCTGAACATAAGCATTTCTGTCAAGCATAATGAAAGAGGACAGCTTTTTTGGCTTCCTCATCATGTAATAAAGAGATTTTCCCCTGCTGTTAAAAAGAGTGGGTTTAACTGATTCTTCATGGAGAGTATCATGTCATACATATAACTGGCAATAACAGCAGATTAGGGAAACGACTAATTTAGGAAAGAATGCCTAACAGTCACATCTACTAGGCACAGAAGATTCTCCTAGGGATAGGGATGGAAGAAGCCTTGCTCACATCTTTCCAACCTTTGCAGAGGAAAACATGGGATGATCAAACCTGGAGAGAACCTACAGTATTAATGTGAAAGACTCCAATGATCCTAACTCTGTAAGTCTTTTTCCATCCCACAGGTCAGTGCTTGAAGATTTGAGGCAGAGGCCTTTGCAGTATTGTTTTCTGCTAGCACCCAGTCAGCCACCGGAGATGCATGACTGGAAGCTGCTTCAACCAAGGCAAGAGCTGATAAAGACATGGATGCAGAGGCAGAGGGTGCCACCCAGGTGATGTGGAGATGGGATTGAGGGGAAAAAAGAGGGGCTTGTAGTCATAGGAAGAAGGAAATGCAGGTCTAGGACAGCTCCAGGGTTGTGGAAAAAGAAGAGAGAATTGTAAGATCAAAGATTGAGAAATGGGGCAGGCGTAGGCTATGTACATATCCAAGCAGCAAGGGTTATACAACATAACACTAGAAGCAACAAAAGACTTTTAAGCTGAAGAAAAAATAGCCAGAAAAAAAGGAGATGCAGTGAAAGAAGCCATGGGCTGAGACCTGAGCTAAGTACCAAAGGAAAAGTACACTGTGCAATTTTTTTAAGCCTAGCGTTTTACACACTGGGGCTAGAACAGATGCCGCCAAGTTGTACCACAGTAATAGAGGCAGGAGAGTTTGCCATTTCCTAACTGCCAAGTTGGAAAAATTGATATGCTTAACCATCCTAAAGCCAGGGAAGGTTTCTTGAAGAACACAAGAGGAATAACAAATATTAGAAGACCTGTCAAAGTCCTTATCACAATCACAGAAGTGCTGCTGATAGCCAAACAACCATCACCTACTTGAGTAATTCGCGAGAAAAGCAGCAACTGACGTCTCTGACCAACACCAGGCAGGCTCAAGAGACACAAGCATTACCAGTGATGGGTATTTATCATGCGCTCTGCCCTCCAATGCATATCATCTGTAGAATGCCATGCTGTTTAAAGCACGTGGAGGACTACGTGGGAGCAGGGAAGTGTGTGGCAGCAGCCTGCGGGGAGAAACAAACTGCTCCTGCAGAGGCACATGGCAAAGCTGTGTTCTTAGATACAGGAGCAGATGTAACAGCACGGAAGTTGAAAAACCCTCTCATCTCTGAGTAAGTGGGAATAAAGTTGTGCTCCTTACATCTTGCAACACTTTTAGCAATAAAAAACGACACAAGTCAGTAACACCAAAGAGGAGAACTCGGGCATAGGGGCTACTATTTTTGTTGGCAGTCTGACAAAAATGAAGGGAGGGTCAAATTATGCACAAAATGGTGATACTACCACTAAGTTGCTAAGAAGCCTAAACCATTTTCCTTCTGCTTTACATATTTTTCTCTGTGAAGCATTTGGCTGAGACAAGCTACTAATTTTCCAGACTTTCCATAAGTGTAATTTAGCTTAACCAATTGGATTATTTGTCTTTATTTTCCATAGCAAAACTATTCTGCCGTTCCAAACCTCATTTGCTTTAGAAAGCTCTGCATCAGATTTTCTTTTCTCTGGCATTGGTGGTATGTAAAATATATCTGGGGGCTTCCAGAGGAATCGTTAAATGCAACTGCTGTAATAAGCTAGCCCGCATTCCGTTTTCAATATTATGCAATCTTTAACCACTAATTTAGCAGGATTTTTTCTTCTGCTAATATCTTTTTTTTCCTTCCAGACTGAATGAACCTTACCTAACACTACAGAAGTCTGGGATGATTTGAAATAATTAATAGAAAAACAGAATTCTTATCAGCCAGGTAGACACTGTGCTTCTAGATTCATCCTTGTATTTCCCTTTTCCTTCATGCTAATTCTTCTGCAATATAAGGAAGCTGTATTAAATGTTTATATGTGAATGAGAGATTGCTTCTGAAATCCTACATGCTCATTAGAAAGTGCAGAGAGCCTTAATAGTATTTGCACATTTGCCAGTTATTATAAATACACATTTTGTAACAAACGACCTAGCTCCTGTTAAATCACTAGTTTCCAGTGTAAGTCAGTCAGTGCTTCCTGAAGCAAATCTTTGTTCTGTTGCCTGTATAGCTCAAAAATGTTGTATCTCCTGATACTTGATCAATTTTATTTATCCATTGAATGACATTTTTATTATAACTAGTATAATCAATAAAGTAGTTTTATTGTGGAAATAGTTATATATTTCCTTTTATTTGGTAAAGAACTACTGTCTTCCACCATCAAGTCTGTGAAAAGGTGCACCGGAAGGCATAGGATGTGCTTTTGGATGCAAAAAATACTGAATGATTACTGAGAGCGTTTGCTGCAAGTATAAAACGTGTGATCAAATTCCAGAATGATCTTATGACAAAAGGAAGGGCTTTTAAAACTACTGTCATCACACAGAAATCAGAGCCTACAATGGAAATTATTAGCAACAAGCATTATAAAATAATTACCTTCCAGGTTAAACTCTAGGTCCATTAAAGCCAAAGGCAAAAGTCCCATTTATTTTACCAGATACATGGCTTTATATGGTTGGAGGAGACAACCTGGGAAAGCTTAAGCCCTTCAAAATGGAGTGACAGTTAAATACTACTATAACTTTTGCAGAAATAATACATGCCCATAATACAAGGTTGTTGATGTTTGTATAAGGCTTTCAAAGCCTTGGAGGGCACCTGCTATAGGAAGTCAGATAAAAATTGGCTGGGTTTTTCTTTCAGAACAAACAACAGGAATCTCAGAGGAAATAAAAATACTTTACTCTTACCTTTAAGTACTTTTAGTTCTCTACTTCAGAGCCCTTCTGATGCAGCCACCACTTGCAAAGGTAATTTCAGCAAGCTGAAAGGTCACCACATCCTCTCCTCTTCCCACTCCAGCTGCAAAGCAGCAGCAGCTCCTGCCATGAATTTAAGTCTCGTGGACCAGATGAAAGGAACCAATAGAGACATCAGGGTGTTGCCCTCCCACAAACCACCTAAGGCACATGCTGGTTTTGGGAGTGATTCCCCTACTCATTATCAGTCTCACACACCAGCAGAGAACCATTTCCTACTGGTTTTATGCTCCACTTCTAGTCAAAAGCCAGAAAGCCTTTCCAGCCCTGTAAATCTGGCAGCAGACATCCCAGAATTATCACCGGGACCCGTATATTGACAAGCACATTTGTAGTATTAATGATGTGAAATTCAGGTGGACTAACACAGAAAGTAAAAATAAAACACTTTTTAAAACCAGCAGTAGTTAAACACAACACTGCACTTATCCAGCACAATACTTAAAAAAAAAAAAAAAAAAAAAAAAAAAAGAAAAAACTTCAAGAACTTAAAAGCAAATTACGCATTGTAGGCATTGTTAAGGGAGCCACACCATTCTTTTAACCATGTGCATTATTGAGCCCAGTTTTCAGATAAACTGTCTCAGACTCTGACCAGTTGCTTTGCTTTACTGCAGCCAGAAGCTGTGCTGAGGGAGCTGAGCACAGCAGCAGCTGCAGGGCTATCAACATGAATCATTAGCCCTTGCCAATCTCAGTCGCTGCAACATGGGGGTGAAGTCAAATACAGCATGCTGAACTCTGCAAACACCACTTACTCACACTGGGGCTCCACAATTTATCATTTATTTTGTATTTTTTGAAGCTGTAAGCACCACTCTACCCTGGGCAACTTACTCACACTGGGGCTCCACAATTTATCATTTATTTTGTATTTTTTGAAGCTGTAAACACCACTCTACCCTGGGCAACCCTGCTACAGAAAGGGGAAGACAGTGCTGCAAGGCAACACGCAGTCACCCTCCACAGCTGGGAAAGTGCTGATTACAGAGGTGACTGCTACAGAGCAGGGGAGGGATTCAGCCCTGGCTGAAGAAATAGTTCTCCTTCCAATACTCACTGGTTCCTCACTCATCTGGACCATCTAACAAACATAAAGAGCAAGGAGAATTGGAACGAAATATTGTAGAAATGAATGCATGCCCTAACATCCAAAACCTCTTTGATCACATCCAGCTCCATGCTTTATTTTCTCTGCTGACAGTTTACAGATTGCTTTTATCAGCTTGAAAGCCAAAAAAGCCAGCAAGTTACAGACAATAACATCAGGGAACAAACAAAACTTGAAATTCTCTACCTGCACACACCAGAAACCTACTTCCAAGCCAGTCATGCATCAAGGCACCTCCTCACCAGGAAGCAGCGTCACAAACAACCTGAGTTTTGAACAGGATGCTCACAGAAGGGTTGCAGCCCGCAAGCTGTGCAGGCTGAGCCCTTTCTGCTGCTGTAGGTTCCCTCCATAGGCAGGCCCTCACCCCAATCAACAGCAGCCTTTCGGCTTCTCAGATCATGAGGGGAGCACTGAGAGATGGGAAACGAGGCCAGTGACAAGCATCTCACCTCCCCGTGGCTGAGACCCATCTAAAGCAAGGAGAAGTGAAAATCACTATCCCTCTATGTCACTTTAATGCTCTGTGTAATAGGTATTATAGTGGTTTCAGCTCAGCGTATCCACAGGACAAAAACCTGCAGGGTAGTTAACACCTGAGTTGGCAAGACAGCCAGAAACTGAATGGGCTGTGGAGAATTAACCACTGCATCAGCACCAAAAATGGCACCATTAGCCTAGGTGAGTATGATACCCTACAAACTAAGATTATTAGAAAATATATATTTGTGTAATAGAATCATTAAGATCAATTTAAGATGTTTTAATCATTTAACAATTGTGCTGCAGAACAAATACTGATCTTTTGAGGAATAGTTGGAATAACTGTAGGATAAGGAACTCATAAATAATCTTACTGGAGACAGTTTGGCCTTGTAGTGGCAGGTGCAAGGAAACATAAAGAAGCTGCAAATTAGCAACAAACCAGACCAGGCCAGACTTGAAGGACAAGATGTACGTGACTACAGGACTGAGTTTGTGCAGAAATAAGGGTCAACTGGTGAACACAGTGAAGAAGACTACGAGCCTTCATCTGAAGACCTCCAATGACCACCCGAAGACTCCAACTGACATGCGCAAGAGATATTAACATATGCTAAATGAGTTCCTGAAAAAGTTATGAATATGATAAAAATGCAATGAATGTGTATGATTAAGGTAGTATAAATGCTTGTTGATTTCATTCTCACACACACACATTAGGAGGAGCTCTCCCCTGTGTGTCTGGTGCTGTCATAAAGAACTGCCTGCTTTCTAAAACTCCAAAATTCAGTCTTAGAGAGTGAATTAATTACTGCTTTCCAGTAACAGGTAAGTTACTGTGGAAGCTGTCGCTGCTAACTGCAGCACAGATAATAACATTTGACTGCATTAGCCTGCCAAACTGGCCACTTCTTCCAGATTATACCAACATACTTCAGGACCGGTGTAATATTCCAGCATCCAAGTAAAACTCCTGGCACACAGACAACAAGCAGCATGACAAACTGACAGAGAATACAGCTTCTCACATGACTGTTTTTTGCTCGTAATTAACAAGCTGATACGAACAGAAAATTTAATCAGAATGATTAATTCAACTTCAAAAACTTAATGGATGTTCTCCCTGAAATCAGGACAATAAGACTAATTTTAAACACTGCCTAAGTGAAGTGACAGTCAGTAGCGCATTTTCCCTCACCAAACAGCAGGCCAGCTAAGAACAACAGAAGCAGAATTTCCCATATATTTTTCCCTGTTTGGGGTTATGATTATTCAGTGTTGTCTGTAAAGTGCTGTAACTTACCCAGTATTAATGAGTTGAAAAAACCCACTGATATAAATTTAGAAATAGTCCTAGGTGGTAAGCCGGCAGACAAAGAAACTCTTTAGAAACAAAACTGAAACTCCATTTAGGAGAGCAGCTGGTAGATGGCCTAATACACAGCAATGACAGGCGTACACAGCAAACGCGCTTTTGTGGCCAGGGACCCCACAACCCGGCCTGACGTCTCTGCATCACATTTTCCTGGTGGGACTCTTTTCCCTCTCATTTTTACAGATTTTCCTCTCCAACCCGGGATCCTTTCGGTCCACCCGCAGCCGGACCCTTGAGGTTTCTGCGGGAGATGGCAGGGCCCCCTCTCGTGACGCACGGTGCCAGCGACGGCTTGACATCAACACCGCGGCATACAGCACAGCCCTCTAAAGCGGTTTGGGTTCTCTTTTTTTTGACTTTTTTTTTTGTCATCCCCCCCACCCGCAAAGGCACTAAAAAGACAATTTCGCACCGGAAGGACGGCGCCTACCACGACACCCCCCACCCCCCCCCCCCACACACACACCCCCCCCGCCTTCCCGCCGCGCTTAGGCGCATGCGCAGTGCCGCCGCTGCGCATCGGGAAGATGGCGGCCGCCGCGCTAGGCTGGGCGCTGTGGGCAGCTCGGCAGGTCAGCCCGCCGACCATCCCTCCCTTCTTTCCCTCGCAGGGCCGCGTCCCGCGTCCCGCGTCCCGCCCGGGCGAGGCGCCGGGCAGCGGGCCCCGGGGCTCGTCAGACGGCTGGGCCCCGGCTTGGGCCCCGGGGCTCGTCAGACGGCTGGGCCCCGGCTTGGGCCCCGGGGCTCGTCAGGCGGCTGGGCCCCGGCTTGGGGCGCGGGGCCCTCCGGCGGCGGGAGCAGCGCGGGAGCGGCTCCGGGTTGTTTTGCGTCCCCGGGAGTATAAACTCCTTCGCGGGCTTCCGTGAACTGAGCTGGGTCGCACGGCACGGCTCTGGGGCAGGAGCTGCGCAGCATGGAAGTAACTTGAAAGTCTGGCAGAGAGGCGTTTAAGGGAATCGTCAGTCATACATTGAATTGGGCAAACTGTGTGCGCAACAGGTGGTAATTATAAACTTTGGGTTTTTTTTTTTTTTGATTAGGTTATCCCCTCACGCTGCACGGGGCAGGTGCGGAGCTACTATGTGGACTGGAGGATGCTGCGGGATGTCAAGAGAAGGAAGCTGGCGTACGAGTATGCGGACGAGAGGCTGCGGATCAACGCCATCCGGAAGAACACCATCCTTCCCAAGGAGCTGCAGGTACCGGGCAAACACCATCCTTCCTGAGGAGCTGCAGGTACCGGGCGGCCGTGCCCCAGCCACGGGCCCGTGACTGGCTCCCACTGCCGTGACCTGTGTCAGGCCACAGCAGCCGCTTCCCAGCTCACCGTCGCTGGCGTTTCCCTGACCCCGAGCCCAGAATCACACCGTATTGTATAGCTGCTGCTAGCGCCCGAGGTGTCTTCACAGCCTCTGCCTTTTGGGGGTGTTTACAACAGTGTATTCCTTTGAATACAAGTTGTTTTTTTTTTTTTTTTTAAACCAGTGCTTCTCATGTAAGCAGTACATATAACAGTTGCATACGCTGAAGTCTCATTTTTTTCCCTTACAGCTGTCACTAACATACTATCCAGAAAGCTATTTTCCATATTTCCAATAATATGAGAGAGGGTTAACTTTTATATATGAAATTTAGATTTTTTTTTTTTATTACTTAAAAACCTAGAAGTCTGATCCAGCCAAAACCCGCCAATTTGTTCAATTAGAAATACTTAATTTTATTCCTTGCCTGAGTTACAAGCATGGGAAAGCTGCATCAGATCTGGGTGTTAGATCCAGGTCTTAAAAATGCACATACTGACTGCCCTGCTCTCAGCCTTCAGTTACTAAGCATTAAACACTTGCAAGTACCAGAAACATTTCTGTACATGGTTGATCTGTTCGGTGCCTAGTTGTGGTGAGATCCTTTCACACTTAAACATCCTGGGAGAGAAAGTGTATGAATCTGCTTTTATATATTAGCATTACCATTCTCTTGGCAAGTATAGTCCATGTTGAATGTCCTTACAGAACAAAAAACAAACCAAACAAAAAAAAAGATTGCAACTGCCTTTGCTTTGGTATTTCTCAGGTGCTTTTGTCACATTTTGAAGTCACTAAGTCATAGCAGCAGTTAAAATGAAGAAAAAGATGCCAGGAAAGTAACTTTTTCCTTCCCTCCAAAATGCTATTTTGGCTCCAAATTGAAACTCTTAAAAGTTACAAATTTTCTCTGACAAAACATAGGCTATTTTCTAAATAAAATGCTATGATTTAAATAAGTGAAAAAAACTACTGCAAGTGCTTTGCTGTACTAGGTAGAGTGTGTAGGTAGAGCTGTATACATAGATAGGACACACAACTGGAGAGAACCAGTAAGTGAAATATGTTCTGAAGACAAGAAGTCCTACTGACCTTGGTGTTACTGAAGTTGAAAGTCATGTTGCAGCTGTCTTGATGCTGCCTTCCTTTGAAGGCAAACATCCCTGTAGAAGATAGCCTTACGCTATTGCTTGTCAGCACTCCTGCAACGTGATGGGGGTTTTTGTAGTCCTGCCTCAGACCTTCCTTTTGCCTCCAACTGTGATTTCCTCCCATGACTGAACACAGGATTCTTTTGAGCCCCTCTGTCCTTCAGAGAACAGCATATTAAGAATGCTGCAGTTAGGGACACTTACCTAGCCTCGAGTGACTTCCTCGAGGCTGCATTTCCTTGCTGAGCTCATTTCTTGTTCTGACATTTCAACTGCTGCTACCTGATCCTTCCTGAAAACTGTTGGGCTCTCTTATTGTATGTAGACCTCATTAGAACAGAGACACTTGTCTTCCTCTGCCTGTAGATGCTGCTGAAGTGTACTATGAGATCAAAGCATATTACCTGGCAAGGCAGTTAGGTAGGAACATATTTAAGTTCCGCTTATCTTAAAGAACTAGCCCACCCTGCAACATGGACAAAGCCAAGCAGATTTTTGACTAATGAGAATTACTGGCATGAGGTTGTTCAGTGTATGTAATAAAGTTAACTTTTGGGCCTCCCTTTAGATCATTTTACATTCACTGTTAGGATGCCCAGAAAGAAAGGGCCAGGTGAGGAAGACAGGCACAAGTTCCCCATCAAATAGCCAAGCAAATTCCTGAGGCAGGAGAGAAGCTTGTGGTGGTACCTACTCTACAGCTAGATCTTGAGGTCTGGCAGTAAGCCCCCTCAAAAGCCAGGGGAACACCCATAAACTTGATGCTGTGGTCATCTGTTTTAGGAAGTGGCTGATAAAGAGATTGCTGACTTGCCCCGGGACAGCTGCCCTACAAGGATCCGAAATAGGTGTGTCCTGACATCCCGTCCTCGAGGGGTGAGGCGGCGTTGGAGGCTCAGCAGAATCGTTTTCCGCCATTTTGCTGACCATGCTCAGATGTCTGGGATACAGAGGGCTATGTGGTAGATCACTGCATGGATATATATTCAAGCAGAAAACACAAAATGGGCTGTTTGTGTGTTTGAGTAATTAAAGCATGACTGTCCTGATTAGGAGTCCAGCATCAATATCAGACTAATAAGTGGAGGTTGAGAAGCCATGCTGATTCATTAAATTCTCCTGCTGGATGGCGATGGGTATTGGGTGACAAGAAGCAGCGTAACTGCACTGAAGCGGTCTGTTTCAGGGGCAGTTTTATTTTGAGGAAAAGTTGTCACTACCCGATAGTTGCAGAATTAAGCTGAGGTTTGTGATACAGGCAACATTAGAAATAAAGACATAGAGCACATGCCTCGTTTAAGCAGTTTTTTTGCCACCGTATGGTAAGTTCACCATGGTAATTTGGGTAAAAGCATAAATTAAATTACACAACAGGGCAAAGTGGTGTGGTATGCTGGCATGAACAAAGGTGAGCACAAACAAAATAAAAATGGCCTCAAGGTAAGTTACTCTTGCTATGCAAACGTAACATATCTCAATTAACAAGCAGACAAAGTGGATAAAGGACCTATTAGAAATGACACCATGCTAGTATTTATCTCCTGCTTGTAGTGCAGTGCTTGGTCCAATGCTTTAAGAACAAAGTAGCAATTAAGTCCTAGTCCAGACCATAATAGGAGAGTAATGGCTTAATTCTTAAGGTAACATCAAACAAATCTGTCCTTGGGAGACACATGAGAAGGAAGCAGGAAAAATAATAAGCCTGCTGCTAAGCTCACATTTGTCCTGTATTCTTCTTCAAAGCAGGGCAATAAAGGGGAAGTGGCTGCTCTGTCCTCTGGCTGAGGGGCTGCAAGAAACAGGCCAAGTAAAACTACTACCACCGGATGGAAGGCACACAGGCAGCAGACAGCAACCCATCAGCCCCAGTAGAGTCAAATTTTGGAGTATAAGGTATCTCAACATACTATTTACTCGTTACCTTAAACCACTTGAAAATTGATAGGGGAAAGTGGAGCTTGTCTCTCTTTTCCTTGTACACTGCTAGAGCCAGGGCAAACTCACTGTCTTCCCATGACTGATGCCACCTCAAAGACACCCCAAGATCACAGTTAGCATAGGCACTAAAGAGCTCAGTTCATTTTCAGAATTCCTAAGAGGTTAAACAGCCAGTAATTAATTTCTGAGAGTAATCATTAAATTTTAATACCACAGGATTAACACCGTGTTGTTTCTGCTCAGCTATCATGTGCTTGAGATAGAGTGGTTCTACTTAAGCATTTCTCCCTTTGGGACATGCTTTACAGCTCAACGTCTAATCAAAAAACCACACCCCATGTAGGGATCATGACATTAGCCCCAGCAACCAGATGGGTACAGCTGTCACTTGGAACAGAGAGGCCTTGACCCATCCTGGTTTAGGATTCCTTTTCTTTTACATTCTGTTCTCTGTTTCACAACACTCTCCACTTATCTGAGATGCTTTTTCAAGGAGGGTTAAGGATATACCTATGCTCCACTCTTCAGGAAATGGTGAACCACTTAACTGAAAGAAATGCTTAATAAGCTATTTTATTTAAATATTCTCTCCAACCCAAAATGGAAATTGACTGTCTTTTGCTTGGAAGAAGGTTGTGTAAACAATGATCTTTGCAGCACAGCATGTCTCGCATGGAAGATCAGTGTTAAGGCGGCCCTTAGAGTACGTTCAGATATCCATTGGTATGTCCCCTTTGGATTGCTTTTCTCTGCTTTCAACCCAGGCCTTGTTGATGGTACGCTTCATTTCATCATCCCCTTCTGCATACATCTTTTTTAAAAGGTTCATAAGCCCTTCACTGGGGTCTGCAGTGTCATAGGCAGCTTTCCTGCAAGACAGATACATATGAAAAGATCAGATATAGCCAAGCAATTCAGGGCAAAAAAATTAAACGCTAATACTTGGTTGAAACATCCGGGTAAGATGATTCTGCTTTGGCAAAGTCTTTAGACTGTGGCAGTCAGTCACACCTCACTCACTCAGCTTCCAAGTAGGGAGAACCCAAAAGAATATCCTTAAAGTAAGTGCAAGCTGAGTAGTCTACTGTAGAGCTGTCCCACTAAGAATGATGGGAAGCATTCTGCAGTAGACATGACCGTGTAAGCACCACCCAGAAGTAATTTCAGGAAGCAGAAGTGGAACGTAACAGACACAGAAAGTGCCAACATCTGTCTCTGCTGTCATGTGACAAGTGACTAAAAATAGAAAAACGACCACACTGAACTCTGCAAAGCGACTGCATTCACAACCCAGAAGGCATTTTCTGCTTCCCATTTTTCAGATTATCTCCAGAAGTTGACTCACTTTTTTTAACACCCTCCATTTCAAAGCAATTTTCTCAATTTAAGAAGCCAGATGACAGACAGCGCCATCCACGTGGTAAGCACCTGGGGCTGACACACCCTATGTTACCAGACAATACGTAATGCCTTCTCTGGTAAAACTGCCTCTATCCTGTTTTCTAAAAACCCCTAGGTAGCTCCTAGTGCAGCTGCAGGATATCTGAAAAACATGCAGATCAAAATAGATCAGCAGAGGGAGCAAGTTCCTCAAGCACGGGACAAACCACCAGTCCCACAGACCCCAGCACGAGCTGAAGCGACTCATTTTGCTGTGCTGCAAATCCTCAGCACTCTGAAGAAGGCGGCAGTACTCGTCGTGACAGGCTGGGCAGCGTGCAGGACTTCTCTGCACACAAGACACAGGTCTGTCTAAACGACTGCTGTCCCCCTCCAGCAACCTACAGTTAGTAGTCAAGTCACCTTCTCTTGATCACCAGTGACGTCATTTGAAAGGGGAAGGTAGTTTTGCTCTAAGTTCAGGTATGGTTAATTGGGACTAATCAGTTTTAGCAAGTCATCCTACAAACATACACAAAGTGAATAGTTGGCAGGCATAGCTTTCTCAAAAATGAGTGTTTCCATGCTTCAAGGTGGATATACACATTCTATTCTGGGTAAGGATGTGTGTGTGTTGTAAAATAATATGAAATTATTATATAGTGCATTTCACATATATATAAAGTCTCTTTTCCCAGATGTGTCCTCCTGTAATTTACTACCCTTACATATCCAGTGTCTACGCTGCTTGTAGGGTTGCTCCCAAGCACCTGAAGTGATACAAATTAGCTTGAGACTTTGTGTAATGATCTAGGTAAGCAAAGACGTGTCTTGCCAAAAGGACATTGGGATTTTTGTGCAGGCACCTCTCACACAGGTGACAAAATAATTATTTTGACCAACAGAGCTGCAGGGAATATATATGTACTTCTGTATAATATACACTAAAACAAATGAACCCCACTCAACATTTTTTGCAACGAATGCAGCCTTCAAGATACAAATAAATCTTTAATTGGTTGATTGCCTTCAGCACTCTCCCTGCAGGTCTCATCTATCGTATTTCCTACGATGCAACCTTCATCATTAGCAATAAAACGGTACAAGAGTGGCAAACAGCTACTCAAAGCATATCTCTTCCACTGCCAGTCCTACTAGTACCAAAAAAATCCCAACCTAATGCTTGTCTCCCAGAACAGCGATTCTCACAGCCTGACTGCACACTCAGTACAGTACAAATCTGCTCCCCTGGCAGTCCTAAGGCAATTTGGAAAAGAAGAAATGGAAAATGAGATGAAGCGTGGAAGAGTCACTTACTCTTTCTCCTTGCTTTCCTTTTCCACTTGAGTGAGACATTCCCATTTTTCCTCCCGCTTCTTCCTACACATCACAAGGACCATGTCTGTCTTCATCTGCACAGAGAACAGCAAGGCATGAATTTAGAATGCTTCGTAAAGGGATGCTTGTCACAACCACAATGAATAAGGTTAGCTTAAACTTCTTTCTGTACTCACACATTTATCTCAGCTATAGATTCTTATGTAGCAGATAGAAATTAGAGCACTGTACTCAGCTTCAGGGTACAAAGTATTAACCTTGTAGACATTTAAATGGTGTGATTAATATGACACTAGTGCAGAACTGTCGTACCAATACAGCAGAACATACGGTGCTGCAGAAACACCATTCAGTGATTCTCAGGATCCTAAAAGTCCCCAGGACTGTCTAGTAAAGGGTGGCTGCATTTCCTAGACTTCTCCGTGAATACCAAGTTCTGGTAGAGGCTCTCCCAGTTTATTTCTCCAAGGATAAGAAACTGTTTTTAGGGCACTGCTTAATCTTGCAGTATGTTTGCAAGTTACAAGCAAGGCTTATTTAATTGCAACCCTGACCTAAATTTCGTAAAGAACTCCTGCGTGCCACAGCATACAAGAGTCTGCTGGAACTTTAGCTTAGCTTAGCAAGTATGTGACCACTGCTCACTTTTACGCAGTGCTAAAAATCACCAGATCATCACCTTCATTTATTTCAGTAGTTTTAATTTTACACTGTCCTAGTTTTAGGACAACCTCAGATTGAACCATCATTTTTTCACATCTGATGTCGCCAAGTGTGGCACGCAATCGCACAGAACACACACAAGGTATCTGACACACCCCTAAGCCCAGAAAGGTGCGAAAAGTAGCACAATAAGGGCCCTATCACCAGCTGCAGTCATCAGCAGTGAAGTGTCATTGGTGTTCAATTCTGGAGCCACACACCCTTACAAAGGCAGAGCAGGTTTTAGACTTTGCTTTGGATATTAAACCTATTTAAGCTTCCTGAGATTTTGGTCTGCTGACAAGTCTCTCAAACTTTAAAATTGCAAAGAATTTCTCAGCGGTATTTAAAAGCACAAGGATGCAAATGGATTGCTTACTACAATTTTCTGCTTAATTATTTCTGAAATCCTGTTGGGAGAGCTATTAAAAAAAGCGTACAGTATCCAGACATGGTCTTTTGAAACAGAAGCCCATGGATTCCAGAGAATAATTTCACAGTTATGACAATTACAGATTAGTAAGAATCACCTTCACAGTGAAGAAACTCTACAGAAGGGAGGGACCGAAGAAAGGTTAGCATCCAGTCTCTTGAACTAGAGTCAGGCAACGAACATGGTACTTTGTGAGGGACCTAAAAATCTCTAACAACCGAAGTGCACTGACCTTTCTAGAGCTGCCTTCCACAGAGATGGGCTTCAGGAGGTTGTTGAAGGTCATGGTATAGTTCTTCCCATTCAAATTCTTCACTAGCAGATCAAACGACCTGGAACCAGAAAGTGGGGGAAGAAGAGCACAAATGTTCCAATCACTTGTAAAACTATTGTGCCCTTGCCACCAAAAACAATGTCTGAAAGCCCTTTGGCAGGCATATTTCATTGGAAAGCATGTCAACAGGCTTGAATTACTTGTTCCCCAGGGCTTTCAAATTTCCAGCTGGATTTAATACCGAGGACTTAAAAGGATCTGTCCAGACTTCACAATAAATCAAGATCTTTAGAGTTCTTTCTACTTCACTGATCTCCTACAACCTTGGAACAGTAGATTTACTTAATGTACGCTTCAGTTCCATCACTATCAAAAAACAGAGCTAACACTATGTGTCCTGTCAAGCGTGATGAGGTGCAACAAGCATTTGTAAAATGAAAGTGCTCTGACACCCTCTAAGGAGAACTATACTTCAGGGTATGTGGCAAGTGGTACTAAAGGTTAGTATCACTCAAATTTAAAAAGAGAAAAAAGGGAGTGTGGGGGGACAAGGGCCGATCCAGAAAGAACTCAACAACATATTCCTGCATTTCAAATAGTGTTCTGCATCCACACTGTCCCCCTGTGGCGCGGTGCAACAAGATGAACTCACCTCTCTGTGAAATTCACCTGAACATTCTCAGCTGGAAGCTTCTGGACTCCGTTTAAAGAGATGTAAATCTTAATAAACTTATCTGACTGATCCCAACCTGCAAGTGAAGAAAAAAAGATTAAATTCTAGCTCTCCTCCCTAAACTTCATGCATCCCATTCCAACTCCCCTTGCAAAGTCGCCTAGATCTCTGCCCTACTGAAACAGTCTTCAGAGGGATAAGGGGAAGACATGAAATATTCCGGAATAATTTGAGAGCAAAAGGAGGTTTTTACATGTTGCCCTCCTCCCGAAAATTCTGAGACAAAACACGTATCAGTTCAGGTGAAAGGGCAGCGACTCTGTGCAGGGGCAGCCAGAGGTAGCCGTCTGCTTTTGCTGCAGTTTCCTTGACCCACTTTTTCCCCTGCTCCCCGCCTGGCAAGTATCTCAAACAGTTCCCTCTCCTTTCACCTACATGGCGAGCAGAGAAGCAAAAGCTCACTCTTTCATTCCTGCTAAGTGCTAGGCAATGGAAAAATACTAGTTGGAACACCAGGCGATCATTAATGCCCCCCACCAGTATCGTCACACAAACAGAACTAATACACGCTGCAGTTCAGGACAGCACAGTAAGCACGTAGTAGCTTTTAAAGTGGGGTCTCTGGTATGAAATAAACACTTAGGAAGGCTTCTCTCTAATGCAAAGTAGCAACTGCAGCTCACACTAAAGCCACCCTGCCTTCTCTGAGAGATGCCGAGGCTCTAGGAAGCGTTCAGAAAAGGAATCCTACCGTAATTGTTTATTTTCACTGTGTACCCTCCCAGCGATGACTTGTCTTCCTCCGCCACATCTTTTGGCTTCGGTGGAGGCTGATTCTTGATTTCTACCTCTAGCTTGTGTTTCTCTGTCATCAGGACATCACGAAGGCGCTTCCTCGTGGCCTTCGCCAGCAATTCCTTAACCTCTTCCAAATCTTTCTGCAACTGGTCCAAAAATAAAATATCACTGGTAAATACCGCGGTTCTTTTTACTGAAGGTTCCCGGCCGAGCTCCCTCAGTTCGGACACAAAACTCCCCGTTCCCCCGATGCAGCAGTTCCAGGTTTACCGGGTCAGCCGTTTCCCTTCCCTCCACGCCCCGGAGGGCACGAACGCAGCGCCCCGGCCGCTCGCCTTCTCACTGCTGCCCCCCGTATCCACTGCCAAGCTTTAAGGTCTCACCGATTAACATAAAAAAAAATTAAAAAACCCAAACAAACCAAAACAGACGCCGATACCAGCCCGGCGCGTGGCAGGGCCTGGAGGAGGCCTCAGGGGCAGCCCCACGCCCGAGCCCCGGGACGCCCCCCCCCCCCCCCCCCCCCGCCACGGTTCCCGTCAGGACCCCCCGGGTGGGGTGTGGGGGGGAGGGGGGTAGTGTCTCACCTCCTCGCGCGCTGCGGCCATGGCGCGTGCAGCTCCCCCCCGCCCCCCTCCCCCGCTCCCGCAGGCAGCGGCAAGCTCCCGCGGCCCCTCTGGAACCTTCCGGCCTCCCCGCCCCGCCCACGCCGACGGCGGAAGTGACGCAAGCCCCCCCCCCCGTTGCCGTTATGCCGAGGGGCGGGGCCACGGCTCTTCCCGCCTCCGCGGGGCGCTGAGGGGCGCGGGGCGCGGCGGCATTTAGCGGGCGGTCCCCGCCGCCCTGAGGGAGTGAGGGACGGGGGGGCGGTGGCTGAGGGGCTGCGGCACCGGGAGGGTGTTCTCCGGCCTCTGGGAGCCGTCGGGAGCCTCGTCCGGGCGGCCGCTGCCGTTACTCTTTTAGAGGAGACTTGAAACGACCTTCCCGAGTGCTGCCGCGACCCCGGTTGTAGTTACCCGTGGGGGGGAAAAAAAAAAAAAAAAAGTACCGCGCGGCGTCTCTCACCGCCGTTACTAAATTAGTGTGCCGAACAGCAAAAAAGTTCCTGTATTCCCAGATCGCGGTCGGGCATTACAATTTCCCAGAGAGGAGGGGGGCAAAAAAAAAAAAAAAAAAAAATGCAGTGGCAGTCTTTCTGTAAGCAGGTAAGTGGAAGAGTCAGCTTTTGCCTCCAGATGTGTTTATAAACAATGGAACCCAGGGAGGGTACAGCCCTTCAGCGTTTAAAACATAGGTTTCTCTAAAAGAGGGCTCCAGTTATAACATCAGTTTTATCAAATTGAGGAATGCCAGCTCATTTGCTGATTTATGGACTTGGGCTTAGGCTTTTTTTCTCTTCTAAAGTGAACATCCAACAATTAATTAAATCTGTAAAGAGGGGGTGTTTTTTGCACAGATATGGAGAGAACAGATCAGGTGAAGGCAAATTCACAGACAACCTGAAGCCAAGGGTTTATGTTAAGTCTGTATTCCACACAGCAGTTTTAACAGACGTTGTACCCGAGTGTTCCAGTGCTTCAAGATAGGCCACTGAGAAAGGGTCAGGAAAGATCTGTGTAACTAACTCTGTGGTTATGTTTAATTTTCATAGGACTGGCCTTCAGCCTGTCCATCTTCAGGAACAGCATTTGAAGCTGGGCTAGCTGAATTTTATCTGGCAAATACAATATGGTCAACTGGAACTTACTTCTGTGGCACAGTTATTTGATTGGTTAAGGGCAGTTTCTTATTCAGGAACTGTTTCCTTACTGATCCTGTTGAGCAGCCACTGAGACAAGAAAATTTCTGTGGTTTTTTTTTTTACCTTATCTACTAATGTTTGAGTTTCTCCACTCTCAGTTGTGGTCTTGTATTAGGGCGTGCTCACAGTTCTAGAATTTAAATTGGTATTGCTTTATAATTTCTGGCTAGAGGAGGAAATGCTTTCACCAATATATAAATGCATTTGTAAGCGAGCCTGTAATTTGCTTTTTTTCTTGAGATTTTTTTAAAACCAGTGTTTCTTTTATTTCCTTAAATTTGGAATGTCTCAGTGCCCATGGCACTTCCAATTGAGTGGCAGCTTTCATGTGGAAGAGTTGTCACTCTTGTAAAAACAAGCTCCACGCAGCTCTCCTTTGCATAAAGCTGCAGCAGCACCTGGATGCCGCATCCTCCCCTGGCTGGAAACAGAAGAGACCCTGGTAGAGCCAAGTTTTCTTCTGCGCATCCTTACAAGGACCCAAGTAACAGGACTTCTCTCGTGGGAGAAGAATCAGAACAGTTCCTGCATCAGGAGGGGGAAAAGGAGCTAGCTTAGTTAGTAGGAGTACTGACACTCAGCTGAAGGATCCTGGTCTAGGCAGTGTGGCAGACAAAATACAACACAGTGCTCTTCAGTGCTCATCAGGTCTAGAGCTGTGGGGGAAAAGCATCTGAGGGAGCTTTGAAAGGATGTGGCCTCTTTAGCACATAGTAGCCATTCCTTCTGCTCGTCTGCAGGCATTGATAGCAACTGATGACGGTCCTTGGATAGTCATGTGGAGGTAAATCATTATAAAATGTTATGTCTGGTAAATTTAATCCTCAGCTTTTCTACTTCTTTGCCTTTTTATCTTCCCCTGAAGTGCTGTGTGCTTTTCCAGTTGTCTGGGAACAGTGGCCGCTCATCTCAATTAATAAGAAACCCTAGAGCAATTGCTCAAATGGAAAAATGGGTTCATAAAGCATTTTAATACTTTTGACTGCTGTAATTTCTGCTCTGTTCTGTTCTTGCTCAGCCTTGCTTCTCTGTCGTGAGTCAGTTTTCAGTTTCTTGCCATTTCCTTCTGCTCCCTCCCTCTCTTCCTCCAGGCACGCTGCCTCGGGGCTCACTTCATATTTCTCTTGTGTACTCCAGGGAAGCATGAAGACCTTAACAACAACTCCTGTTGCCCCACTGCTCTGTATCAACAACCTTTAAAAGCATTATTTACCAGTGCGTTCTCTGTGCTGGAAACCTCAGGCTGACGTTTGGAGCAGAGGACCAGGGTGACCTGTTCGCTCCCTAGCACAGCGCCTGCCCGACTCATACAGAAGAGGTTACCCCTTCTGAACACAGACATTGTCCTAACCAACGGGTTGGACTTAGCTATGCAGCTGCACTTTTCTAAGTAAACGGCTTCTGAAAATAAGCACCTCATTCCCATTTTGTTCGCATTTCCATTTATTTTACAAGGCATCGTTCACACAATGATAACAAGGTACTGATCCAAACAATTCTGTAACAATTAAAAAAGTAAACATTTGTTGTGACCATGTACATTGAATTGCACTTTTAATAACAAGCATTACACTTATATTTCCATATTATACTTTATATAATACATGGATTTGTTACATAAGTACTGGCAGTACTGAAGTGTTCTCCGTTAGAAGTCTGATATAGCTATGACGCTCTTTTTCCTAACTCTAGGATTTGCGAACTTGGGACACACACAGATAACAAATGCAACTCCAAACCTGGAAAACTGCGTTGTGATGGAGTCAGAGCTTTGAAGCTGCTCAGAATCCACCTGGAATGGCAGACACCGAGAGAGCCAGATCATGCTTGATTAGACCCTTTTCTGCATTCATGTGCCATCTTTTCCCAGTTCAGAGAAGTCAGAGAATCTTCTTCCATGGGAAAGCAACAGTTCCCAAAGCTCGAGGGAGCTCCTGGCACAGCTTTTGAAGGTGGTAGCAGCAGCAGCAGTGCAAACCGAGGGATTACTGGAAGGAGAGGGAGTGGGCATCTGGAGAAAAATCTGAAAACATCTGCTCTTGCGTGCATTGGTAGTACCATCCATGTATTATATAAAATACAAAAATAAGAGAAACTGAAAGGAAATGAGTACAGCCTAGGATTCTGGTGGTATCAAATCACAAATGAAATTTATGATACCAAATCCTTGTGATGTATTTATCCCCTTGTGATTCAGTTTCCTATATATTATTCTATATATAAGATATAGTCTTCCAAAGATACATATATATTCCTTTACAGGTTAAATAAAAGCAAGTCCCACTGAATAAGAAAATAAGAGGAAGTAATGTCCTAATTCTCTACCCATATCTTTTTTTTTTTTTCTTTTTCAGGTAAAAATAGCATGAAATACATTCAGTAGCAAAGCAGTTGGAATCCAGGAGAAATGGAGAGCCCTGTATTCCTAGAGGATTAACCTGTACGTGTTAAGTCACGATCCTGAAATAAATTATGTAGGCTTCTGACTTGGGAAAGATAGGATCTTGATCCATGCTATTACTTATCCAGTTGCAAATTCGTTGAATTTCCCCAAACCCATCTATGGATTAGCTCAGTCTTAAAGACCGCTGTGATGTGTACCTCACCAAACTGGAAAGGTCCAAACTTGAGTGCTTCACTGTGTCTCCTTAGTATTATTACTTGGAAGGAGGGAATGGGATGGCTCCCAGTAGGATATTAGCATAAGAGATGGGAAAAATAACTGAGTTTAAGCCTTTGTGTCTGTGCGAACGACGTGATGCCCGGCGCTGCGTGTGCTCGCCGCCCTGGGTATGCTCAGCACTACGGGCCTGGTGCAGCCAGCGGTTTGCACAGCAGGCCCTCGGCCTCGAGAGAAGAATCTCTGCCCTGATCTTCACATTCCCACAATAACACTGTACTAAGGTTTTCTCTCTAGCAGTTGGAAGAAAACCAGCACTGTCAGGTAAGAGTGTTTCTGTTGTCAATGCCAAAGGTATTTAGGCTTATTAGATTATGCAGAAGTATGCCAGTTATCCCTGAGTCTAACAGTAAATCAAGAGGTATAGTTCTCCCACACATACAAGTAGTTTTCATGGATTTCACTGCAACTACTTAATAGAAGGAAGGGAACAGCCCTACCTTTATACTGCGGAGAAGGCGTGACTTATGTAGCTTCCATGTTTTGATACTTCAGTTCCAGTAAATGCAGAATTTTATTTACTCCTAAATTGCCACATTCAGTCAGTGAGTGACATCGTGACTCTGAAGTCAATGGCATACTTCATGCTTTGTCAAGGGGATGAATTCTCACTGTTCTTGACTTTCTATCTCACTCTCCCCTTGTAAATGGCTGTTTTTATTTTGAGTTGTTTTTAACGCAATGGCACAGTTGAAAGCATCTATCTTAAAAGAAATTTCAAGGGCCAACCAAGAGAAATCTTTCAAAATGTCCTAACAAGGAAAAAGACAAAAAAAATTGCTTACCTATGTAAGCAATGTAATTTAGCTGTAGGAAATGATATCCTAATTAAAGGGCAGGACAAGTTTGTCAGCTGGCAGTACTGATTACATGGCTGACTACCTTTCCTGAGACTGGTTTTACTAAATATGAATGCATGTGGACTTGAGGGATTTTGCAGTTTCTTGGATTAACACCACACATGGTATTTTCTGTTGTACTGGTTTTAATTTTCTCTGTGTACATTTAGAATTTGTTAAACTAAGTGAAGTCCTATTACTTTAGAATATTAAGTTTGATTCACAAAGATAATACAAGACTAGTTCACAGATGTACCATGTAACTAAATCAGCCTTGCTTCATTTATCCTGTAAAGTGTTACAGTCAAAAGAAAAACAAAGTGAAAAAAATTACTTCTCCCCACCACACACCCCCCCCCCAGTAGTGGGGATCTCAGGAACAGATTAGAATCCAACAGGAAAAAGCACCTGTACTAAAAATATTCTTTGGAGGTTTGTCCCTAATCAAAGTAAAGGCTTTATTTCAGAACGGTGCATTCTCAGTAAAATTGAAAAGATTTAGTTCCACATATATATTTATAAAATTCAAATTACTTTTAATATAAGTTTGACGTGGACACAATTTAATACTGACTCCGGAATAAAATATTAATCGCTCCAGACTTAGGAGCTGTTAGCTGTTCCAGTGCCACAAGAAAATAAGTTTCAGTGAGACTGATGCTGTTTCCTGCTGAAAAGCTAAATGACAAGCCAGCTATCCCTGATGGATCAGTCAGTCTGGGATACCTGTGCATGTGGCTCTGTCACACGCTGCTGAAAGGGCTAATTAAAACCCACGATGATTTTCTCACAGGAGGTGAGTTTCATCAACAGCAGCGTACAGTCAGCAGGTAGAATTTTAGCTTGCCTGGTTTAATCCTGCAGTCTTGCTCTTTTCCTTGTTTCTGAATATAACTATGCTTATCAAGACAATGCCACAGAGCTATTCTCTTATTTCAGTATTTTTGAGAAGACACAGTTTCCACATAAATGTTACTCTTTCAAATGCCATTGCTACAAATGCTACCTTGAGCCTACAGACTGAAGGTGACAATTGTTTACTGCCTTTCTGTCATTGCCAAGAGTGATAATGCAGCCACTGCCATCTGAAACTTTTTTTTGCTGAATGTAAGCCAGCTTCCATCCTACAAGGTTTTGAAATCATCACGGCTAGCAGGTAACACATATGTTTTTGTCACAGAAACTCAACTTCTGAAGTCAGAGAGCTGCTATACTGAGGAAGATGTTGTTGTGTCAAAGCTAGTTCCACAAAATATAGTGAGTTTATTTAACAGGTCTTTTTGGATGAACTGGGGAAGTCCCACTCCCACAACCTGCTTGCACTCATTGGACCCTCTGAGATGATTTAACTTACTAACTTGGCAAAAGACTAACCGGGGAGGGGGGGGGAGGGGGAAATCCACCCATATCTTTTTCTTTGTTGTTTTTAATTGTCTCCAGTAAGTGCCATAACAAGAACAAAGGACATGACTGTACAACAGGGAGTTGGAGGGGTGAAATCTTTGAGCAGCAGTGAGCTGTTACATTAACTCAGCTGCTCGGGGAATCACAGTCCTAACAATTTTTTTTTTTTTTTTTTTTAATTATTACTGCATTTTTCCAAGCCAGGTTTTAAATCCGCTTCTAAGTATGATTTAAGATAAATGAAATGAGAAATTTGGACACTTGTCAAACCATCAGTGTCACTTATCGGCACAGTACTCTCAAATGTAACAATCATGTTCACTGGGTATTCTTAAATGTCACTGCAGATTTCTTACGCAGTTCATGTCGAGTGTGAAGTGGAACAGGTAAGTGAATGACTAATGCTAGGTTCAGAGTCAAGAGAATGGAAACATTTATGCAAATATTATTAGCAATAAAGTGACCTGGGAAAAAGATCTTTGTTAATATTTGCAAAAGAAATTCCTTCTGCTTTTTCCCCCATTTTTTCCTCACTGTATTAATATTTCCAGACAATCGCTGCTCTTGCAGGTACATTTTAAAATATTAAAATTTTGTAACCCCTTACTCTTCGAAGAATTTCACTGGAGGCTAGTTGTATCAGGATAGTGATTATATTTTGATCTCTACTTCAAACAGCTGACTGCCTTTCAGAATCATTCCTTTGGCACAGGTAACATTAAATCTGTACTACCCTGTTTGAAATAATTCACAATTATGCTTGACAACAAAGCACAAGATGGGTATCATTAAATTTTATTGTACAAAACTGACAAGATATGGCATTCCTTAGAATTAAAAAAAAATCAAAACAGAACTAATGTCCCTGGAACAATTTTGTAAATGGAACAATTAATACACAACCTTTAGTTCAACAGTGATATTTACCTGCAAGACCATCTTTAGACATGACAGTTATAATTAAAAAAATATTCCATCAGTTCAAGCAATAGTTTAATTTTCCATGAAATAAGTATTTCTATAAACACTTTTATGTTCAGCCAGAACAAATGCTTTCGAATTTTCTTACCTTAAGAGATATAAAACAACCAGACAGGTTTGGGAATCATCAGAGTAGTCTACCCCACGGGAAAGTCTAGGTTTTGTATTCCACTTGAAAATGTTTGTTTCTATAAAAATAAGTAATACCAACAGTAGCGTTTCCTAACCAAATACTTCTAGCAAATAGATCTTGTTTCTGTGATGTTTTATTCATCAGTGCAGCACAAGCTTTTGGGGTTTTTTGTTTGATACCTCATTTCTGTGTCAAATTCAGAACTCGACTATAGACCCAGGGAAAGGCTTTAATTACTTTTATTCATAAAACCTACCCTTTATTGCACAGGATTTACAAAAGGTCAAAACTATGCAAGGTCTTCACTCTGCTTCTCAGCAAAAACGTCAAATAAATGTTGAACAGTTTTCCAGTTTATCCCAGTGGAAGGAATTATTTCTTGGGAGTTCTTAGTATAAACACGAAATAAAAAAGGGAACTAGGCAACTTTATGTTAAATTCCAGTTCAGCTGACAAGAGCCTTTGAACAACAGTGCTACAAAGAACTGCACTAGTATTTCTGAAGAAAAAACAATCGAAACCAAGAAATTGTCAGGGAAGCTCATAAACAATTGTGCCAAGAGAGCACAAGACTATCTTTGCTATGGCCTAAGCTTTACAAAAAGTGCTTCTCTGCAGGACGCAGTCACTGCGATAAACTTCTGAGATGGTCCCAGGGCGTAAGTTATCCTAGACACCCGCACACACACTAGTACTTACTACACTGTGCTTTCTACGAAGAGATTATGCTTCAGTACTTTACATTTTCCATTCTCTCTCTTCCTCCAGAAGAAAAAAACCTTCTATGCAAGATAAAAATAACTTTGAGTAATTAGTCATGTATTAAAGACCTAGTTTTGTAGTATTTATTTAACATCTAGTCATATAAAATAAAGTGTAAAAGTATGAAGGTATCAGAACGTGGCTTTCAGCAAGGCAGTTTGGGAAGTAAGAATTCAACATAAAACAGGAATATTTTTTTTTTCCCCCCCTTTGCAAAGGTCACATCAGAATGAATGAAAAACACCGAAGAATTTCACTTCAAGCCTGCACTCCTGCCTTTTGTCCTTTCCCCGAGAGGACAGACCACTGGAAGAAGCCTCCAGGGTTTCAGGTGGGTTGTTCTTTGTGCTCTTGTGCCGGGGCTGGCGGGAACTATGTACTGCCCTCCCTGGGTGGCAGGGGCGGCTGCGGCTGCTGCGCCGGCTGCGTGCCCGCGGCCGTTTTGATAGAGTTCAGGGTTTTGCTAAACCAAGAGTTTTTGGCAGCTTGGATTTCGTTCATAAGGGCTCCTCTCTGGTGCTCCAGCTCCTACGAAAGCAGAATAGTCAGAATTGATCAAAAATCAATTAATTGACGAAAAAGCAGCCTCAAACTCAGGCCCTGCAATCCAGCGCTTTCCTTGCAACCTCCCAGGCGCTGGCAGGAGGGGACAAGATGGACATTGCAGAAACAGCACAAGATATTTAGATAGACAAATAAAAAACCCCTCTCAGTTTTCTTTTTTTTTTTTTTTTTTAAGACAAAGAACTGTCTTGAAGTTCACAGGTACACAGCAGTACAGGTATACGCTCCCTTCTGGAACATTTTTTTGCCCTGATTCAGAAACATTTTGGGCTGAGCACAACGAGGTTAAGGAGACTGCCCTGCTGCACCTGGATTCCACATACCTGAATTTTGCACTTGGCTTCCACAAGCTGCAGTTTGGTCTGTGCAAGTTCCAGCTCCATCTCTCTCAGCTGCTTCTTCAGTGCATCCTTCTCATCATCTGTTTCTATGCCTTTATTCTCCGTGCTTACAGCAGACAGCTTCAGTGTCCCCTCCTTACTGAAAATCTCACTGCAGTGTTTGCAGGCCATCACTTTACCCTGAAATACCCAGAAAGCTCATTTTTAATCCACGGTACAAGTGTTGCTGTGCTTCCCAAAGAACTGTTTTTATGTTAGACTGCCTTTCAGTCAGTCATCTTGAACTATGCAGTACTGCAGTTTTTGAATTTGACATTAAAAGAATTTGAGAAGTTCATGAACAATTTCCAGGGTGCATTAACCAGTATAAAAATTCCTAAAATCTACTTGGCATGCTCTAAGCACAGAGACTTTGCTCCTAGATTAGAATTGCTCAAGCTGTCTTTCTATCAAAGCTTTGCAATATTTTGCAGTATTTATGCCAGCACAATTCAGAAGAGTAAATTACACTCTAGGGACTTTTCATCTTCTATAAAATCACTTGGCCAAATTAATACAGATTGTGATATTTTAAAGAATGCCAGGTAGCGTTTCTGTATTTCCAGGAGCGAGGGAGCAGCCTGCTCTCCCCGCAGGGGCCGACACTGTCCTGCTGGTGTGTGTTCAGCTGCACAGGGGACGGCCCCTTCTGCCAGCAAGGCCTGACACACGGCTGGCAGGTTCTCCTGCTGCCTTGAGAGGTGAACTCACGGCCGAGAATGCGGCGCAGCTGGCCTGGCTCACACGAACTAAAATGGGATATTGAGCTATTTCAGCAGATTGTAAGGAACACCAATCCTAGAATTATTTTTTTTTTTTTTTATCAGTACCGTAAAAAAGGCACTAAAAAGCAACAAATCAGGTTCAGCTTGAGTTACTGCAAGCTTCTAGTTGTTTCCTCAACTAGAGCAGAGGGAAAACAATTCTGCCTACTCAGTAGTGACAAAGCAGAGGGATGGAATTGTTACTTCCAGAAATGTTTACCTCTAGTGCAAACGTTTTTGGTAAGGGGGTTTAGAGAAGGCAGAGGAACTGCTAGGGAAATTCTGGGGATGGCCCAAGCTGTGCGAAGTACTTAAACCAACTCTGCTTAAATTACAGAAACCCAGATATAAACATTGTCCAATTCAGCCAGTCCAACCCCTCCTACTATGCACACTGGAGAAGCAACACTGTTTCTTTTCTAGAAAGCCTTTTTTTTTTTTTCCATTTAATTAAAACATCCAGGCAAATACTACTCTCTCTACATTTTCTGTCAAAAGTATACATTTCAACAGGGAAAAAAAAGAAACACCAAGTACTATATATACGCCCTTCAGTTTGAGAGTTCCACCCTGTCTGATACAAGAAAAAGAACAGTGAAAGGAAATAAACCCTTTCATTGTTTACATCTGATGAAATGTGATGTAATGCCCAAATTCACATGTGGGGCTCTCAGTGCAGCTGGGTGGACACTGCTGTTCTTACATTAAACTTCAGTTCACATTTTGTGCTGCATCCCTGGCATTTAGCATTAGAAACATCCCATATGTTGAGGCATCATTCTCACCTTCACAACTTCCAGTTCATCTTTACTGGCAGCTTGTTGTTTTTCCAGCCTGGTGCTCAGCTGGGAACAAATCTGGAGCAGAGAAAGCAGTCTCTTAACTAAAGTTTACTATGCTAAAATATCACCTGTGCTTTTAACAATGATTTTTGTTAGAGTCAACATTTCTTAAATTCTGCCTCACTCAGGTATACGTGGCATAGGCATATACCTCACTCAAGTATATCCCCTTAAGATATCCACTGCTGCTGATAATAAGACTAAAAAAATGGCAGTATTCAATACTGAACACGGAGACCAGAACATTTTATGGATTAATTGGTTTATAATGTTTCTACCGCATGATGTCACAGAGTAAAGCAGCATTCACCCTAAGGCACTAAAATTAGCTGAAAGACAGGTTATTCCTGAGTCCCTAAATTAAGAGACTATTAGGAAAACCACAAAAAGATTTACAACAAATTGCAGTGCTTGCTCTCTGCAAGCCTGAAATGTAGTGTATCTTATTGAAAGGATGAGACCTGCAACTCTGAAAATTCAGCTCTCAGAACAGGATGAAAGAAGAAATATGAGAAAGTGTCTCTAGAACAGTACCTGTTTATACTCTGCAATAATGGCTGTGGTTTTCTTGATCTCAGATTCTGCCTTCTCTAGCTGCTTCCTGAAGACTTCCTTCAGCTAGGAATTGAAGGAGAGAAGTTACACAGTATGCTGAAAGAAGTTCTCAGAATGTGTCATCAGGTTGTCTCTAAGTCTTGCTGTGTTTACAACAGTTCTCACCAAATTCCAGCTCTTCAGACAACTGTCTGATTTACTCAGCAGACAAATAATTATTATATTCAGTTATAACCAAAATGTCTGTACTGTGATAGAGCGTATCCCTGCTTAGAGAATTCTCCTGTAGGGTAATCCTCTTTCTCTGCATGGAACTGGTGGTACAGCATGGTCCACAGAACACAAAACAAGAGCATTACTATTAATTGGGTTTTAGTGATTTTGTTTTTTTTCTGCAACATTATCCCAGCAGGTTTGGGCAGACAGACTGTTTGTTTGGAGATTGAACAGGAAGAAGAATCTCTCAGCACTATGATTCTCATCTCCGTAACAGGAGAAAAAAATCTGGTTCGGTCTGTGGTGCTGCATTAAAATACAGCTAAGTCATTCCTCTACCGTTCAGAACCACTAAATTTGGAGAGCCCTAACAGTAGGAGAAAGGTCTCCACTGCCTTCTTTGTAGCAACAGAGAACTTGGCCACCTCCATTTCAGAGAGACGTAAAGAATTGCCATTTGATTGCTGTAGTCACTACTGTCAAATGGCAAAAATAAAGATCAGAGTACCTCTTTTGAAACATACTTGCGTGCTTGTCAGTTTTCAGCACGTTAGATAGGTGGGATCAAAAAACTACAACTGAACATTTTGCAAACAATGTATAAGGCCAGGTGTAATCAGCAAAATTCTGCCAACTCTCAACTCTGTTCTGCTGTTGGTTGTAGCTTCAGACAGGAATGTTCACAGCTTTATTTCAGCGAACCAGCAGCTGAATCCAGAGTGGCCTCTTAGAAGGCAACCACTCCTCCAGCTCCTTGTTTAGATAATGAGAAGGTCTGATCATGCCTCCTTAGTTGCGATTGCTCACCACCAGTGAAAATGATTATTACAATACCGGGAAGAGGATTAGGTACGGAAAACTGAACGTTCAGAACTCAAGTAAAGGAAAACACTGAAAAAAATACTTTTTTAAAAAAACCCCAACATTTACCCTGGCACTGTACATTTTTAATTGAGACTGCATTTTGAAGACAAAATCCCTTTTTACAACTGCAACACATCCATGCTTTCCTGCATATCCTTTTGCTTGCATTTCCTTGCTAAAGGGGAAAAGTTGCAGAATGCCTTACCTGAGCAGTTTCCTCTTCCTGCTTCCGTTTCTCCTCCTCTGTCTCCACTAGCTTCTGTTTGGTCAGGAGAAGTTCTTTGTTCAAAACGTCTGCTTTGTCTTCAGCCTAGAATTAGAAACACTGGTGTAAATCAGATGTTGTCTGTGCCAATACAAATGCATCGGTATATACATCTCAGAAATACTCAGGTTCTAGCATTGCCTTTTCCTGCCCTTGGCTCACCTAACCTATTTCTTATAGGAAATTCCCTTTTCAAGTAGCTATTTTCTAAGTTATTCATTGTGTTTCAACAACAGTGCAAAAGGACCCTTTTGCCAAATGTTTACCTATGCCCAGATGGCAAGTAAGCATAGATATTATGTCCTAATACAAACATGATGTATAGAGTATTTTTGTTGGGAACAATATTAATCTAAGCAAGGGCGGCATGATTTAGCTCTTGTGTAACTTCAGATAACTCATTCCATTTTTGTATCTGTAAGCAGGGAAACCAGATATTGCAGAAAACGTGAGGTGCCTGCACTGTACCTTACAAAGTGTCTGGGCAAAGAGAAGAAAAAAAGAGACCAATAGGACCACCAGATGAAATAGTTTGTTTATCAGTACAAGATAGTATTACCTGGAGAAACCTGATACCATATGTGTCCCGGAGAATATGAATTTTCTCCTTTCTTTGAAGGGCCGAGCTTATGGTGAAACACACTGGGAATACTTTGTTTTTGTGAGCGCTATCCTCACCGATCACCAGGAGAGAAATGTATTTCTCACTGATGTGGATATATCCTGTTGACCTCCCCGGCTGGGAGATACACACTGCATCACACCACTCCTGTTCAGCAGCTGGGTGCTAGAACAGGCACAGGCTGTGGTCAAACAATACTTAGTTTGCTGAAAATACAAAGCTGGCATTGTAAACAACAACGTAAGCAAGTACAGAACTTGTCTCTGAGTTGCAGTTTGGTTTTCCACCACTGCTGGTGGTATTAGCTTATCTATCTGCCACGGTGTTAATTATTAATGAGGGTGATTAGTGGTGGTTGTGGATATCAGAAGCAGCTCCACCAGGGCCACAACTGAAGAGATGGATTGGGGATTCCTGCATTGCTTAGTCTGTGTACGGCTGTACGGAGAAAGGAAAACAGGCAGTGAAAGAACGGAAAATTGGTAAGATTGAACAAAAGAACTCAGGGACTACAGGGCTATTTTTGATGAAAGACCTGTTTAAGACACGCTTTGAAGGAACTACAAATCTCTCCCCCTTTTATGCGTTCATTCCAGGTTCCCCAGGCACCTGGAGTGGTGTATGGTACCACCTTCTCCTTGCAGATGAGGAGCGCAGTAGCACAAAGCTCTTTCCGGGCCAGTGAACTGAGGTGGGGTGTGGGAAAGCTTCGTGGAGCCACCCTCATCTATGGCAAGACTGCTCAAACGCAGGAGAGCACAGAATGGGACTGACAAAGGTATGTACTTGGCAGCCTTGTCACGATACCTGAGATAAATACAAGCGTGGGCAGCAGCAGACATAAAGCTGCTTTATGTACAGCTATTCCTGGGGAAGATCAAGCACCTCAGGCACACTGCTTTTGGCCTTCAAGTGAGATTGCCCACTCCATCACGCAAAGCACATCTCAGCCTGTGTTTGCTCACCAAGGTGGCTCAGATTTTTAGAATCGCATGGATCCAAATCAGCAGAGCCTAACCATCCAGGATCTGCCTGAACAGAAATACAAATTGCACTGCTGTGGTTTACAATTCTGAGGTTTGATAGAGCCAAATAACTACAGGAAATCAAACTGAGAGATCCTTGCAGGAAAAGATTTTACATTATAAAAGGCACTACAGACCTCACTGAGCAAGGGACTAATCACGAGGTGTGGTGGAGTATGGCCCTCTTGTGTTTAGTGCCTTAATAACAGCTGTTACAGCATTCATCAATACTACATAAAACACTCCAGAAAGAGGAGGGCTGTCTGAGATAAAGGGCTCTGAATTCTGCTGCCCTCCATATTCCAGTCTTCACAGGAAACAAAAGCAGTTATCAGAGGACACCCAGGGGCCCTTCTAATTCTTGGTGCTATGCCACTTCATTATCTGTGAATTTTGTTGGCTGTACTAAAACCATTGTGAAAAACAGATCCACATAAGGTGGTAGACACTCTGCAAGGCAACTTCCCTTGAAATTAGTCATTCAAGGAGTATGTGATACCTGTTTCGAGTAAATGTTCATTCTTTGGTATCTGCCTAAAGGTTATGGCTTATATTTGCTAAACCAATCCACAAGAGAGAAAGTGCAGTCAGTGTTGGCAAGACACCACTGTGAATGCCTACAAGTTGCATGCATGTGGAAATCCAGCTTTCTGACTGCAACTAGGAGCGAGGCTGCCAGGAAAATAAAGGCACAAATAATTATACTTTTAACGTTGTGTTCATGCTTTCACTTGAGTGAGCGCAAAGGAGGGCTCCTAAATTTGGTGTTGCCAAGCCTGAGCTGGGGCCTGTCTCTGTTAGCGTTACCTGGTCCAGGTCATTCCGTAAGGCAATTTTGCTTGTTACAAGCTCATGGGCAAGGTCATCGTTCTCCTGCTCCAGCCGCATGCTTGCTTCTTGGAGCCTGCGGTTCTCCCTCTGCAGAAAGAAAGGAACAACCAGAAAAGGAAGTTAATCCTTATCAATATTAAAGAGCAATAAGCGAGTATATTGTGTGTGTAAAACACCGAGAAGGCAAGAGTGCACATTAAAGACAGGACTGCTGCTCTGGGAAACAACAGTGAATTAAGCCAGCAGTGCAAATGCAGCGATTCCACTTACATCCCAAAGGTAATGTTTGTGTCGCCTAAGTGACACACTGATTGTAGGGTTTCTCTGTCAAAAGTAAACACAGTCCTCTCCACAAAAGCACTTGGTTTTTGCTTGCTCATCATCAAAAGAAATGAGGCAGATAAAATACCACCCAGCAGCAGTGAACAGGGACCAATTAAGAGATACTCATAGTAATGTTTCTGATCGAAAGTAGAAAGCCGGCCTGCTCCATTTTACAAAATTTTGTCTGCAGGAATCCATAAAAATAGTCCATTTTGTAGATGACGTGGTGCTGACTTCCCATTTTCTGTGGGACTGGTAAAGAACAGCATTTAGCAGGGAACTCCCTACAGCTCGTATAACCTGTATCGCCTTTGGTGCGGTTTCTTGCGCCTGTGAGAACAGTGTACGTGCTGAAAAAAGGTGTTGGAGGGAGAGGGGCCCTCGCTCCCCGAGCACAGGCCTGGAGCCCACTTGGCGGGCAGAGCACTAACTAGAGACAATAAGTACACAGGAGAAAGATGAACAGTAGTAATTCATGTTTGTTTTTTTTTTAAAAAAGTGTCAGTGACTGTTCTTCTAGGGATGAGAGACAGAATCATATTCAAAAGATGTCTGTGGGTCAGTGGACTTCAAGGAGTCCACATCAAATACACACCTTCACCTTCGGAAGAACGCAGCCAGGTGGGACAGAGAGGTGCCCTCCTCAAATGGATTTTAAGAGAGCAAAAAATGTGCTGGCCTTCAGTCACAGAATGACTGAGTATCTTTCGTACCAAAAGAGACTGCAAAGGGATCTGTGCGCTGTGGAAACTCGAGGGAGAATACCACGTTCATAAGGAAACTCATAGGTGGAGGAACAAGAACCTACATCCTGAAATTTCAAAAATGACCTGTGCTCACTTGGAAGGTAAGTTATGTTCTAGGAGTGAATATATATCAGCACTTAAGACAGCAAAAAACTTCCAAGAGTTGCTCAGTGATTGCCCTCCTACAAAATGGGATTTCTTTGCATAAGCACATTTTTTACCTGTCCTCACTTCCTCCTGCTCACCAGCTACACTGATACTCTCTTCTTTCCAAACTCACCACCATGAAACTGCATTTTTTTTTTTTTCCGTTGCAAGATTTTGCACGCTTGTCTTAAACAAAAAAGGCCAACTACAGCTCTAAGAGGATGCTAAAAAAGGTCTTTTATGTGTGGGAGCTTCCTCTGCGGCAGGAAACAGAACCTCTGCAAATAGTCTCTCCTTAATGTGACCCTGTTGTGCAATTAGACTGACTATGCACTGCCCTGTACAGGAAAGTAAGTTTGCTTCCTTTCCAAAAGATCGTACTTCAAATGACTTGTTTTGTTACAGAAACTGTAAGTAATTTTTTTTTTTTTAACACAGTTAAAATAACCACTGCTGGAAGATGCATAACTTTGGGGTTCTTTTTTATTTTAATTGCACTGGATTCTGTTTGAGACTAAGAATTTTTAAAAGTAAAATTCTTCTGTAAGGATAATTTAAAGTGTAACACCAAATTGCAGTCCATAATAATAATAGCTCCAGTGTGTCTTTATTTCTATATTTTGTTCAGACCATCTTAGAAACGGTGATTTTTATAGACACAGCTCTGCCAGCAAGCAGTTGTCAGAAGTGACTTGAGTTCACCTAAAAACTGGGACCAGACCAGGACGGCATCGCTGCCAGGTGCTGCAGCACCACTACCTTCTCACAGGGATGGTGCTTAGAGGGAAAAAATCAGCAAATTCTTAAGACTTCCACAACAAAACCCAGAAAGAAGTTTGCTTTAACGTTTTTGCTATGCTTTTGCCGAAAGCTTCCGTGTCCGCAAAGCAAGCTGCACAACGTGAAGTTCGAAGTTCCTGCTTTGCATTCGCAGACAAGTGGGTAAAGCAAGCTTCGTGGTTGGAAATGCGCTATCCTCCTCTTAAACTCGAATTTGCATGGCACGCTGTTAGTAAGTTAAAGATCTCTTACCTTGGGCATCCAGTCAATAGCTAAGAGATGTTTTTATCTGTTCACCATACTTTTAATTTCCAGCTGAAAGTCTCTTATAGGGCGACCTTTACTCTTCCTCCACACAGGGCAGTATGCACGATTAGATGGTTTGTCTTTTCCAGCTCCTCCCCCCAGATCTAGCAGTGAAAAACTGCCTCCTTCCTCAGGAGGAAACTCTTAATCTGTTTAAGTCTAAATAAAACCTAACGTTACACAGTAAAGACAAAAATAGCAAATAGTGCTTTTCATACGTAGGAAACTATTTTCAATGGCTCTGGAACATTTACAGGGTTTTATAAAATACCATTCGCAATGGCATAAAGTTCAAGAGATGGAGCTGGTTCGTTACAGCAGGACTCGCATCACACGGCATTTTCTAACCTGGCATAAGCCAACTGGTCAGACCTGCTAGTTGTCCTTGGTGCAAACAGACAGCTTCCTGCCTTTTCTCTCCACACCACTAACAATTTACTGACTATGACAACGATTTCCTTCTCTTCATCATTGCTCAGTTTCTGCAATCAGTAAAATAAGAGATTCTTCTTTCCCATATTCCTCCTTCGGGTTACAAAAGGCAGCTGGTGAACTCTGGTTAGCTTTTAAAAGGAGGATACTGCATTTCCAAAAGGGACAAACACCGCTGATACACACAAACACAAATAAACTTACCTCCTGCAAAGCCACAGACCAAATACTGCTTTCAACCATTGGTGTAAAGACAGTGAAAACAGGATATAAAATAATTTTTAATACCAACAAAGGCAGCCAGAAAAATAAAATGTTGCTGATTCTTCAGTGGGTTTTTGGTTCTGAGTTTGAAAGAGGATATACTCCAGCTTCCATCACACGCTGGATGGAAAGAGGAAGGCAAATTTGAAAGCAGTAGGCAAGCCTCAGCTCAGGAAGACTGGAAGGCTGAACTCCACCCTCTGCTCCCTTCCAGCCAGCACCAAGGAGCAATTCCTGACAAGATTAGTGGCAATGATGCATCATCCTCGCTGTGCTGCTGCTCAGGAGGGGTGTAACAAGTCACAAACCTTGTTAAGCAATTCAGCGTCACGTTTGCTGATGAGCAAACACCCCAGATCTTTGGGCATGAACAGATCCTCGACGGTGGGATGAAAACATTGGTTAAAATTCACTTTTCTGGCTGTGGGCAAACGGAAGTCTTTGTGGGGCCACTGGAAAGGGCTCTTGATTGAGGAGGAGCTCTGAAGGAAAACCCTGTGAACCTCCATCTAAAAACCCAGAAGGCTTTTACAGCAAACGACCCAGGAAAACCTCCCCTGGGAAGCAACACAGAGGCTCTTGGAGGTGGTTTGTGTTTTCTGTTTGTTGACTCTGAAGAAGCATTCCCAAAAGTGCCCCAGCACACTTTCTTTTTAAAAAAAAACACAAAGTAATCCACATCAAGAGTTATCTTACATTTTTACTCATGACGGTTACCATTCAGTTACCATGACTGAATAGAAGTGACCAGTTCCTCTCCCACTTCAAACACGCAGAAGGCTATTATGTCCAAATTACACATTTTATTCAGACAAACAACTTCTCCATTGCACAAGGTCCATAGAGGAAAAGGCGTTTCTACCCTCGGAACAGAACTGTGCGCACATGCAGGGTCTGCTGGCAAAACGCCAGCCCTTCTCTGTGTGGTGACATCCTCTTTATTTTAAATCAAGAAGTACCAAGCTCAACTCCGGCAATTTCTCATCAAGTCAACCAAAATACTGTTACATGAGGTATTCTCAAACGCAGGAAAAAACCATAATATATAGAAAAAATATCAATCTGAGCTATATAGCTATTTTTTTCTGCACATGCAACTCACTTTTCTTCCTGGCTTCTATAGGCAATTTGTAATTTACTTTAACCAGAAGTCATGAAATTTGGTGACAAACAGCAATTTAGAACATACTTACTTTTGCACCTTTTAAAAATCTATCTGACAAAAATGTGGTATTTTGTTCTAAGCAATGGACAATAAAGCGAAAAAGCGTCTACAAAAAAATACACTTTCCCTAAATAATACTTGTAAATACAGAAAGAAACAAACACCAAAAACGACGACACTCTTTAATAACTGTTCTTTTGGTAAGTCAGATCACAATCAAGACGTAAAATATGAGCCTGGCAGAAACTCCTGCGGCACGTAACCCTGCTCGTCGTCGCGCGTGAACTGAACCCGTCAGGTGGGAAAACGCGGCTGGTTAATGCCCGAGCCAGATGTTGCAAACCCAGCTCTTTCCTGGGGCCCGTGGGAGTGGGGGAGCACCCTGGCCGGTCACCCCAGGTGCCCCCCGGCAGGAGGGGTGTCAGCGGGGGCTGCCCAGCCCGGCCGCCCCCCGAGCTCGGGGACACCCCAGGGCCCGAGCGCTGTGGGCAGGGGAGGAAGGCTGCGGGGACGGCGCAGGAGGAGGCCCCGCCGCCGGCCCAGCGCCCGTGAAAACAGAGACAGTGATCCTTCACCACTGCAACTCCCGAGTGCCGGTGTCACCGCGGTCCTGACAAACCTCTCCTGGCAAGAAACACGGTAACATGCCGCTAACTAAAACTCTGTAACTACCAACAGACTGAAAGCCAGTTTCCTTCTTGACCTGTAAGAGGAACGCCCTGCAGGGATCTCCACTCCGGCGATCCCATCCAAGAAACATCCCCTTCCTGGGCAGCGAACCAAAACCTCATTTTGTTCTGGGAAGGGAAACCAAAAATTGCAATGATGTAGGCCTTCAGGGCACAGCCCACACAGGGAGCGCGCCAGGGCGGGGGGAGCTACCAGCAGCACCACGCTCAGAGGCAATACTGGCTTTTCAGCAGTGCAGACACGGTCCCTTCCCACAGCAAGCCCGGCTGGGCAAAGTCTGGCACTGATGCTGCCAAAACAAAATGCGTTTCTAAACACACGGGCTGCAGGGCGATTGTTTAAGGGAGAAGCAAAGTTGGCTCTCCACTTTCTGCTGCGAGGATCCACACAGCTTGCGTTTCCTGCTGCCCTTTGGAAAAACTCCTGAAATGTCAATTCCTACCAACCTCAGCTTGGCACATTAATAAAAACAAACAGGCAAGACAGGGAACAGAGAGCACTCACAAGCATTTCTCTGTGACTCCCATCAGCTGAAGAATGCGTCCGAACTTTGAACTTAATGTGCAACTAACCAGTTACGGGGACTCTCTCTAATCACATAATCACAGCATCGCTAAGAGGACCAGACCCAAACTGGCTTAATAAAAAAAACACACAGTGAGTTTCAAAAGTGCAAGCCAAAACCCCGGGCTGTCATTTTGGCCGTGACAGTGACTCACATAAACAGTGGCCAAAGAGTCACTTTCTATATCTTCATTTGCAGCTCGGGGATAATGTTCTTTACTGTCTGTTATCCAAGATTAAGTAGTTAATGTGCTTCCACAGAGCTTTAAAGAAGCCTTATTTGTTTTCTGAGTATTATTTTAATTCCACAGTCCTATAAGTGAACCACTGGGGAAATACTTAGAAGTCAATCAGCAGCAAGTTGTGTTTTTTTCTAAATAGGTCGTACTCACTATTGGCTCTCGGCTACTACAGCAGTCCCAGTTCTCACAAACAATAAAATCTACACCCTGTGACATCAAAAGAACTACACTCAAAATATAATTTTTCACAGGTAAAGACTTTTTTTTTTTTTTTTTTTTTTAAAAAAAAAGTCAGTTTTACTTTCTCCATACCTGTAACTCTATCTTGTCACATTTAGGAATTATGGCACAGTCTTTCACTACAAATTTTCATACTGTGGTTTTCTGAACATGGTGCACTTTTCTTATGTTCACAGACCATGTAAACCTGTTGCCCCCTGTATGATAATTTACTGCTCCACACTCCTGGTAGACTCCGTACCAACTGCAATGTCTCTTAATGTATTAAGGCACAATGAAGAACAGCAGGAAAACAGTACAGGTGTATGTAGGCAATGTTGCTTCCCAGCTAACCTGGGCAATGGGCAGTAAAGTGCTTCATCTCTGGCAGCTTCACCTAAAGAAAACTGAATTTTTCAAAGCAGGGTAAGCAATAAATGGATCCTGAACACTAAATGAAGTATATGCCTACAGGCAGAGCTTCATCACACAAAAATCTATGGCAACAGAATGTAGCAGTGACAATAAAAGCAAATACACTGGAAAGATAAGCAATGCTGATGCAAAATTAAAAGAACTATTCTTCTTTGGTGAACTATCATATTCAAAACTGAACCTTTATTTCTCTGCTGATTTAAAGCAGGATGTTTATTACTATTAATTCCATTGCAGTAGTACCTTGGGACGCCAGGATTGCTCTGGGTCCCACCGTACTAGGGCACCATATATATTAACAAAAAATTACTAACACTTGGAATAAACAGGTCAATAACAAGGATCATATCAGTCAAGGAAGAGTTCATCTTCCAAAAGTCTCTGTGGATGCCACTGCACACAGCTTGTGCTAGAACAATGTGTATTTTCTCCTTTCTGTGTCTGTAGCTGAATCACCCTTTGTTTCTGCGTCTCATGAAGATCTCCCGTAAAAGTGCAACAGCAGGAGAGTTACCTACAAACATATAAACTGAAAGAAGAAAAATATTATATGTGGCTACTTGCAGATGTCTTGAGAGTTACAAATTGCGATTGAAATATTCCTGGGAAAAATACTAAGTCCAAGTGTTCAAAGTGCTTGTTCGAGAAAGGGGATGAGTTTCACCTGCCACTTGACTTCCCTGCGGTGTGCACCGGCACAGCCCGAGAGGTGAGCGCGGGACCCGCAGCTCTGCTTAACCGCGGGAACCCCGCGGGATCAAGCAGCGAAACAGGTTCCCATCCAGCATCTCCCCTACCTTGTATCTGTCCATAGGATCTTCCTGCTGCAGCTGACTCTCTCGCATTGTTTGGTACTCTCTCTCATATTTCTTCAGCTTTTTTGTTGGCACCTGGGGAAAAGATTTGGAAAACCTGCGTTTAGAGATTAGAGGAACACCGGAAAGGCTGTCGGAAAGTTCTCCTTGCAAACAGGAAGCCAAGGAAGTGCTGGAAAGCTGCTGCTGAATAAAATCGCTCCCTGTTGCCCCCCCCCCCGCCTCACCACGCCGTGTCAAACACTTACCAGTACAGCTCACAACGACAGAAATCGTTCTGTGCTTACTGCTGTTCATTATTCAAATATTTAAAGGAAAACAAGAGTGAAGTAGAGACATTCTAGTAAGAGTTACAAGAAGAAAAAACGCAAGAACAGGAGTGAGAGAACAGGGAAGAGGAAAATATGCTTTGGTATGCATGATTCACCAAAACAACGCCTTAGCAAGAAAACTGTTAAAAACGAGATTAGAAGAAAGGAGTATTCATATAAAAGGACAATTCCCCGGGGAAGATCCAAGTAATGGTTTTTATTGCTGAAAGAGTATTAATGTCTAAATTATAGCTTGTGACCGATGCCCTCATAGAAGTCTGGCATCAGACTCCTCCCCAGCAAAGGTGGAGATGCTGCAGTGCTCGCTCCCAGCCGCAGCAGGGACACAGTGAGGCGGCCACACAGAAATCACAAACAGCCACGCAGAAAGGTCAAGTCCCAGCCAGCTCAGTTCTGGGAAAACAGAGCTTCAACTTAAGACAAGGTACGCAAACAACTCCTGTGTTCTTTTAAGCAAAGCGTGGAGATCCTTGGCTTTACTTTCACCTTTTAATTGGGTACACAGTGCTACACGAGCGATCCCGTCTCTCCCTGGAGACCTTTGAGAGCGTTGCTCTGGCCCTGCCACGCAACAAGCAGCCAGCCCTGCTAAGTGCTGGGTCATCTGCTGGCCACCGGAGAGGTCCCCGATGCCAGCTACCATCATGACTTGTGAACATACGCTTTTCCTGGATCTGTTATGGAGAGATCTGTTCCTCTTGCCTACAGTGATCACGTCTAGCTGCCTCCTGGTGTGAGAACATGCCACAGTCACCTTGCCTTAGGGCAAAAAACTACTCCAGATGAGCAGAGATAAGTGTTTACATGTATTTCTGGTGGTGTTTTGCCTTCACTGGTTGTCAGCCCAACAGCTCCTTCCTCTGCAGTGCAGGAGGGGACCAAGCAAGGGCTCAGTGTCGCTGCAGAGCCCTCTGCGAGGTACGGGTAGAAGATCTGAAACCCATAATCTGGAAAGCACGGTGCACAGGGAGCCCTAATAAAGCAGCACTAATGCCCACCAACTACTGCTGAAATCTTAAACCAACCCCCTCCCTAAAGAAAGCACAGAGAAAAGGCTAAGCATAAAAACATGAAGTGCTTTGGACAAACTTACAAGAGAATTTCGCTTTGATGACACTTAATAGTGCAAAACACAATGAAACGAAAAGGACTGGATCAGAGGTGCTTTTTTCACATTTCAACTGCGCAACATTCAAGATGCAAACCCAGCCCCTTTTGTCTTAGCTGCAACTTGGAACTATTGAGGCTACTTCATATTCAAGAAGAAGAAATCATTTCAAAGTAGTATTCGAAATGAAGCGAACCACACATCCAAAGCCTGATCTTTTCCTTCCTTCCACAGTGCTTACTGGGATCTTATTCAGAGAACCAGATCAAGGCTCCCGGGCCGGGGCGTTACAAGGACCCCCCTCCAAACCTAGTTCTCCTGTGCTGTTTGTGGGGTTTTGTGCTCCAATATGCAACCAGCAGAAAATAAAGATGAGGGAGACATTGTAGCACAGTATGGCAGAAACGTGCAACATAGGTGTAATTTAGAAGATCACTTCAACCACAGATTGTCCTCATTCCTGATGTTTTTCATTAAAGCCTTTAACGTACACATAAGTAGTAAGTCTTACTACACCAAGGGACAAGCCTCCCATCCGCACAGCTGCACGAGTACTTCAGGAAGAATCTGCTGTCTGAAGGAACGGGAGATGCAACACAGATATATATATATATATTTTTAATGTAAATCAAGAAAAAAGAGTGGAAAGCAAAGGTAAAAATTGCAGTGTCGCCAATCCTTTCCCTGCCAGCAGTTCCCCCGTGGGTAGGGGAGCTCCCCACATTTGAACAGGCGGTGCTGGGGACTGTCCCCACTGCAGCGACCCACCAACGCCTTCACCTTGACAGCTGCCGCAGCAGCACCCCCCTTTTCCCTTTGAGCACGAGGTTGGCTTAAGTTACTCATGAACGAAAATCTTAGTTCTCTCTATAAGCCAGGAGATGCAGGCAAAACGCAGCACGAAGGTAACGATCGGAGTAAGTAACTCTCACTGAGAGAGCCAATGGGATATAAAGGACCGCTGTGACCCAAATGCTGAGCACTGTGCCCCAGCTGTCCCTCCCCAGGCTGAGCCTGTGCCCATGCCCGAAGAGATGGCTGCTGCTTCTCAGTAACTCAACCTCACACACCACACACGGCCAGCAGCGTGCAGCTCTCCTTGCTCGTTTTTCAAATGTTCGGTTTTTGAAGCTGCCCGAGAGCAGCCTTATTTCTCTGGTTGCACGTTGTGTTCTGTACCGAGACGAGGCAGAACTTAACTTGCACAGAGTCTATCTGGCACTTAAATCACCCGTCTCAACACCACCAGAAACTAATCTGAAGAGGTCACATCAAAAACCCTACGATGAGCAGGGGACAACGAGAATCAGTTGTTTCGTTCAACTCTGCTCCTCCCCGTCTTCACCGTCCCAATTCACAACCGTTTCTTGATGTCTGGTAGCCCTTTCCCACCAGTTGTTCTTACCTCTGTGTTCTCCTTTCTTACATTTTAATTCACAGGTGTGAGCAGGGCCAGGCGCAGCCCCTGTGGCCGTGGGAGGGCTCAGGGCCCCCTCCCAGCCCTGCAGGAGGTACCCACGGGCGCTGAGGCCGTGGCCGGGGCCGCTCGCCAGCAAGCCGACAGCGGGGCAACACTTTCTGACCAATGTGAACAGCAAGTAAGACCTGGAACAGGGATCAAATCACAGAAGGTGTAAGTGTCAGGGTGTAAGGGAGCATGTTGGGACACAGAAAATGGCTTCTGTGCTCTCTGAAAGAATATCGTGACTCACGCATTTTCTTACGTATCTATGTCACAGCCTTGTCTTAACTGGAAAGTAGTATTTACATACAGTGAAAGTCTGTCTTAAGGGCTTGGGGGGGTGGGGAAGAAAATTCCTTTTAGAAAACCCATCCATACTAATGCTTATCCCATAAAATATAAACTTAAGCAGGTATGCTTAATAACTTTGGCAGGGACTGTGCTTCACTGTTATTGTTTATTCAGCCACATTACTCGAAGTCTGATAATTTATTACAGCACTTTCTTCGGGGTATACACTGATAAACAAACAAAAAATGTCAAAGCCCATTTCCATATTCCCCAATTTCATTCCCTGAAATAGTCTGTGAATTCAACAAGGGACTTCTCTTTTATAAGCAAGTGCATAGCGCTAGCTATGCTTCAATATTCATGGATTGGTCCTGAAGAAAGTATGCTCATACATTTTCTGTAAAAGCTCCTGCAATACTGCTTTCTTCTTTCTTTAGCACCATGGGGTATATTGGCTAGAACTGATGGTTATCAAATTTAGGAGACTCTTATGGCTTATAAACATTGCTCATCTGTTTATCCCAGTATCTTATCTCCTTGACTCGTTTTATTTTATTGTGCTCAAGCATAAAATCATGTCGCAACTAGTTGTACGCAGAGAAAAATCCATGCAGAGCATCTTAGTAAAACATCCACGCAGAAGAACTGAACAAGCAAAACCTCTTTCCAAAAAAACCCAACAGACTACTGCACCGCATGCCCGGAGGACTTGCTGCAGTGAGGTGATACATGGCAGGTGAAAAACAGAAATGCTTTGTTTCCAGCTGCCCCCCCCCGTTCCGACAGGGCTGGAAAGATCTGCTTCACCTTCCCTGGCAATCCTGCGCACTGGCAGCATCGGCATCCGCCCAGCTCCAGGAGACCTTCCCCTCATTCTGCAATTCCTTTAGCTGTTCACAGACAGTTCAGTCTGACCTTGCCGGATTAATAAATCACACAGCTATGACTCCTTCCTCCGAAATGTTTTATTGCTCTAATGAAGCACGAGCACTTAGAGGAGGTAGTTATCATTACGTTCATTTGACAGCCAAGGAAATGGAAGCAGAAATGTAAAGTGATTTCCTGAACATACTGAAGACAGCCAGAGGCTGATCCAGACAGAAAAATCCTATTACCCGATTCCTAATTTCCGGCACCACCACAATGCCAGACTGAGCAAAATATCTCTTTCCCAGATTCCCAGTTCTTTATCCAGCACTGCATAAACACTCCAAAAATACTGTCCCATCGCATTAACAAGGTAGCCAGTATTCTGTGATCTCTGCACTCTTAGTGTTTTTTTCCTTTCTGGTTCTCACCTCAATGTGGAAGAAGGAAGAAGAAAAAAAAAAAAAAAAAAAAAAAAAAAAAGAGAGAAGAAAAAAGCCAATTAACAAAACATGCAATGTTTTCCTTCCCCATTCTTTGAAGCAGGTGACAATTTTCTGTTTCGCTGGCGCTGGATTTGCTCGGTATTTCAAGACTGAGGCGAGGGACTTGCACCCCTCCGCAGGTGGGGTTACACTCGGTGC